TCGTGAAGGCGAAACGTTAGAGGTGGAACGAATTGTTTATCCCCGGTATTAAGTCGTAGCGGAGTGTCGACGCACATATTGCAGACGAAGGAATCTCCGAGGGATTGACGCGCCCTCCCCCACACAGGATCACGACTAAATGAGCTGGCATTTGTCAACATAATTCATAGTTTTGATATATTGACATATTATTTTATTGCAATAAAAAAAATGAAATGAGAGATATATTTTAACCTTGGTATGTTGCTATTAATATAATATCTATCTTTAGCTTTATGCTCCAACGGACGCTTTAATTATACAAAAGTCACTGTCGCCACAGATTTAGATGATTTATTTCTTTAGTACCAATTTTCCAAACGAGTTACCTCAGAACACGGTGACTTAACTCGATTCGAGGTAATTTATTTAAGTAATTTCAAACAAAGCGAGCCCTCGTACTCCGTATTAAAATTTGAGTCGCGACCGCAAAGTAGACGCTAACACAAAATTAAAGTCGTCGACACTTAAGGGCTTCGTAGTTTCGAGGGGAGTTCCATGAAATTTCTCTCAGAATTTCGAAATGGCAGACGAGTTTCGCAAGTCAACTCAATTATCGTTTTAATTAAGGCGCTGCCATGCCACGTGACATTTGTTTGCGTGCGTGAAAGCGATCGCTCCCCGTGGCCTCTTGCCCTGGCCCCCCTCCTGTTAATTGTGCTAATTACTCCTGAAATGGTGTAGGGGTAGAGTGAGATTACTTATCGACGGTTTCCACAAAATTTATCCCTTGCTATATATACATAATACACCTTAACTTAGTTTTAAACGTAATAAACAGTTCCTACGATCTTTTTTTTTTTTGATTTCATTTATACCTACTAAAAAATATTTAATAATATACGTGATGTTTAAAATAAATTGTTTTGTTGTAGGTAGGTATATTTTTTATTTACCTATTTAATTTTTTTAAATTAAACTACATATTTTCCACAATGTGTTTAGATGACATAAATAATTCTTACTCGTATAATATTTTAACTTAATATTTTTTCTTAAAAATAAGTATCTTGTTAATAACAATATTTAATAGACATAAAGCCAAATCGTGTCCACTTGATCTGTAATCTGTATAATATTCAAGTAATCATAGTACCTAATGAACTATGAGTATCTAGTAATAGGAGATATAGGTACTAGATAAAGGTAGCTACCTAGTCGATCATAATTTGGTGCTGTGAGTGTAAGGTAAAGAGAGTACACTAATTTGGTGGTCGATTGATTGGCTCATGGCGCGGTGGTAACAGCAACAGCGGAGTGGGTGGCGAAACACGTCAGCTCGACAACGAGCATCAGGCAATTTGGTTATTTGGGGTCGGCCATAAACCGATAGCGAGCGCAGTAAACGCAATCCACCACTCGCGACTATAAACTTTACGAGTCACGTAAAAACACGCTCGAAATGCCGACTTGCTACCATAAATTTATGCTAATGTATTCTTTATAGGAGTTTAATGTGTATTCAGAAATTCCTTCATTATTTATGTATACGAATGAACCGGTGAAGTTAATTTTAAACTCGCGCTGCGCCTCTCGGTAATCGTATTCGGAAAAGATATGTTTTTTGTAACACGTTTGTTGACCATGCTTCAAATTAGACGCTTTGCAAATAATCATTTTATTTTATCTCTTAATATGACTGCTATTTCTGAAATATTGACTAAAATGTAAACAGGTTCCTCTTACGTTAGAATTAGGTAATAAATAACTATAATTTATATTTTAGACTCCGTATTAATATTTTATCTACCTATACAGATAAATAGAATTAAAACGTGAAAGTTTATGAGTATGGATGTTTGGTACTCTTCCACGCCAGAACGGCAGAACGGATCTGGATAAAATTTGGCACAGAGATAGATTATAGTTTGGAATAATACATGGGCTACTTTTTATCCCGGAAAATGTACGGTTCACGTGGGATATGTTTGTTTTTGTTCCCCTAGAGGCGAACCGAGCGAAGCGAGGGTGAGCCGATAGTATTATTATATATATTCTATATAAATAAAATACAAACTTTAAGAGATAACAATTTCATCGACTATAAAGCAATGTTCCTATAGATTCGGCAGTCACGATAACAGCAGAAAATCGAATAACTTTTGAAAACTATTGTGTCTGAAATATAGTCCGAACTCAATCCGTACATTTCCGAGCGGTGGGCGGTCTATTTATCTATTTCCCCCGCTTCCGCCCCCAAGCGTCCGGTTAACCGCCCCCCTTCCGGTTAACCGGGCGGCGCGGCGTGCGCGGCTAAACGGCTCGTCGCGTGACCGCAGACAATAAGCCCGGGCGGCGTTAACAGCGAGCCTGTGTGTTGCCACTTTATACGTTACGTCAGATCCTCCGCTATGCTCTCAGTACCCGCTTCTCGCACTTCACTCCGTAACACATATTGTGTCCGATGCGATACTAGAACGGCTTCCGTCTTTCGTCCTCCATCCTATACCAAGCTGACGCGGACGGTGACCGATAAGTCGTGTTGACGGAGCTTGTAGTGCCTTGTTTAGCGGTCTAGTCCTCGTTGCCTTACCCTCGACTATTGTTGTCGGCTCGATTGCCTTTTTCTTGCCGTCGACCCACGTAATGGGATAAAGTACAGATAAGCTCTATTCGTTTCCCTGACGAAAATGAAATAGGTTTCCACAATACTGTTTCTTTTTCAGTATTAAACTTGTTATCTGTCCGTTGGTAATCGGTATAGAAAGAATTAGGTATTTATAGATATACTTATATATAATATGATGATGTTCTCCTAGCCGATTCCGGCCACGGCGGCCAATCTCAATGAGATTAGCCAACTGCGCAGGAGATATTATAGTGCACAAGTGTACGCGCAGACACAAGTGCACTCTCTATTCCTATCACTCTCATACTCCGGTGGGACGACCACTCGACACGACCGGTGAGAGTTAAGGCGCAGGACCGACGGCTTTACGTGCTCTCCGAGGCACGGGGGTGAAACACCGCCAACTTCCCAACTCCGGGCTGTTACTGAGACTTACTATACAGGAGGACTCAATAACTAAACTTGGCCCGACCCGGGACTCGAACCCAGGACCTCCGGGTGTGCAGCCGTACATGCTAGCCACTACACCACCGAGGCAGTTAAATATAATATATATACATATAGGTATATATACATATACATATAGGTATATACAAAGTGTTTGGCACTTAAGTGTAGGTTGATATATTTTTTTATTTGTCATAAATTAACTAAAATATATTCGTATATTATAAGTTATAACCTATCCGCTACCAAAATAAGTATTATCACTATCATTGCCATAACGATGCAGGAGTTTACTCTCAGAGTCTCGGCCAAATGGCCTTCGTTATTACACATTTATGTTATAATGCCAGCCAACCGCAAACTCTATTAAATTAACGATTAGCCACAAGAGCTTACCCCAGAGCGAATGACTCGTAGGGGCAACATAAAATACATTGAATCGAATCCGACACGTCGCTTTATGGCGCGCACCGTGGGTCTCTCGAAATAGCACTCACTACTTGAAATTCGATACTCAATGCCGTAGAGAGCGGGTGCTCGTAAAATTAGGGCCTCGGCTACATGTAGGCAAAATAATAAATGCCAACTTGAAAAGAAACTGTTATTATTTTTGATTCTATAAGTAATTTAATAACTCAGTAGCCAAAGTCAGTACATATTGACTTTAATATTAGAATACATAACTACACTAATATAAAAGTATGTTAATTATACTAAAAGTGTATATTTATTATTTATATAAATTGTAAGAGCAGTAACTTGTGTGTTATTACTAGAATTGCCACTACTCTTACAATGCAGTTTTTGTATTTTTTCTTAGAAATGAGATATTTTCCCGCGGTAAAAAGTCAAAATCCCCCCAGTAGTTTTTCTGTGATGCGGTAACAAACAGACAGACAGACAAAACTTCTATAGATTCGGCCTCTGTATCGATAATAATGTTTATTTCAATAAGATTTTCCAAAAAATATTTAATGTACAGATTCGGCTTAGTTACAATTTTATTATATGTATAGATTTAAGACACAAAAGCATATAATTAATCTTTACAATAAAACGAACCTATTACAGTGGGTATAATTTTAATTTGTGATTGCTACTAGCATCGCACCTAAAGTGATATCGTCTAGGGCGGCTGTAAGTCACAGCGGGCGGCGACAGGTTGACGGCGAGGCGAGTAAATTAACAACTTGCCACTATCCTCTGACTTAGTGCCTCATAAAATTAGTCTTCAGACCTCTAGGGGTCTCGGACAAAGCCCTCCTATTATAAACTTTTGATATAACTAGGTAATATTTCTCAGCGAATTCTATTTGAATAAATATTTATAATTTACCTAAAATAATCGAATATTTTTACAACTTTTTTTCTAAACCCATTAATGGTCAAACACAAACTATACCTACTATATTCGGATAGATTTTTGCACGCTCTTTAAAATCGTCAAACCGAGTGTCTGAATTCGACTGAATATTAAACGTTTATCTAATTGAAGCATGAAACCATACTTGGTTGAGACATAGTGTATCACAATGTCAACATGGGCTGAATCAGCAAGCTCTGCGATCGCTCGACACGTATATGATTATTTCATTAGTTCGTATTTGCGCGTTCATCCGAATGTAGCACCCGCTCTACCCCACTCTCCTGACAAGCCGCGAGGGGGGCGATGACCACTCCCGGAGCTAATCATGCGGTCAGTTTGTTCTGCCTCAGCGTGTTTTGATATTGATATTGACTGTAGCGCTCGCATCGTTGCGCACCGATTTATTTGCGAACAATGATCGATTGATTGCTATACGTAGATACGTAAGCTCGCCCGTAAACGTTTTGATTATGTTTACCCACTCTTATTTGCTATATCAACAAGACCAGATACCGCATGCATATAAAATGGAACTTTTTTTTATGAATTATATTAAATATTGTATATTTATTGTTACAGAGAAATTCCATATCTCCGGGAGAAAGGGAAAAATACCGAACAAGAAGTCCAGCAGAGCCTGATCATAAAAAACTAAAAAAGGAGGAAAAGGATATGGGCCATGTAAGTAACTTTATTGTTTTTTTTTAATAGGAACTAACAATAACATTTGGGGAACGAATGTTTATTTATTAAAATATTTTATTTTTTAGGAATTGGTAGTTGACGACGCAAGCGAAGAACCGACGTCTCCTCACAATGGGGCGCCTTCGCCGCGGGAAAACGGATTAGATAAACTACAACCTAAGAAAGAACACCCACCACATAGCCCTAGGTAATTTGCATAATTCATATACAATATTATACTATTTGTAGAATTATAACAATATTTTGATCAAATTATAAGTTTCAAAACATTAATAAGTAAGCCATTAAAAAGAAACAATTTAAGAATACATAAAAACCAAGCACGACCCTTATTATAATCACAAAAGGTCGTAAAACATTTATAGCGCACGATAATCTGTATAGCAAACATGTATTGGGGCCAGTCGCGCCTTAGTTCGATGTTGTGTAAATTCATGATAATCGCTCCATCCATTTAAGGGAAGCCGTAGTTTGTAAACTATCCGTTACATTTGTTGTGGAAGGTTCAATGTTCGTACAACGATTGAACAGTCGAAAGTTAATTTACTACTCATGGTTAAGCTTGACCGCTATGAATCGTTATCGTTGATCTAATTTACGACGCTCTAGTAATATAATGACCACGTATCTTTATAGTCGTATATTCTTTGTTCTGAGCACATATAGTTCCTATCATCCCCAAAAAACAGACTGATATTCTCGAAAAATATCTATAAGTAATATAAAATAAGAAGACGACGCACAAATATTATAAAAAGGTAAAATTTGTGGGTTTGTGATTTTGTGAGTTTTAGGGGGTAATCTCTGGATCTACTGAACTGATTTATATGCAATTTGGTAAGAAGATAGTTTGAGACCCTGGGAAGGACATAGGATACTGTTTATCCCGGAAATCATACCTTAAGGCTGTAAAAATGGGGATGTAAGTTTGTATTGGGAATCAAGCTAGGGACGAACCCGAGCGAATCAAGGGTGAGTCGCTAGTAAGTTATAGGTACCTATAAATTAAAAATTGACTCAGAACATCTCGAATAATATCACTGCAGGAGTGCTGAGCATTAAAATCAATTTCGAACGCAGAGAAATAGTCCTGTTACGACAGCGAGATTGGTTACGCTTGACGGGTAACTGATGATAATAATCTTCAGTCAAACTTACGCTTACTAACTTGAAACCTCGAGGGGGATATTTGATTACGAACCAGTTTAATCGATGTCATTCAGTGATAAAAAATTGAATAAATAAATACGTTTTCACTTGCGTTTATTCCTTTTATTCATTGTAAGTACCGTGTAGAAACAATAATGTTAGGAAATAAAATAAAAATACACGGTTATGTTATGCTTTTTTTATTTTATAATCAGAGTGTACCTACTGTTTATTGTTTAACTACTTGTTTAAACGTTTCAAGCGTAACTACGAGTATTGCAAACTGAGCCCTCTATATTGTTTGATATTGCCACAATACAATTTTATATGAACATGACCATTCTATTAACATTATTAAAGTAGGAAAAATTGTTATTACATGGAGCACACTAATCATAAGTTTTTGCTTGTTAAATACATGCTGCTTAGGGTCTAAAATATATCTCTAAATTAGTTATTTAAGTATTCTCATAGCCGGTTTCCATTAAAAATACGTAATATTGATTAGGTTTTTGCAACCATAATTAACTTCATTTGTTTTTTCAATTTCAGATCAGGTACATCGAGTAACGCATCAACGCCATCAGCAAAAAAATTAGATGAGAAGCCAAGCACGCCAATCTCGAAACCAGTTACTCCAACTTCCGGTGCCAGTGGGGTTGGTGCCGCGGGAGCTCCCCTAAAAGCCGCAGTCAAACCTCCAGCACTTCAGTATCCGTACTTAGGCAATGGAGCACATGACGCATACGGCCTTGCGGGCTACTCTGCTAGGGCGGCGCTCGCGTACGAACCTCTACGTCCCCCCATCGGCCCGGCTGCATTAGCACCTATACCGGGCGGCAAACCGTAAGTTTTCGATTTGTTCGTTTTATTTATTTTATAATATGAATTTACATATATCTAATAACCTAATTTATTTAAAGAAATTGAAATTTTGATAACGTTTCGTATTCTTCATTTACCTAGATAGAGGAAACTTACATACATGTTGATTTTAATTTAATGTTAATTAAATTAATTTTCAGAGCTTACTCATTCCACGTATCCGCCGAAGGACAGATGCAGCCCGTGCCCTTTCCCCCCGACGCGCTAATGGGTCCGGGGATTCCCCGACACGCGCGACAAGTGTCAGCATTAGCGCACGGTGAAGTCGTATGCGCAGTTACAGTCTCCTCGCCTACTAAATATGTATACACTGGAGGCAAGGGGTGCGTCAAAGTATGGGACATAAGTCAGCCTAGCAAGGCGCCGGTCAGCCAGCTGGATTGCTTGGTGAGTGGGTAACTGTCGGTGATTCATATTCTATTTATATACTGTGATTGTCTGTTAGATGTTAGAGGTTTTTTTTAATATATTATGTATGAGGTTGATGTCCTTCACATACATTACACGATTTGTAATATTTTGTAATACAATAAAATATCTCTAAAAGGGTTATTTTTATAGCCTATGTGCTAATATGGAGGTAGCTAGCCACACTTTAACACAGTTACAAAATAAGGTATTTCAAATTCAAACTTCACTAAAATTTATTGAGCTATTAAGTGTAGGAGAAGTAGCAAACACTCGCTCATTAAATCTCACATTTATAAAATTCTTATTAATTATTATAACCATGAATTAAAGAATCTCGTAACATTCATAACTATATCTCTTCCAGCAAAGGGACAATTACATAAGATCAGTGAAGCTTCTGCCCGACGGACGTACACTTATCGTTGGGGGTGAAGCGTCGAACCTTTCTATATGGGACTTGGCGTCACCAACGCCGCGTATAAAGGCCGAGCTAACTTCCTCCGCGCCCGCCTGCTACGCGCTGGCTATTAGCCCAGACTCTAAGGTAACATTATTTTATTAATATTTTCTTATTGTTAAATTTACGCGAATATTTGATATGTTTAATAAAACAATTTTTTTCTTTTTCGTTCTTTGATATTTTGGTTTTTATTACCGACGAGAGACTTCGGTAAATAATTCGTTTATTGTAAACAAAAAAACTAAAAGCAAAATCGTTTTTTTTTATATTAAAAAATAATAAATATTAATATAATTTTGTTAGTATATAAATTTTACAAAATGGCTTAATATTATATTTTTATTAAGATTATAATAGGTTAAAGTAAATTGTAATAATATATGTAGATATGCCATGAATAGAATGTGTTAATTTTATTTGTTTATTTGTTATTACAGGTTTGCTTTAGCTGTTGTTCGGACGGCAACATCGCAGTATGGGATCTCCACAATCAGACGCTTGTGCGACAATTCCAAGGGCACACAGACGGCGCTTCCTGCATTGATATATCAGCAGATGGCACTAAGTTATGGACCGGTGGACTCGATAACACTGTCAGGTATTACACGTTTATTTAAATAATACTTCTAATTGTTAGAATATGGTTTTAATTATAAAATATATGCATTATATATACATAACAAATACATATTATATGCTTTATATTTGCCTATTGAAGTATGGAAGGGTTCATTTAGTGACATGTAATACTTTTGGTTGTTTGATCATTTTTGATGTTTTATATACATGCATAGGAACTACTAGCTGGTGTGCTAAATTTTCTTTTAACAGTGAATCTTTCTCGCAATGCTTCTTCCCTGTTACTTTTCTACCACTCATCTGACCTCACTATATTTTTTAAATTTCAACCGTGATTTATGACCGATTGGTACCAATCTTAAACTTAGTTATAAGGAATAATTAATCGGAAAAAAATATTTTTTATAAAAAATAAATTCGAAATTGTGCTTGTTAAAGTTACAGCGTTAAATCAGCGTTTATTTTTTTATTTTTTATTGATAATGTCATTTTATCTTATTATAATAGATTCTTTTTTTTTATTAATTTCAGATCTTGGGATTTAAGAGAAGGAAGACAATTACAACAACATGACTTCAGTTCACAAATATTCTCATTAGGATATTGTCCAACAGGTATATAATATTTTATATCTAAATCTGCATAAAAAGAGAATTTTATAACTGCTTTTTAATTTATGACATGAATTATGTTTGTACCGATTATTGTATCATAGCTTGCAATCAGACAAAGATTTATATTATGTTGTATATTAAGTATACAATAGCTACAGTTTACAGTTACACTAACTACCACTTGCCCTCATCACAATTCAATGGTACAAATGGTATTGATTGAAACTCTATAATTGATTGATTTCATATACTTACAAGGTTTCAAATCCATCTGCTAGATAGAAATAAATTAAAATCAACTTCCGAAACTTGATGTTACTTAAAAATGAAACTTTATTAGCTTTAAAACACGTTTAAAATACTCAATTGTATTAAGTAAGTAGAATAATAACAATTAATTCTTTATTATTTATTATTATCATATTATAAATGTAAAAGTTTATGAGTATGTATGGATGTTTGTTACTTTTTCACGGCTCAACGGATCTGGATTAAATATTGCACAGAGATAGATTATAGTCTGGAATAACACATGTGGATAGACACACGTGGGATAGGTTTGTTTTGTTTTCCATTCTATAATAAAACTAAAAAAAAAACAACTACTATTCTTTCATCCAGGCGAATGGCTAGCGGTAGGCATGGAGAACAGCAACGTGGAAGTGCTACACGCGGTGAAGCCCGACAAGTACCAGCTGCACCTCCACGAGTCCTGCGTGCTGTCGCTGCGCTTCGCCTCCTGCGGCAAGTGGTTCGTGTCCACCGGCAAGGACAACCTGCTGAATGCGTGGCGCACTCCTTATGGTGCCAGTATATTCCAAGTAAGTGCTCTTACTAGTTGTTTTACTTATTGTTTTTATTGTGTTATTAAAATGATTTTGTTCGAGTTCTTTCTTTGTTAGCGTATCTAAATCGCTATCTAGGCTTTCGGCTATTTCAATAACGGAAACCATATCAATCGAATTTACTTGCATAATATGAGTTTTATTATAGGTAATTTGTTTTCACATAGATATATTTTTTCGCGGTAACAATTTGCCTCGTGGGACGATCATCGCTTAAGTAGTTCAAACTATTTATTGTTGTTTAGTTTTTATTTATCATGAACTCTTAAGTACTACAAAAAAAAATGTTTAAGATTATGAAAAGCAAATTGAATCAGTTACGTGGTGTGATTTGGCGCGATCGAAAAATTAATTTAATTATTAACACTTAACATTACCTCCATTAGTAAAATTCTTTTATCTAATAAATTAAATTTATTTACAGTCAAAGGAATCATCATCGGTGCTTAGTTGCGACATCTCATCGGACGACAAGTACATAGTGACGGGCTCCGGCGACAAGAAGGCCACAGTGTACGAAGTGATCTACTAGTGCGCGCGCGCCGCACGGACTCGAACAAAACAGATCAAAAGTGCTAGTGACGCCCTGGTGACGTGCTGGTGACGTGCTGGTGACTTGCTGGTGACGCGCTGGTGACGCGCTGGTGACGTGCTAGTGACGTTCTCGGACGTAGCGTGGCAAGTGATATAGCTTTAGTGTATAGTATATTGGGAAGCCTGTATGTACTTATGCGACTTGTTTATATAGATTAGTGTGCGCGGTTTATGTTTATTTGTTGAGCGCCCGTAGTGTATGTTGGCAGCAGATCTCAAAATGATGATTTCGTTTCAATATTGTTGTAAAATGCTCATATTAAAGAAAAAAATATGCGCAAATTATATTTTCTCTCGTTTTATTTCACACCAATAAATTAAGTAAATGTTTTAACATTAACAATTTGCTACATTTCGTAAGAATAATATAATTATTAAGCATAATAGCCAAAATATTTATAATAGTTAAAAAGTCTGTCAATACGAAATAAATGCACAAAAGTTTTAATAGTATTAAATTTTTTTTTTTTAATGTAAAGTTATAAAGTTTTGTTGTAAACTTAGAAATGTTACTTAAAAAAATATAAAATATTGCCTAAAAATCAAACACAGCAACATATCATTTCAAAGACACCTTTAAGTTTATTTGTAGTAAATTACCTAAAACTGCGTAAAACGTGTCATTACAAAGCTCTACTAAATACTATTTTGTTTTAAAAAAGTGTAATATTACTGAAGAAGTTTTCTTATTGTCGTGCCTTATATTACATTGTCTATACATATCTAAGCATAAAAAAATCAAAATCAATAGATTCAAATAGTTTTGTCAAAGTCTTGTTATGAATTAAAAAGGTGGGAACAATCATTGATAAATACTACTAATATTTATCTTTTAAAGGCCTTGCAGTACTTTAATGTCTTGTACTAACTGAGACACTATATAAGTTACGATAGTAAATAAATCGAATATTTTCTAGAATTTTCTTTCATACATATTATTGAAAAATGAAAAGTAATGCTACATTGAGATGTTCTTGAACTAGTTTTCGATCGGGAATTTTGCCTTCTTCTCCTGCCAGATGTCGTATCCACTATAATTCTCTTGTATATTGTAAAGCTCTATAGCGTGGATGGTTTTTTTTTTTCATTTTAATTAAAATTTAATTAAAATGACAAATTGTGCTATGACGCAAAGAAAATCGATATCATTTGGTCCCAAAAGACAAAAACTGAAGAAATTGTGGGCTAAAGCAATAAGACCATCAAAATTGGCGAACAATCTTTATATTTTAGGCTATGTGGACATCATTTTGCAGAAAGTAATATTAAAATTCTTAAATTGTCTACAGATGAATATATTTTTTTTATTTTTTTGTTCTTTTTTACATATTATTTATAGAGTTTCATACAAACTTTCATCTCCAATTTTACCCTCTTATGGAATTGAATTTCGAAAAATGTTAAAACATGTACATATTTATTTAATTGTATTGAAGAGCATTAATACCAAGTTTCAAGTAATTCTGATCATAAATAATTCTTTGCCCAAATAAACTTTATTACCCCTTTTCCCCCCTTTAAGGGATGAATTTTGAAAAAATCTAATAATTATATTTTTTATTTTATAGCTAAACACCACTTTTGTGTGTTTCACATTAAATATGACAGGGTTTCATAAAATCTTTAACCCCGTATTTTACCCAGTTCGGGGATGAATTTCGAAAAATCCTGTCTTATTGGATGCCTACATCATATAAGAAATACCTTCTCCAAATTTCACGTTTCTACGACCAATGGTTAATTAAGGCTGTGAGTTGTTCGATCAGTCAGTCGGGTCCACCACAGGATGCACCTCTCCTTCTCAATTCTTCCTTCAGCTGGTCTAACTTCCAGGTACAATACATTGCACAGGTAAGATGTGAACACAATAGAAGCAAAAAACCAGGTACCTAAATATTTATACGTAACTGAACTACGCGGCAGGGGCCGCGGGAAAACGCTTGTGGCGTATAAAATCAAATAATAATCGGTAACGAATTTAGATTTGCTATGTAGTATCCATTCATCGTGTTAGATATAAGTATATAATTACAATATTCTCTCACAGTTGAAAAGGGCAAAAAACCTATAGCGCTACGAGAGAGACGGCCAAGAATAAATAAGTAAATGAAATTAAAAATAAGTATCTACTGTATAGGTTAATTTTTATCAATAATTTTTAGTGTTAGTATTTACCTTTCATATAAAAGTATGTATTAATTATATGCTTATACATTGAATTAGTCTTTTTAGGGTTCCGTACCTCAAAAGGTAAAAAAAGGAACCCTTATAAGATCACTCTCTTGTCCGTCTGTCCGTTTGTCACAACTGATTTTCTCAGGAACGGGTAGACCTAGCAAGTTGATATTTATACCAGATACTCCCTATTAGATGTATAATCAAAGTCATGAGTCAACACGATAAAAAGATATGGACAAATTTAGATTTTCGCGAAAACTTGTAAGTGCCTACCAAAATTTACCTTAATTTTCAACTTTTTTTATTTTTGGAATTTTCCCTTTATTTGTGCTGTAAGACCTTGCTTTTAATCAATATTGAGAATTCTAGGTCAACCGGAAATACTCTATAGGTTTTGGGTCGAAAACCTATATGGTATTTCCTTTTGACCTAGAATCACGAAATTTGGCAAAAAGCAAGGTCTTACAGCACAAATGAAGAACAAATTCCAAAAAATAAAAAAGTTCAAAATTAAAGTTAAATAGATTTCCAACAAATACGGAACTGTCGATAAGCGAGTCCTATTCGCACTTGTCCGTAATTTATCTCGTAAATGCGCGTCAATCAACACGTTACAAAATTCCAAAAGCTGAAATATGAGATCGTATTTATCAATGGATTTCGCCGTAAATTAGAATCACAAAAACCACATGGTCGCTTAATGATGATTTTATCACACCATGCACCAACAATGTGCTCATCATAGAAATTTGTTTTTATTAAAGTTCGACTGATTTATCTTATCTGTTATTTCTATCTTAACTTTTACACTAATCTACTAGTATGAAACTAAAAGTTTGATATACTCAAGGTTAGAGTTAATAAAGGCAAACTGAATTGAGTTTTGAAAGCTAGAAGAAAACCTGTAAAAACATAATATTTTGCTATAAGTCATATTTTATAACACTATACATATTTATACTAATACTAGCATTGCCGCGGCGCCGCCCGTGTTTAGATTACTAAAAACCAAATTCTTAGTTTTTAGATATTAGTATAGGTACTCTTACAATGTAGTTTTTGTATTTTTGCTCAGAAATGAGATATTTTCCCGCTGTAAAAAGTATCCTATATGTTGACCCAGATAACCAGCTATGACCATACCGAATTTCATCACAATCCCTCCAGTAGTTTTTCTGTGATGCCGTAACAGACAAACAGACAGACTAAAATTCTAAAAACTATAGATTCGGCCTCTGCATCGATAATAAAGCCAATTTAAGAAGATTTTCCAAAAAACATTTAATGTACAGATTCGACTCAGTTAGAATTTTATTATATGTGTAGATTATAAAGAAGGAGTGTTTGTTTGATTGTTTGAATACGCTAATCTCAGGAACTGCTAATCCGATTTGGAAAATTGTTTAAACAAAAGGTTATAGGGTATATCATATCTATCATCATGCTACTAGTAGGTACTACACATGGGAGCGGAACAGAAAATATAAATGTCAACAAATCGGGCAGACTTCCGTACATTATTGTAAAGGAAAGGAAGAGTTTGGTTTTTGTACTTTGAACGCAGATGAAGCCGCGGGCTCTGCTAGTTATGTATAACGACTATCATGGTAGCGGCACTCCGCCATTATCATGTTTCTAAAAGTTTGTCACGCCGGCGGTCTAAGGTTGAATGTTTGTAATAAAGTATATTTGGTCCTGCAATATCCCTATGGGTCGAGAATTCATTCATCTCTGTTGGTGGGTCATTTTATCTCTGTTGAGTGTCTATCCCAAGAGAAAAATAATGTGGAGATAATACCTTTTTCCAAAAAAAATCTGCATGTAGGTACATATATAGTTTTTATTGTCTGTGTAGGTACATAATACATTTATGTATACTGTACATTGTACAACCGCATATGTATTGAAAAATATTACCCAAATTATAGATAAACTAGCGTTTTCCTGCGGCTTCGCCCGCTTAGTACATTAATTACCAACATGTCATACCTATACTAAAACCTTCTCCAAAACACGCTGCATCTTATGGTATGAGTATTATTTCGATCCGTTCAGTAGTTATCGCAGCATAACCGAACAAAGAAATCGGCTCTCCATTTATTAGTATAGACGAGGTTAAATTTGCATATAAGATTGAACGTTTTAATCCAGCCGGATTGACTTTAGTTAGATTAGCAAAATTATAATATTTACTGAAAAAATAAATTGTAAAAATACAAACAAAAAGACTAGTACCTACATCAATCGGCGGAAAACAATAAAATATAAAATGTTCTTTTAAAATAGTACTTACTTGATATACTTATATAACATAGATCAACGATTAGTTTTATTTATTATTACAATATTTTCCGTGATTATTATAGAAAAACTAAGAATTACTGTGAATGCCAATAATATGTTGTTACACACATAGATTCATTGAACAGACACTGGCACCGCCAGCCACCGCACGTTATCGCCATCATGTGAACACAGGTTTGCAATTACTTATACGTGTTACATGGACCTTTATGGTAACCTACGTAATATTAGCTCATTATGCAACATGCATCTCAGAATTATGCCATTGCGAGCATTAAATTTTATTATTTACTTGTTGCCTAGCTATAAACATAAGCCTGGCATGTGCTCATTCATGTCTTAAGAATTAATTTTCCCATAATATTAACTTAGTAGGTACCTAATATAATTTTTTTCATGTTCTTATTCTATTTTGAGATAAAATATTTATTTATAAATTACTAGCTTCATATTCACCTGCTTGTACAGTTTTTTGCTTTATTAAGGATGCATCAACATGCAATAAAATTTATTTATCCCTATCATCAGAACCCTTTGAGATGTTCGGGCTTTGTACAGGAGAGGGAACGTAGTTTGCAGATCCAGAGTTTAATGTTTTGTTAAATTACTGTATAAAATTTACTGGAATCAAGTGAAACGTGTATAAAATCCACTATGTGTTAACGCATAATTTGATCCACCTGTGTACCTATCAAGTTTCATTTAAATCCTTTGAACGGTTATCGTATCATTCAGTAACAATTAACAAATTCTCAAACATCTTTACAAAGTGTTCCATTTTTATTAATATTAGTAGTTAAGATTATTTAAATTATAGTGTGAATATTTCTTAATAGCCGTATGCGTAAATGTTCCAAGTGTGCGATGTAACTTGAGAGGCAACGTGCGCACACCAGATGCCGGCAGTGCCAGCCACCGGTCGGTGCGATAGTCCCGCCGCGCCGTGACGTCGCCATTTTTATGCCTTTATGCTTTACTCTGCTACAACTAATACTGTGTAAATTTTGTCATAAAATTAGTAAAAACCCTGATTACTCACTCTTTATTTTTAGGATTCACAAAAACATTATACAAATATGTATCTATGTAAAAAAATATCGTTGATGTTTCCGGTTAAAAAAGTTTCACAAACAATGTTAGTAATATTATTTATAAGTAAAAAACATGAATTAAATTATGTATAATGTCAAGTATATGAGATTTATTTTTTTAATTTTACATACACGACAAATATTTCGATCATTTTATTACTTAACACCTTTGGAACTTTGAAATGTAGAGCCGTTTTAGTATTGACGTTGAAATCATGTAAGATTCGTTATTTATTACGTATGGGTTTGTTGTTGTTCCATTGTCCACCAACACTTCCGAGGAATTTTATCGTTTCCTTATCAAGGGATGTAACCATTGCAAAAATAATATCAATTCCGCTCCTAACGGAATTTCCGCCACATCATTATAGTACGCGACTTAAACCCTTTAAGCCCTACGGTACCGTGGTTATTTCTTACCGTACGTATCGTATCTTACCGTGGTTAGGTGACGTGCAAATTAATCAGGTAAGATCTTCTGACCGAAGTTTTTTCTACTAAAACTTTAATATTCGAATTCACTTGAGTTATAAACGTTAATCATAGAAATTTTGAGAAATGAATATTTTTCACCTTTATTATTATTCTGATAAATACCTATATCCTCCTCATTTCTCTTATAAATTATTATATCTTACTAGCATTGCCCGCAGCTCCGCCCGCGTTCAAATGACCAAAAATCAAATTCTTGGGTTTTACATATTAGTATACTTTTACATTGCGGTTTTTGTATTTTTTCTTAGACAGGAGATATTTTCCCGCGATAAAAAGTATCCTATACGTTGACCCGGATAACCAGCTATCACCATACTAAATTTCATCGAAATCCCTCCAGTGGTTTTTCTGTGATGCGGTAACAGACAGACAGACAGATAGACAGACAGACAGACAAAAATTCTAATAACTATACATTCGGCCTCTCTATTGATAATAATGTTTATTTCAATAAGATTTTCCAAAAAATATTTAATGTACAGATTCGGCTTAGTTACAATTTTATTATATGTATAGACTAGCATTGCCCGCGGCTCCGCCCGCGTTCAGATGACCAAAAACTAAATTCTTAGGTGTTACATATTAGTATACTCTTACATTGCAGTTTTTGTATTTTTCCTCAGAAATAAGATATTTTCCCGCGGTAAAAAGTATCCTAGGATCGCGCGCTACATCGCCCGGTTTATATAGCTTGAGCAGGCGGTCGAGCGATGCGGGGCAGAGGGGATGGACTCGCCGTAGGCATCTCAATGCTCGCCAAGCATTAAAAATGTTTCGCTACTAATTACTTCTAACAACGATATCTCAAAAACTATTCATCTGATTGATTTAGTGTAAAGAGCAATTTTAATCTGCATTAAATGACTAAGCTAACTAAAATATTCATTTGGATAAGGATTAATACCGAACTAAAGAAAATAACTTTGAAAATAACGTAATGTTTTTAATTAAAAATGTTAACATAAAAGTGGTTATTGTAAGTCAACCGTAAGAGATAGAGATATGCTATCGCGGACTTTTTTGTAGCATTTTTATAGATTTTGAATTCTCTAGTACATTACTTAACTGTATCTTTGCTAGTTTACGCGGCGTTCGCGTGGAAAGTTCCCATTTGGCGAGATTTTTTGCGACCTCTTCAACATTTGTCCCCGTATTTCAGCTAATTTACATAAAAGCATAATAAATTATATACCTAAACCTTCCTCAAGAATTACTCTTTCTATTGTTGAAAACCGTATAAAAATCCGTTCAGTAGTTTTCGAGTTTATCGCGTACAGACAGACAGGAGGACAGAAAGACGCGGCCGGGGGACTTATTTTTATAATAAGTATAGATAATAAATAATAAGTAATTATCTTTCAATCTAAATAATGAAGTATATGATGAAATAATTATATCTGATTATATTGATGTGATCAAAAACTTTCTTTATGTAAAAACTTTACCGTTATGGTCTATGGTTAAATATAACAATATTTTTACATTTTAATTAACTATTTTATTCAATTCAATAGATATAAGACTCTTGGGCAGGTCGGGCAAATAAGCGATAAGAGTGAAAGAAGTGAATGATCCGTAAACCACATATTATCGTTGCGTTCAATAAACAACTTTTTAAATAATATTTCATATTTAATAACACATACGTGCTTATCTTTATTATTTGCAACTGATCGTTTACATATTGCAAAGTGAATCAAACGAGCCCTTTGAACGATATTGGATGCATAAAATACATTGTTTCATATAACAGTAAGTTCAGACACGTTTTGATGAGCGGTGGTAATATGGAACATATCGTTGATCTCGAGCTGTGCGGTGTAGATGCGGGCAGCGGTACTCCCGCGCATGGCAGACCGGGCGATAATCGTCGATGGCTGTTATCGCGCGTCCGTTGCGCTGTCCGGAGCGGCCGCGACCGCTCACTCGGTCTGTACAACGCACTGCACATGCTTGTCGATCCTAAACTGTTTAACTAACTGTGGTTTTTTTTAATTGAAATAGTATTTTATTCAAGTTCATTGCAACTCGCGGCTTATTTGCATTGTATGTAAGTATATAATTAAAATCATATATTAACTTTATCTTCTATACATATAATAAAATTGTAACGAAGCCGAATCTGTACATTAAATATATTTTGGAAAATCTTATTGAAATAAACATTATTATCGATACAGAGGTCGAATCTATAGTTTTAGAATTTCTGTCTGTCTGTCTGTTACCGCTTCACAGAAAAACCACTAGAGGGATTTTGATGAAATTTGATATGGTGATCGCTGGTTATCCGGGTCAACATATAGGACACTTTTTACCGCGGGAAAATCTCTCATTTTTTTAAAAAAATACAAAAACTGCAATGTAAGAGTATACTAATATGTAAAACCTAAGAATTTGTTTTTTGGTCATTTGAACGCGGGCGGAGCCGCAGGCAATGCTAGTATATAATAAAGCTGATTATTTCAAATATGTATTTTCATGATTTCAGGGTTAAAATGTACCGCGATACCGGCGGATTGCTTCTGGATGACGCTCTCCTAAATGATCATCTTATGTTCGAATTTTCGCCTGCAGAAAGTCTTATCAACTTCGAATTACCATCGAACGTTAATGCAGAATGTAATTTTGTTGATTGGCAACTTAGTGATTTGGACTTCAATTGTGATACTTTTATTCATGGCCTGGACAGTTCAAACAGAGATTCTAATTTTGAAGATAGTTCACCGATACTTTTCGATTTCGATGATTTGGACAAAAATATTGACTTAGACGATTATCTTCTGGAAGCCATAACTAGTGATAAGTCTAACGACGTGCTGCAATCGAGGATAGAAACTTCACAGAGTGGTGATGATACATCTCTAGGTGGGCTTTCTGTACTTGGAATAGATTTAGAGACAACGTCCGTTCAGAACGTTCAACACACCGACCGACCGGCTGCTTTAAGTAAAAGTGGAAAAGTGCGGTACCTTGTATCACAAGAGACTAAAATTCAGACATGGGGCGAGCCTACGTTTTGCCCGGAACTCGGAGCCTTTCGATGTCCGGTAGAGGAGTGCGGAAAGCTATATGCAAAAACGTCGCACGTTCGCGCGCACTTACGACGCCATAGTGGCGAGAAGCCCTACCAATGTACGTGGGGAGGCTGTAGTTGGCGGTTTGCACGATCCGACGAATTGGCGCGACATCGTCGAAGCCATTCAGGTGACAAGCCTTACCGGTGCGGCGAGTGCGGTAAGAGGTTCGCGCGTTCTGATCATCTCGCGAAGCACGGCCGCGTACACGCGCGCCGTGCTGCAGCCGCCGCCGCAGCTACTAAAAGAGCATCCTCGCATTCTCACCGAACCAGAAGACTGTTTTAAATGTGTGATACCTAATTTAAAGTCATATACTCAAATAATTGATCCAAAGATCGCGCGGGCGCGTAAATAGTTTTATAGTTAAAAGTGTTAAATTTTAGGAAACAAGGTGATTTATATATAATACATAGTTTATTATTTGTAATTTTGTAATAGCTGGTCTTGCGGTCTTGTTTAATCATTTATTTTATTTTGTTACTTTAATATTAGTTGGATATAAAACTTAACTGATTACTTACAATAAACGTCCGTGTTAAATATGGTGTAGAGTATTATGTAAAAAAACTATATTGTAATTTATTTGTATATATCTGTGTCCAACTATTCTGGAATATACTAATGAATGATTTGATAAAAGAGTAAGTTAGAATATTTACATAGTAACCCGTGTATAGCCTAGGTAACTTAATGTCAGCAAGATACGTAGGTACATATTATATGATGAGTATAGTCATTGTGTGTTCAGTTGCCTACCAAGAGTCTGGTTATTTTTTGTTTACAATCATATTCTTGCTATAATTTCCAAAGATATCTAGCACATTGTATGCACTAGAACAGAAAAACAACAATAAACTGTTTTGTTAATTACCTTTTAGATAAGTAACCATAATAAAATAATGTTGACTCTACATTGTACTTATATTATTACTTGGTAAGTATATGAAACTAGATTACCTGCTAAGTGCGAAACTAAAAATAAACTTATGTTTAAAACAGCTAATCACTTGATTAATATTTAATAGGTAGCTATTATATTTTATAGAATTTGAATCAAAATTTAAATACGTACCTATGTTATGATTTTTCTGCTTTTTAATTAAGTACGTAGGTAGGCAATTGATTATTATACTTTTAGCTCAAATAAATATTTTAATTGTACCAATAGGAATTAAAAAAACGCCAATTGAGAACAAGTTTATTGTATTATTGTATTTGTACTAATAGACAGTAGCGGATTTAGGCTTAGGCTCGTGAGACCCGGGCCTAGGGCGGCAAATTTTAAGACTACTAAAATTAAAAATCGATTGGGTTTTCTGTAAACTGGAAAATCAAATTATAAAGTTTATTTTCTTGCGCTCTTACAATCTAAACACAGTCAATAGTAGAATTTTTTTGTTAAAATATTTAATCTATATATACTGTTACGAAAGAAAAAGGGCGCCATATCGACTTGGGCCTAGGGCGCCATCGAACCTAAATCCACTACTGTAAGAATTCGATTTACAAGTCAGCCTAATAAAGATGATTAAAATTTTTAAATATTCCTGTAAAATATCATATAAATATATAATACTATATCTTTTATTTTTTACACTACAATCTTTGTAACTGTTACAAAGGATATTAAAATGTCTATGAGTAGCTGCGGACCGGATACACTAATAAATATAATGTGTCACTTTAGACTTCTGATTCACGACTTCTATCTGTCTTGTAATCGTTCGTTTTTATATTGTGACTTCATAAAATAATCATGAATGTAACAAGGATTTTAACTTTAATACTATCTACTTTACATAAGATATTATTAAATATTTTAATTTTATTTTTAATTTCGTCTTCTTACTTGAACCGTCTTCAATAAGGCATTGATTTAAAATAAATCGGAATTATACAAGATTTCTCTCCTGACTGCATAATATGTACTGTATTTTTAGTTCACTTTTTACGCAATCGGCTACTATTATTTTTGTTAATTTACAACTTTTCAACCGACTTCCTCAAAAAGGAAGAGGTTCTCAATTCGGCTGTATGGTTTTTTTTTATTTTTTTTATGTTTGTTACCTAAGAACTCTGTCATTTATTAAACCGATTTGGACAATTTTTGTTTTGTTTGAAAATGTATACGTCCAGATTGGTCCCATTTAAATTAAAAAAAAAAAATACCACCCCCAGGGGTGGAAAAATAGCTAATTATGAATTTAACCTACTTCTAATTATCATATTGACTTGAAACTTTGCAAGTGTTTCTATTTCCGTTGATAGTGCAGTGGTTCGGTATCTTTGACCTGATCTGATGGTAAGGCCAGAAGGTGGATAGGTGGAACTCTTCAACGGCTAATAGTAGATACTTTGAGTTTGGGTTTATTTTGTTTCATTTGACAAGCCTAACACGTCAGAATCGGATATTAGAGCCAGAATTTTTAGTGTTACTAATAAAAGCGAATTTTAGTTTGTAAGTGTTCGTATAAAAATTGGCATCAAAGTAACTTAAACGGTTTAAGCGAATATTTTATTAAAATACTTTCTTCTTACTTTGCTATTACTATGTCTACACTAAGAAGGAAAAAAATACTTTTTAAGAAAAAAAAACCGACTTCAAAAAAAGTCCTAAAAAGTTAAAAAATAACTGATAGGTAGATTTGATTTACTATACATACCTAATCAAATATTTTCGAAGTCAGTGCCAGCCGATACAAAGCAAAGCACACCGACTTCGAAAATATTTGATTAGCCTGTATGTATAAATGAAAACTATCAATCAGTAATTTTTTACTTTTTAGGACTTTTTTGAGGTGGGTTTTAATTTTTTTGTTAGAAACTTTTTATTAGTTTTTAGTTCAATCGGAATCCTGAACCCAAAGTTTTATTTTTGCTTCCCAATACAAACTTTCATTCCCAGTTTCACCTCCTTAAGGGATGATTTCCGGAATAAAATGTATTCTAAGTCCTTCCCTGGGTCTCAAACTATCTTCTTACCAAATTTCATCTCAATATCAAATTTCATCAGGCTCTGTAGATCCAGAGATTACCTCCTACAACGCCATAAACTCACAACCTCACGAACTCACAAACTTTACCTCTTTATAATATTAGTATAGATTAAAATCGGTTAAGCGGTTTAGTAATTTCGAAAGAGTTATATACACATATAGGTCAAATACATAACACTTCTTTGGGCTTTGCCGTAATCGGGTAAAAAACTATAAATAAATATTTGTTTTCGAAGCCAAAATTGTTTGTTTTGCATATTAATCATACATTTTTAAATGCTTATCAAATTTAAACAGAAATGGAATCTTAATTTAAAAATAAACTAGGTTTAAAAAAACCGACTTTAAATCTAAAATGTATAAAATTCCTCCTTCCTTCCTTCCAAACGAAGGAGGTTTTCAATTCGTCGGCATCTTTTTTTTATGTATGTTCACTCATTACTCGAAGACGCCTGAACCGATTTGGATTTTTTTTAGGTTTTTTTTTCAAAAAAAAACCGACTTCCAGGCACTAAAATGAACCTAATCAGATATTTTCGAAATCGGTGCCATATATTTAAACGAGCAATTCTTGTATATATACCAATATATAATCTGAATCTCGGAAACGGCTCCAACGATTTTCATGAAATTTAGTATACAAGGAGTTTCGGGGGGCGATAAATCGATCTAGATTAGTCTTATGTCTGGGAAAATGCGTGTTTTTGAATTTTCATGCAGTTTTCTTTTGCTATTCCACTAAAATATGGTCGGTAATTTGCACGCTCGGTAATAAGCATCGTGTTCAAGCGGCCAAGGTGCAAGATCAACAATCACAGGTGTCCAGGTTCGAATCTCGGTCACATACAAAGTTTTTACTTTTATTTTTTTTTAATATTTATTCAAGTTTTTTGTATTGTTTTTTTTAAAAAAAGACGCAAGATTGACAATCATAGGTGTCCAGGTTTGAATCCCGGTCGAATACAAAGGTATATTTTTTTTTTGTTTTTTTTTGTATTTATTCAAGTTTTTAGTTTTTTTTTTAAAGAAAATTGTACTTTTCAACCAAAAACTCCGAGCGAAGCTCGGTGGCCCAGGGACTGTATAGAGCGAAGGCGTAGAAGGGACATGATGGCATGACAGCGTCACGCTACCGTATGCCGTCACGACATACGAGTCGGTTTAACTGCCAAGGCGAACCACATCAAAAAAACTTGAATTAAAAATTTTTTATAATTTGTATACAGCCTCTATACAAATTATAAAAATCACCTTTTTAAATATTTTGGTCGAAACTCGCAATCTCAGATCCGAATTTTTATTAAGGAGAGTTACGACAATATATGTTCATATTGTATCATTATGGATATATTGGGTCATATTTGGAGATTGTAGATTAATAAAAGTTTCATAAATAATCTGTTTTCATCTATAATTTCTCATACCGATTACTGTCCGACTCCTCATATATTTTAAACATTTGGATATATTTAAAAAAAAAAAGAAATGTTTAAGTAAATGTCAATACATGGCTTTTTTATTACATTAATATTTTTGTAGACGAATCTGTTATTCATAAATCATAAATGAAGGATATGATAAGCTTCTAATCTTTGTGCCCGGGTAATAGAAGTGTGCATGTTATTCTGGAGCCCTTGAATTTTAGGTATTGTAACGTGTTTTCATGATATGATGCACTTGTTATTAAAATGAATTATACTCCACTTCACATATATACGTAAATATCTTGAAAAATGTAGCTGCCGTTGCGTACTTGGCCGCAACGTTTTCACAGCCAGGTGTAAGCATCGAATTTGTTCCAAAAAGTCAATTATTATTTATTTAATTAGACATACTATCGGGCACATTGTAATAGGCACCCCGGTCAAAACATATTGTACCTTTTATTATTGTATATAAAAAATGATTTTGATTAAATACGCTATGAACCTAGCAATCTCGCAGCCGGATCTTGATCAAGTATAAAGGGGATGTCACTATACCACTTTAAATATATATATTATCTATTAAATCCAATGCTTACGCAATACTACAAGATTTCAAGTTTGTTCTTTCTACTTGGGCGCGGTGCTTGCTGTACACGAGTCTGATTTGATCAGGATGAGGTTTGATCAGGTGAGGTCTGATTTGATGAAACTGGTGGACAGCCGAGCGTGTCTGTACCGGCTATTAGAGTTGCAACTTGCAACGCATGCACATGACCAATCTGGTAGCAAGAAAAAAAATATATAAGAAGTAATTAGTGTCTCACACTGTGATACTTTGTTATATTATTCAATATTGTTAATCTATCTGTATTATAATAATTATTATTGTGCTCTTTATTGCTTAACGTCAAACAAAGGAAAATCCAATAGGTATATAATTACTACTTAATTCAGAGTTAAATGATTAAAGTAGTTCTCGGCAAAATGTTTAATTTGATATTGCGCTTATAACGTTATCAAGAAAATTGAATTGATAATCTATACATATAATAAAATTCTAACTGTTCGCTAGTTTGATATATAAGCAAACCCTTTTAATCTCAAGATTGCCCATATTACCTCATGCCCTTCACTTTTTCAGAATGTAGAATATAAAAATACAGAAATAAACAAAGTCATGAATTATAAAAAATACTTAGTTTCACAAAGTATACATAATGGAAAAAAAATATTTAAAGGAATTCTATTTTGCTGCATAGTTATTAACCTCTCTTTAATAGAAAAAGTAAATATTGTCTATAGTATAGCAAAAAATACTCTATGCTTACTTAAAATACGACCAAGTTAGGATGACATTTTAGTGGATACAATTATTATGGAACCTTTAGATATTTAAACTGATAGACTTATGAATAGATACACGATTCAATTCAACTCTACATACAAATAAAAATGGTGGTTCAATTTCTATAAAACACTAAGTAAATTGAATTATGATATAAAAGTAATGTAAGCTTATTAAAAGTTATATTTGTTATTCAGTATTTTCATATTGTAATTGTGCATCTGGGTGCGATTACGTGGTGCGTAAGCAAGAGTTGTGTTTGACAAATAACAGGTTGTTGAATATACCGACTTGGTTGAGGTTTCATACAATAATTGCTGTGTTGTTTTTAATTATTGATGAAGATATTTTAACAAGTGAGAAATAAAATATTATCAGTGCTCAATCAAATTGTATCAGAAAGATCTTTATTTTACAAGGGAGGCAAGTTGAGAGACTTCTTTTCAATCAGCATGTGACCCACATCTGAGATTTCTCTTCCTTGTATATTGTTGTTAATATTAACTCTACATTTAAAAACACCGACAGTGCACCGGCTTAATTTGAAAAATTGTAATAATTGTGTGCACCTTTGTGGACATGACATTTATCAAAGTTGTCACGGTTGACTACAACCCGTGCAGCTCTCGGGGGGTCAGATACATAATGCAAGAATTCTGCAAATATCGTTTACATTGAAGATCACTTCGAAGCGTTTAATTTTTTTATAATCAGAACGAAGTGCTCAGTTTACTGATGATAATTTATTTAGGAAAAATGTGGTTCTTACTACTTTCTTTTAAAGACATTACCGCGAAGTGATGTGGTGCACCAAAATGAGATTAACAAATTTTAATTAACGTTTCAAAAAAGTATATACAATGAAGCAGGATGGCGCATGCTGAAAATCATAGATATATTGTGCAGGTTTGTAGAACCGTCTTAATTAAAAATTATATATTTTAAATGTATAGATTTGTTACACTTAAAGTACATAATTTAAACTAAATCTGTATCTTAAACTTTATAGATACATTATCTTTTTAAACAAGGACTGAAATTGTATCTGTATTTTAAAAATTTTGTCCTATTTGAATGAACTTTTACTGATAATGAACTTTTAAATTGACCTTTGTTCATCTTTTTATCAGAGCCTTCAAATAACTAATATGTTAACAATGTTTTATGTCCTAATTATAAAATTATTTTATTTACAAAATGAATAATAATATTATTGTTATGTATTATTTATGTTTTAACATTATTTCTGATTTAGCATAGAAATTTTTAATTTTGGACTGAAATTATAAATAATTCAATGAATTCTACATATATCATGAACAACATTACAAATAATACAAATTTACAAATAAATATATTAGAAAATTTTTTACCATATTCTGTTTTTAATCCCAGAGATTACTATTATTATCCCAGAGATTACTATATGTATGGAAATGCTAACTGAATCGAAACCTGCATTGCTCGATCATGTGTTAGTAGTCTAGTGTATGTTACAAATGTAAATATTTTCAGTTTTATATAATATATTATTATTGCTTGAAGATAATAACATAATAAAGTTGATTGTTTTAAAGTTAAAAAAAATAGTTATAAAGATTTTTTTATGATCATCTAACAAAAACATTCCATGTATGTAGTAGTTGCTAAATTGAAATCAATTCAATTATTATTATTATCTTTATAAAGTATAAAACTTACCTTCTATAGAGCTAAATTAGTTAGAATGCTTTAGTGATGTTCATTTTTAACACTTACATTTACATGAATATTTGATGTTTTAAATGAAACTAACCTTTCAGATTTTATTGCACTTTTACTTTATTATTTTTGTTCCTGACATTAAATGCTTTACAATAGCAAATACATTTATTGGAAAGTTGTGACTTGTTTGCTTTAAAGCATTCGAAAACTGCGACAAATTAGTGTCTGGGATAAGCCTGAACAAACACAAACTTAACTTAAATTTATGAAATATATTGATTTTGCATATATGAATAAAGTCTATATTTTTAGGTGTTTGTGGGAGCACTTTCTGCACAATATGAAGCTTTGTCAGTAGAAGCCTCAAAGCAGACAAGCTCTGAAGAAATAGTTTGCTGTATTGCTGACAAACTCAATTTAAATGATGGAGCTGGAGGGCCATACGAGCTGGCAGAGGTATGTTATAATTAATAATTTTAGCTAATTCAATCTTTCTAACATATAACTATCATTAATAATTAAATACAAACTTGATGCAAGTTGATATTTATACCCACAATATTTTTATTATTACTTATATTATTGTTTTAATGCAATTAATCGTTATTAAAATTAAATATTTATATATAAATAAATAAAATATTTTTGTAAATGTAAAGTAAACAAATAGAATATGTTTAAGCTCTTCACACATCTGTTTTTTGTTTTAATATAAATTTAAATATTTTTTATTTTAATATAAATAATTTTGGATTGTTATGGTCGATAAGTATGTAAATTGATGGAGAAATTATTCAAGGTGTTAAAGTAAAAAGGAATTTAAAATGTGTCTCGAAATTTTTTCAACCTTCATTTCATTATAGGTTAAGACTTAAGACATAGCAAGGCCTTTCATTTGATAACTTTTTAAATAAAAAAAAAAACAGTACATGTAAACTTGTTGTACTAGAAACAATAGCAATACAACCTTAGTGTAAAACGAGATTAGTCATTGATGATAAATATCATCAATTAATTTTTTGCTGCATTACAAGTAGCTACTTGTGTGAATTCCGCACAATTGCCTCTTCTTTATAGATGTTATAAAACTAAGTTTCCGTTTAAATTCTATCTAAAGTGGGAGCTATTTTTCATAAATGAAATTACGATTTATTTCCTAGTAATACGGCACTCGCTTGGGAAACCAAGTGAAGCGGGTTCAAATCCCGGGTCTTGCACCTCTGATATTTTCATGTGCGAATCGTTTCCACTATGACAACCCACTGTCTTACAACATCGTGAGGAAACCAGCATGTCGGAGAGAACCAAGCATGGAGGGCCGTGGCATGCAGTGGGACGTTAAAAAGGACTGAGAGAGAGAGAAATAAGATGCACCTATTTAGTTATAGAAAGGATTTAATTAAAAAAATATAGGGATACAAAAAATAATAAATACAAGAAAACTAATATTGATGAAAACTAAGTAAAGAATGTAGTTTAAAATTGTTATATTTTGTTAGGTTGTGGGGGACATGGTTAGCGGGGAATGCAAAGAAAGGCGACTCGGACCAAATGAGTCGCCGGTAGCCGTCATGATGCTGTGGCCGAACAATAACTCTGGTCAATACTACAGGTATTTTAAATATTTTACTACATACATAGATTATAAAGAGTATCGAGTAACTTATCGCTACATATACATACATAGTAAACAGGAAGTTATTTATAACATTTAATTCAAATCGAGTATGTTGTACAAGTATTTCACATTTTATTGTTTAACTTCTTAAACTAAATCATTTATCTATACCTACATATAATAAAATTCTAACTGAGCCAAATCTGTACATGAAATATTTTTGGGAAAATCTTATTGACATAGACATTATTATCAATATAGAGGCCGAATCTATAGTTTTTAGATTTTTTGTCTATCTGTCTGTCTGTTACCGAATCACGGAAAAACCACTGGACGAATTTTGATGAAATTTGGTATGATGGTAGCTGGTTATCCGGGTCAACATATAGGATAAGGACTTTTTATTGCGGGAAAATATCTCATTTCTGAGAAATCTATACTAAAAGTTAAAACGTAAGTAGCGACGAACCCGAGCGGAGCGAGGGTGAGTCGCTAGTTAGCTACTAATTTTATGTCATCTTTTCGTTATATTTGAACCCCACTTTGTTTAGTTATAAGTTTTAGAGTAAGCCAATGGTTATGAAACTCAGAATCTCATTATTCAATTTATATACCTACTATATGTCTAAATCACCTTGTGAAGGCACATCATTCATAAAAATGTCTTTCATAGCTTTTGTTTATATAAATTTTAATGGCGCGAAAATATTCCATGTTCAATAACTAGAGCGTCTGCTGGCACCTTGGCATTTATTTCCAGTCATCTTTGAAAACAAACATTTCTTCGGCTGCGATGACGGATAGTGCCGTATAAAGTATTTAGTAATAATTTTTAATAGAAAATACGTGGAGAATAAGATTATTCACGTGCTATCTCTTCCAATACATGTATTTGGAATTTTTATGACGTGTTCTATTAGACTGCATGTCTTCATTTTATCAGCCCTACTTTCGTACTTCCTTTCGCAAAATCTTGCTGACTCATACCGCGAATTTTGTTCCATCACAGCCACATATAGGGACTTTAGATTAGCCCCTTACTAATTATTGTAAATCTTATTTGTGTTAACCTCAACCAAGCGTTTAGTGTTACAGAAATCATACTAATTTTGTAAATGCCTCTTCGCTTGTTAATCCAATCAGACTACTTAAATATACTAGATTAATTTATTTTCATATACTGCTGCACCATTTTATACTTTAAATTAGCATTGCCCGCGGCTCCGCTCGCGTTCAGATGTCCAAAAACCAAATTCTTAGGTTTTACATAGTAGTATACTCTTACATTGCAGTTATTGTATTTTTTCTCAGAAATGAGATATTTTCCCGCGATAAAAAATATCTTATATGTTGACCCGGATAACCAGGTATCATCGTATCAAATTTCATCAAAATCTTTACAGTAGTTTTTCCTTGATGCGGTAACAGACAGACAGACAAAAATTCTAAAAACTATAGATTCTATAGCCTCTGTATCGATAATATTGTTTATTTCAATAAGATTTTCCAAAAAATATTTAATGTACAGATTAGGCTCAGTTACAATTTTATTATATGTATAGATTGTATTTCTTTAAATAGAACCTAAAATTATCCAACAAGTTAATATTGTCTAAAAATAACAACTAAAAAGGTCTAGATGAAAAAATTCGAAACAAATATTTTCCTCGACGACTTAATTAGCAACAATGCAGTATCCAGTCTGCTGCATAATAATTATCGAAGTACAACGATACAACTTAACCTTGCCAACATATTTATTTACATTCAATACGTGAACGATATCTTTACTTATAGACGTATACGGTAACGATCACGTTAGCGTCACTTGGTTATTTCTTGAGAATACTAGATGTTATTGTTATAGGTTTAATGAATACAAATGTACCGTGTAAAGCATTTGAATATGATTAAATTAAAGCAAATATGTAATATATTTGTGTCAAATATAAAAAAAACCTAATATGCTATATAAAAAAATATTTTACCTCTATATGTACATTTTATTAATAGATCTACATATTATGTGTAATATATTATTTTGTATGAGAATGATTCTTGATATCTTTCTGGTCCATTAAATTATCCTGTCACTGGACAAGTATTTGTAGACGACAATGGTCTTTATATTTGTGCAGTGATTCATATATAATTATATATTTACGTGTAATATAATTGTTATAGTAATTTTTGCTCTCGTATCCTTAATATAAACAGTAAAACGTATGTTTTAGTATAGACAACTATAGTTTTACGCGTTAATTATCCCAGTTTACTAAATCACTACATTTAAGAAACGTTTAAAATAATTTCGATTTAATGAAGGGCAATATTACCACTGGTCGGGGTATATTGTTGATGCTAGTGACTCACTCTTCCTGCCGCGGCCGTGTGATAACAACCATCCTGCCAATCAAATTCAAACTGAAATTTTACTTCTCAGAGTAAAGATGAATTCTAAAAGCTGCTTTTGGTAAATTCTTAAATATAACGAAAACATAACAACTATATTATTTATTATTCTATAGATAATAGAATTTACTTTTGTTGCCAGGTTCTATCTACGTGAAAAGATTCCCGACGAGCCATGGATGGAGAACTTTTCAGTGGACCCGCAACTTATAAAAGATTATTTTCAAAGGTTCCTGTACCAGCCAAAAGACCGAGAATATCCAGACCTCTGCCAGCTGCCAGAATTAAATGAACAAACATTGTTAGACAATCTGAGAGCACGATTTGCCGCTGGATATATATATACCTACGTAGGTTCTATACTAATAGCTCTCAATCCTTTCAAGTTCTACCCAATTTACAATCCAAAATACGTAAAATTGTACCAAAACAAGCGAATCGGCTCCAGCCTTCCTCCACATATATTCGCAGTAGCCGACGCAGCGTACCATTGTATGTTGCGAGAGAGAACAAACCAATGTATTGTGATAAGTGGCGAAAGTGGTTCAGGGAAAACGGAAAGTACAAATTTTCTCCTACATCACCTTACAGCTCTCAGTCAGAAAGGCTCACATGGTAGCGGAGTAGAACAGACGATATTAAGTGCGGGGCCCGTGTTAGAAGCATTTGGTAATGCGAAAACGGCACATAACAACAACTCCAGCCGTTTTGGCAAGTTTATTCAAGTGAATTATAAGGAAAATGGTATGGTTCATGGCGCGGTGGTGCAGAAATATTTGTTGGAAAAATCCAGGATATGCAGTCAAGGTCGCAACGAGAGGAACTATCATGTGTTTTACTATCTGCTGGCCGGTGCATCTGAACAAGAAAAAGAGCAGTTGCATTTACTTAGTGTTGACAAATATAATTATTTATCTAAAACTGGTTGTAGTGTAGTGCCTGGTGTTGATGAACAGTATGAGTTTTCTCGTTTAAAACAGTCCATGGATATGGTTGGTTTTACATTGGACAAGCAACGGCGATTGTTTGCCGTTCTGTCTGCTGTGCTTCTATTGGGTAAGTTTTGTTACAACTTTGCGGTGGATATTTGTAGAAATTTTGTTAGAAATGGTATTCATTCTATGTTAATATGTATATGTGTGTAATTAAAATTTTGAAACAGCTTAACATTATCAGCTATCACTATTATCAATTAAATGATAAAATAATAATCAAATTTATGATATTTTTGTAATGTTTATCTTGCATATATAACTAATATTCAATGATAAGAAGCAATATATTAATATTATCAAAGTTAATTGACCCTTACTGAATGTAATCATCATAGAAAATCATCATTTTCATTCTAAAATCTAAGTACTAAAAGCTCCCTTTTAAGTCATAAATTGGCTAATATGCTGTCTATCGTCTCATTAAAGTATGTAATATGTAGTTCTTAAATTTGAAATTTTAAGAACTTTATGCATGCTACTAGCAACCCACCCTCACTTCGCTTCGGGTTTATCCCTGGACAAGAAATCTATCCCACGAGAACCATATATTTACCGGGATAAAAAGTAACCTATGTGCTCCAGGCTATAATTTATTTCTGTGCTAAATTTCATCCAAATCTGTTCAGCTGTTCTGGTCTGATAGAGTAACAAACATCCATCCATCCTCACAAACCTTGACATTTATAATATTAGTATGGATTGTTACCATTATTATTGTAATATTTTAACCAACATAATTAATACTGTGAGTTACAAAAATTAACAATGCAGTAGTCATTTTATGATTATTTTTCCTGTTTTTAACTGCTATAATTTTTAATACAATCTACATGTGGTTTACATACACATATATGTAATAGTAATTATTATTTATAAAAGTTATTGTAAGCAGCAATCATCCCTTACTTCTTAGTTCGTAAAAGTAGAATTATAGATATAATTCATGATAATAATATCTTTGATATGGTCAGGATCATATCTTTATAGTTGTAACTTTACTTTAAATGAATTATTAATTAGTATCGTTCAATATATGACATTCACGTTTCATATTCTGTTTTTTTTCTTTTAAGTTGCCAATTAATCAACTGGCACACTTTGAACAAGAAAATTGAATTGAATTTAATAGAATTTATGCATCTTACTAGTACAGCATATTTGTCCAAATATAGATATTTTTTTTCTTTTAATTACTAATAGTATAAGATTTTATTATTATAGTTTCTCATTATAGGCAATGTTGAATTTCAACCACAACGCAAGTCATACCACCATGACGAGGCAGTTGGTGTCCGCAATCCAGAAGTGGTGTCACTTATATCTTCATTATTACGAGTTAAGCAAGAAACACTACTGGCTGCCCTCACCTCTAAAAGGGCTAGGGCGTCTGGAGAAACACTCGTTATTAATTATAGGTACTTACATATTTTTTGTAATAATTATATGATTATTAATTGATATGAGAAAAAATAAAAATAAAATTCCTTTTTTACATTTACAAATAACACAAGTACAAGTAAAATAAATATGGTTTTGAAAAACTTAAAACACACTTAAATAAGCCCAAACATGAGGGGGTTTACTAGAAGCCATTGATGTACAATCCATCTCTTTGCTCCACCCTCAAATCAGCCAATATACTAAATTTATAGTATTGTCATCCAAACTATACATATGTACAATGTACGTACAAATTTCATTTTAATGCAACAATTACAAGTATGTTAAAATTGAATCTAATAAAAGTATGATAAAAATTAGCTTTCTATATTTTGAATGTCTTGTTTACTCCTAGGCTGCCAGAAGCAATAGCGACAAGGGATGCTATGGCGAAGTGCTTGTATGGTGCTTTGTTCGACTGGATAGTGATGCAGGTCAACCATGCGTTGCTCTCTAAAAAGGACACTCTTAGGGAACATCAGGGACATAGTATAGGTAATACTGGTTGCTTTATTTATTCATAGAAAAATAATATATTTTCAGAAATGTACATCATTTGTCATCTTATACTTATATGGCCATTGAGTGTTGATTTTAGAGTTAGCAGGAAAATTATATTTGTTTATATGAATGTATTAATATTTTTTCATGCATTTATTCCTAAAAATATGATAGAAATAGAGCATTAGGTAATAATTTTAATTTTATTTCTAATATAGTTGAATAGCAATAACAACATAATTAATTTTTTTGTACATTTCTATCATCATGAGTACCACAAGTTTGGAATAGGGAAAAAAATATCCATAAGCTTTACCTAAATTTCATCATGATTGATTGTAGCTTATTAAAATTACAACTGCGAACTCATTTTCGTATTCATTATTATAATTCACCCCGATACATCTAGATTCTAGCATTTGCCGCGGGATAAATCAAAAAGTCACCTTGTCACTAATGAATTGTTAAAATCATTAAACAGGGGTCCTCGATATATTCGGCTTCGAAGACTTCGGTCCGAGCAACAGTTTCGAGCAACTGTGCATCAACTACGCGAACGAACACCTGCAGTACTACTTCAACCAGCACGTGTTCAAGTACGAGCAGGAGGAGTACCGGCGCGAGGGCATCCGATGGACGGACATCGGCTTCTCAGACAATACTGGCTGCTTGCAGCTTATTGAAGGCAAGCCTGGTGGGTTGCTGTGTCTGTTGGATGATCAGTGCAAGTAAGTTTCGCATTCAGTCATTTTTATTTATGTTTTACATTAATTGTAAGATAGCAAGGTGAGCACGGCCTGTCTAATGAAACTTCAAGAAATGTACCTACAAGAAATGAAATATAATTTCGAAAACATCTTCAGTTCCCTATTATGCAATATAGTTCTATTTAATTTGTTTAATGAGTTGTTCTATGGTGGCTAAGCATTTTTATTCTAAATAATGGAAAAGTGAACCATGATTCTTGAACGTCATGGTAATTTAAAAAAAATACTTGATGTATAAATGGTTTATAAGTTACGCCAATTTTTTTAAGTATTTAGTATGAAAAGATGAAAATTTTATTTACAGCATAATTAAAAATGTCCAAATGTTGTCACAATTTTGCATTAAGTGTAATTTTACTAAGGCTTCTTGTATAATAAATTATTTTTTATTTGTATTATCTTCACTATAACATATAGGTGTTATTATTTATAAATAAAATTTCTATTTTTTTCAGCTTTCCATGGGCGACAAACGAGACACTATTACAAAAATTCAATTCAGTACACGAAGACAATCAATTCTACGAAAAACCTCAGCGACGAGAACCTGCGTTTGTCGTGAAACATTACGCCGGGAAAGTTAAATATCAGGTAAACACAATAACATCTGACAACTTGTTTAAACAGCTGTTATATCATTATTTAATTTAATTGATAAAAAAATAGCCAATGATAACATACTATAGTGTTATTAATCTGCTCAAGCATTAATACACGATCACGATAAATGTAAATTATTATTAAAACTTTAATTAAAAGTTAATTATAATCATATTATTTAGATAATATATTGCTTTGCTAATGCTTATCATATTATACGCATGTTGTGTTCTTTGTATATGTTACTAGCGACTCACTCTCGCTTCTCTCGGATTTGTCCCTAGATCCCCCGTAAGGGATGATTTTCGGGATAAAAACTATCCTATGTCCATTACAGGGCCTCAAATTATCTCCTTACCAAATTTCATCTAAATCGGTTCAGTAGATCCAAAGATTACCCCTACCCCCTACAACCTCACAAACTCACAAACTTTACGTCTTATATATTTTATAATATTAATATAGATAAATGTATAGATAGGTAACTAGTTATATAAATACTGGACCTATAAAGCTTACATTGAACAGGTAGGTTAGCTAATGCTAGGACGTTATAATTCAGGGGGTCTAAAGACTGTCTATCGTATGAAAGTCGAACGTTGTTAGTCCTAGAGACATAAAGATTAGTTATTCTGATTACGCATAATTAACGCGGGTGAAGCCGCAGGCAATTCTAGTAAAATAAATTAGTCTTATATAGCTTGCAAAAAAACTGTTTTTTATCTACCGTGAAAAAAACACGTTCTTTTCTGGTGCATGTTTTCTCAAGAGTACAGAATTCAATTATTAAGGTAGTGTTCGTGAAAGATTAATATTTAAAAAAAAAACAAAGTCGAAAAAAAGAGAAAAAAAACAGACGTTTTTTTTATCCGAGTGAAGCGCTTTCAAATTCCGGATCTCGCACCTCTAATATATTCATGTGCTATATCATTTCGAACATGATTACCACTTCTCTTATGGTGAATGAAAACATTGAGAGGAAACCTGCATGTCTGAGAGAACCAAGCAAGTTTTCACCCACACTTGGCCAGCGTGGTGGACTATGGCCTGATCCCCCTCGCATTGAAAAGAGGCAGGTGCCCAGCAGTGGGTTGTTAAAAAGCGCTTAATACTTACTGTACTATACTAAATTAGTTTTACCTGATTTTTTATTATTATTACAGGTGACGGCGATGAGAGAAAAGAATTTAGATCTAATGCGGCAGGATATAGTGAGCGTTCTGAAGAATTCATCGCTGGCGTTTGTTCGCGAGTTAGTGGGCGTGGACCCCGTGGCTGTGTTCAGATGGGCCATTGTACGCGCTTTCTTTCGGTATGAATCTTGCTATAAATTACAAGATTTAAGAATTTTTATTAGATTATTCTGTGCTCAGTGGCAAATATAATAATTATAAGTAGATCAAAACTACTTATCAGATTTGTTTTACATACTTGAGATTTCGAGTCTTTTTTTGATGTTCTTGAAAACGGTATGCTTTACGTCAAAGAAGATTATATGGGAAACCTTAGTATCTTCTTTTTTAGAACACAATTTAAAGTAGAGCAATTAGCGATTATACTTAAAAAGATCATAAAAAATAGTGGAAATGTGTGAGTTTAAAGTTATTGGATTGGATGTTTATAAAGTCTCTTTCATATATCTCGTACATTTTTTACAGAGGCTACTTCGCTTTCTTAGAAGCTGGCAGACGACATCGAGTAAATCGAGTAGATGGCGCATCTAGAGTACCAAGGGCGTCGATTCACGCTCCTAATGACAGCATCATCAGGTAACCATACGTCCGTTATTCTAAACTGATCCATATCTTAAACGTGATTGTGTCCAAATTGCATCGACAATAAACAAAGATCGCTTCTGTCTACAGTTAACCAACTTTCCTCGAAGATGCGTCCTATTAACATATATACGAGGCATGACAACGTAATTTAAAATTTGTCAACTCCTTAAAGATATTAAATTCGATATATTATAATATACTATAAGCTTCGCTAATACTGTATTGTGACGTAATGATATGTCCTCTGCTCAGCCAACTGGTGACTGTATCGTCAATCAATCTCGCAATCAACCGAATTGCGTAAGTCACCGTTTATGGCATGCTTCACTTCTATGTGCACACGCATGATGATATCGATGTTTTTTTTATTTACTACCTACTTTTTGTCATTATTGCTATATTCTGAGGCTGTGTTTAACTGTTTCCCATGCAGATCGTTCATAGAGTAAAAATTATAATATGTAATAAGTGGCACAGATTAAATATGAACTGTTTATTGTACATGTAAACACAGCCTAATTATTTTAGTTTGAACATCTCGCTGTTAGCGTCATTGTAACTAATATATGATTAGAGTCGTTATTATAGTCACATGTCACACGGTCATGCATGCATTTTGACGAAGGCACCTAATCAATCGGTTTTATTTTTATTTGTTTACTTTTGTTTAATACATGTTTTATCTGCCCGTATTTATAATTATTTGTTTCATGTAAATTATAAAAAATTGTACAAATAAATTTGAATCATAATAATCTCATTAGTTATTAAATAATATGATAATAGTATTGTATTAAAAGAAACTTACAAATACGGGTGTGATAGTCCGGTTATCATAAGAAGAGCTGTACTTAATAATGTTATGTTGAAAAAAAATAGTAATTCAGTACTAAAAATTTACTATTATTAAACAGCATATAATAAACACAAATGAAATTGCTGTATATAATTTCATAACCTACTATATAATATATAACAAGTATCTATCAAATAACAACACCTAAACGTCCGGCGATCGCGTGACAAATAACGTTTCGTGTGGCATCTTCTATGAGAGCCGGACGCCATGTGACGTATAGACCAGTATGACACATTGTTTTCCCGCGCCGCCCCGCGATAGAACGGCCGCGCGCGCGGGCAAGGCTCGCGAGGGCAAGCAGCGCGGCAAGCCCTACCGCCTCGCGGACACGCGCGCGCGCCGCCCGGACCGCGACGAGCGCTTCGACGACGCCGACGTGCTGCAGCGCGCCAGCCTGATCGTCATGTACGTGACCCGACGCCAAACGCGACACCCGCTCTCTTTACTCTATATAGCTCTCTCTCTCTCTCTCTCTCTCTCTATTCTCTCTCTTTCTATCTACTGCCTACTTACTGCCTTATTACATAGTAGTACGTTCATCAAACAAATGTGTGCGGCGGCGGTTCTAACGCGACGGCTTTGTTTTGTTCTTTCATTTGTTTTTACTTCATATCATTATCATCATTGCATATATACACTACTCCGCTTGTTAATTTGTCGCTGTGAATAAGCTATTTGGGTATGCAGTGTTATGTTTTGATATTTATTTACTTTAGAGTGAGATTATATTACACAATATGAGTAGTGTATGCATGCTATTTTTGGATTATTATTAGTGTCGATATAGTTGTTATTATTGCTGCTATATTGTGTTATGTTATGATTTTTTTCCAATTAATTTGTTTGATGAATTTTGGTATATATCGGTTGGTGGGTTATTCTGATACGGTGATGGATCTTTGTTTATAATTTTCTTCGCATTGTTTTCTATTAATTAATTTTATATGGGAATTGTTTTTATTATTTATTTTTTTATTATTTTTTTAATTTAAACGAAATTTTGTTATTATAAAAAAATAAGTTTACTAATAAATCACGGCTTTATTATTTAGCAACTGTCAACAGTTATGATTTTATTTACGCATGTTTTATTTGGTGATCGGGGCTCTTGGTAAAAATCGATAAACTTCTAAAAGATTTGTGAATTAACAGGAAAAACAAGTCGTTCAGGCCCCGAGAACGTGCTAAGAAAGGTTTAAAAAATTTACAAAGTGTGAAAACACTGGCGGGTCGCACGGCCGCGCCCGCCGGGAAAAGAAAACAGCCGCTTACAGTGGCCGCACAGTTCCAACACTCACTGGCAGCTCTCATGGAGACATTGAATCAAGCCAATCCTTTCTTTATAAGGTATTCTTACTTATAGGATGCAACGTGTAAATAAATATATGTAATATTATGTTATACTAGGAATTACCATCGCTTCGCTCGGATGCCTAACGAATGTCTTTGTGTTGCGATAAAATTCAAAATATTTTATTCTGCATTAAATTATTACAATTTTTTACTGAACGTCATGAGTCTACTACTAGTTCGGAAACAAGAAGCCTCAGACCTGAGAAGAACTGGCGAAAGAAACTCATCGGGACTAATATTATTTCATTATCTTTTTTTATAAAGTTAAACTATAATTTACAATATTTCTATCAAGTTCAAATAGCCTGGAGGCGATCATTTCATTCCCAAGGTGTCCAAGTCCCAAGTTCCGAGTATTAAGTTTCATCCAAATTCGGCCAGCCGGTTCAGCGTGAAGGAATAAAAACATCACGCACAGGAATCATCAGTGAAACTATCGCATTCATAATTTTAGCCAAATATTTTTTTAAGGTTGAAAATGTCCCTATCCATAGTTATTACGTTTCATCATCTCACTGCTTATTTGTCCAAAGGACCGATTTACGAAAAGAGTTTTTAGTACATAATTATTGACTTTTAAATGTCAATTCTATTGGTATTAAAAACACATTTTACATTAATAAAGCTGGAAAAATGTATTTATCTAAATATATATATAAATGTTAGAAAACAAAGCTTTGTTTTTAAAATAGAGGAAAAAAGCTCTAATGTAAAGTACAATAAGTATTAGTCGTTTGAACAAATATTACGATTTTTTAAATAAAATTTCTATGTATCCTAATGTATTTTTAACCCCCGGCGCAAAAAGATCGTAATTACCGTATCGATTTCGATGCGGTTTTTTTATTTTGAAAGCCAGTTTCCTTGCGGTGGTTATGTTTGGTTAATATCGGTCCAGCAATGTAAGAGTACCAGTACTTTTCCAAAATGGTTTAAGTTAATTTGCGTAGGGGGTCTTTAAATTTATAATTATTAACTAACTTGAACATATCAGAACAGTATATGATTAGCTTCACATATGTTTATTTTAATGATTTATTTCGTTCTTCAGATGTATAAAATCAAATAGCGATAAAGTGCCAAATGTGTTCGACGAAGAAACTGTCCAGCGTCAATTGCGATACACGGGGATGTTGGAGACCGTACGGATAAGACAAGCCGGGTACAACGTGCGGCTCACGTACGAGGAGTTCATACAGCTGTATAGGATACTGTTGCCGAAGGGCCTGCTCAGCTCGCAGGCGGACGTTCGGCATTTCTTAGCTACGTTGAATCTAGATAGAGATAACTATCAACTAGGTCAGTATTGAAATTGTTGATGTTAACACTTGTATTTATAAATATTTATATGTAATTTAACAATTAATCAAGGTCCGCCTGATATTATCTATGCGTATGTTGTCGATACTATATCGGAAGGGATTAATTTTTTTAAATTTTATAGGAAAAAAATTATACATCGTTATTATTCGGAATAGAAAGTGAATATCAAAGAATTAATCCAAAGTCGTAATACACAAATTGAGATATATAAAAATACTGTGTAGTGGCCAACGAATCTTCTAAACAAAATCTCAAATTGTAAACACTACTACATTCGTAAGCTTTCATCCGACCTTCGCGAGCGATCAGCGCGGTTTAGTTTACTTAACTGTTAATTTATTAAATAAATGCTTCTAATAACTGATTCTAATAATAAATACATATACGAGATTTGCAAATAGCTAAAATAAACATAAACTTAAAATATACGAAAGAAATTTTCTTGAAAAACTTGGCTTTCCACAACTCCACTAGTACTAAAACTTTTATGTTTCAGGCGGTACAAAAATTTTCATGCGTGAAAGCGAACAAACAAAACTAGAGTACAGACTGCATCAACAAATCATGGCGTCAATTATTACGATACAGCGTTGGTTCAGAGCTGTGTTAGAAAGGCGACGCTTCCTGGCGTTGCGGAGAGCATCTCTCGTATTACAAGGATATTGCAGGTATTATACATTTACAATGTATATATACATAGTATAAATCAAACTTGCGGTCTGTTTCTCCGCTTACTTTTTCTAAACCAATCAGCGGATTTTGATACGGTTTTCACTAATAGAAAGAACGATAAGCTAGGGAGGTTTGTGTAAATAATTTTCAATGTTTTGTACAAAATGTCTGAGCCTATGTTGTTGCCTTTTTGGATGGTGGTAATTCTAGTTGGATTGAAGCTATTGTCATGGCGCTCTAATGTTACATTTCATGTCTTCGTATAGTAAAGCGTAATTTAAAAAAAAAAGATTAAAAAAATTATTTGCTTTTTCTATATGTTCTTTAACAATTTGAGGAATTTAGCATGCAGTTATTTATGTGTGGTAAACACGACATATTAACTCGTTATTGTTATAACATTGGACTTAGTTTTCTTATCAAACTTATTGTATTGATATAAAGTAATATCATTGGTTGAATAGAAGGAAAAGAGTATGTTTCTTTGCTTATATGATTGAATATACTTAATTAACAGTGTGATAAACGAGTTTTTTTAAATAAAGTGTCATGAAACCATAAGAAGGTCAGTGAATAAAGCAAATATGTTCACAGACAATGGTTATTAATGCGACACGAAGCAGCCATCAAAGTGCAGTCCTGGTTCCGCGGCAGCCGCGTGCGCCGCTGGTACTTGCGGTTGCGCGACACCGCCACGCTCTTCCAAGCTGCTGCAAGGGGTTACCTGCTCAGGAAGACCTTACCTGAGATCAGGAAGTCGAGGGAGCTCGTGCCGCCTAGGACTAAGGTAGGCATATGGGACAATTCTAGAACATTCTAGTACCAGCAAGGTGCACCGTAGCCACACTCTTCTAGGTTGTGGCAAAGGGGTACTTGCTCAACAAACCCTTTACCCATTGAAGTACTTGAAAAAACATTCTAGAAAGTTCTAGTATATTTTGCAAATTTTGATATATATTTGGGTATATAAAAAAATATTTTATTACAAATTGATTATTTACCTGTTTAACATTCAGTTAGTGTTATATATATTAAAATAGTGAGATTATAAACAATTGTAAAACTAATCTAATACAGTAAGATGATTGAGCTCAGGAATGCTTAAATTAAATGTATCATTAAGATAGTATTGTCATTTTAAAATAGTAATAAAACAATATCATTTACGTTATGGTAAAATGAAACCCATTGACATATTAACTTTAATGTTTCTAACTAGTATGATTTTCTAACATATGTAATAATGTGCTAATAAATAATAATTTCAAATAAAGTGTTGTGGAACACACGTGTATATATATATGAGTCGTGTTGACAGCATGAGAGTAAAACGCCGATCCCCTCCGACGAAGTGTTCAAGCCGAGGCAGCCCAGCATTGAACAACTAAAGAATATAATTGATATACAGTTGTAAGTAATGTTAGTTTAATTAGTCCATACTAATAATAAAGATTTGACTGGTTTTTTTTTGTAATTTCAATTTGATTTTTGTTATCAATTATGCATGTTCTATAATTAAATGTACTAATATTTTTTTGTTATCATACAACATATTCGTAAATTGTGGAAATTCAATATTTTCAGTGTATTATAAAGATATACATTTTGTATTTCAGAAATATGCTCATACAAGAAGAGGCGGAGAAAACAAGACAACTTCGTGCTACACAATCGTTGCCATTAGCGAGGTAATAGTTGTGGTGAACTTATCGAATTCTATATAAAAAATTTTAAAAAACCCCCTACGCAAATTAATTGTTTTTTAACGATTACACTGGCACGCGTGAAGCACTTAATAGAGTAATCATACGCCAAAATGCCTTCGATCATTTTGGAAAAAAGCTGATACTCTTACACCGCTGGACCGATATTAATCAACAGCTAAGAAACACCGCAAAGAAACTGGCTTTCAAATGAAGAAAACCGCATCGAAATCGGTTCATCCGTTTGAAAGCTACGATGCCACAGTCAGACAGACATCGACTTCAAACTTATAACACTTCTCTTTTTGCGTCGGGGGTTAATAAAATAATTAACATTGGAAAAAATGTAAACGATTTTTTTAAGTCCAGCTCTATAAAATTAGTCAAGAAAAAAATAATTATATATTTTAAAAACTACGGATAGATTTTGTTTTACATTTAATTTTTTACACATTTTATTGTAACAGAAGTGAGCAGTGAAGAAAATGTTAAAACAAAAGTAATATTTATATGAAATTGCAATTAATTTTCTAATGATTTTTTTTTAGTTTGGAGAAAAAACGAGATAACTTATTGGAAAGTTCCACTGCACAAACCTACAATAAAAGAAGGGTTTCTAAAACGCAGAATATCACGGATCTGCCTCTCAAACAGTCCAATCCAAGGTATGCAGGTTGATGTATTTTATGAACAATTCATGTTATGACATTCTTATTACAATTTGCTATTAGTATAATAGTAATATATTACTTTTCTATAATGTTTTATACTGAACATTTTTGTGTTTGTATTTACTTTGTTTTTTTTTTTTTTTTAAATAATAGATAATATTTAATTTATTTATTGTATTTCAAATAAGATATGAAATATATTTTTCAGCTTAATACACCAAGAAGCAAATGAATCGTCGCCAGATGAAAGTTGGAACGTGAACTCAGCCAAATACACCCAGGGCATGGTAGCGTGGCCCAACAAAATCACAGCAGAAGACTTAGCCAATGAACTGTTATGGCTAAGGATAGATCAGAATTATTTAATGGCTGAAAAGAACAAGGTATTATCACCGCTTATAACTCTTTTCATAATATTTTTTGATGACTATTTCTTTGTGTACGTTCTTTTCTGCACTTCGGCAATTTTGCCCGGTGTGTGTGAGCTTGTGCTATTTAGTGTGTGCATTCTTTTCACCCTAGGGTATACCAGTAGTCTAGCAGGCTGTCGGTGTCCTAAAAATTTCCGGGAGTAATCTTCCTGGTGCCTAGTTTTCTTGCGCGTTACCTACGCGCTTAAAAACCAGTTCCAGTTCACTATATTCAAGCAGAATCTGCACAGGGGACTGTTTATGATACCTATATTTTGATTATTATTTTCATGTGTTTAACATAAATCAAGGGTGCATGGATATGTTTATTTATAATAAATTTATTTAATAGATAAGAGAGCGCGAGTTGGCAGAATCAATAGCGAGCAGTAGTGAAGAATATCTTAGACAAGTGGGCGACTGGAGTCCAGGAGAAAGCTCAGATACTACAAAAAGTAGTTCAAGGTAACCTTTACTTAAATAACTCTAAAACCCTTTAGGCGAAAACGTAATGAAACAAAACTAGCTTAGATTTTACTGTGACATATTTCTGAGTGATAATGTAATTATAGTCGTCGGAAAAACACATTATTTATATATATAGTTTGTTGGTCAAACGCTAATTCTACTTTAATTTATACATATAATAAAATTCTAACTGAGCCGAATCTGTACATGAAATATTTTTTGGAAAATCTTATTGAATTAGACTTTATTATCGATACGGAGGACGAATCTATAGTTTTTAGAATTTTTGTCTGTTTGTCTGTTACCGCATCACGGAAAAACCACTATTCTGATAAAATTTGGTATGGTAATAGTTGGTTATCCGGGTCAACATATAGGATACTTTTTACCGCGAGAAAATATCTCATTTCTAAGGAAAAATACAAAAACCGTAATGTAAGATATATGTATACTAATATGTATAACCTAAGAATTTGGTTTTTGGTTATCTGAACGCGGGCGGAGCCGCGGGCAATGCTAGTTATATATAAAAACTTAAAAAATAATAAATATCACAGACTTTAAGACACGTCTAAATAGTAAAAAAAAATAACGGGCCATAATAGATAAATGATACTTTCGAAGTCCAAGTCGACCGACGCAAGTAGAGCGAATTTGTGTTTCGGTATGTTAATACTTTCTTAGATTTACGCGAATATTTGATATTTTAAATAAAACTATTTCTATGGTTTGACCATGATTGCTATAAAGTATCAAATTAAAATAAATCCACGAAATAATCCGACAGGATAGTTTAATTAAAAATTTTCTATATGTTGTTAAATTAATACTATGTCCGTTAATCTATTTGTGTGTGTATTGTCGTATAACGTATACTGCGGTCGCCAGACGCACGTCCCCGCAAGTGTACCAGCGCAGCCTGTCGAGCACGACGCTGGAGCCGGCGCGCGCGCTGCACAGCCTGCCGCCCGTGCGCCGCGACCCGCGCGACCCGCGCGACTGCCGCGACTCCTCCGCCGCGCACCGCTCCGACGTTGTAGAGACAGGTGTGCTTGTGTTTTGTTTATTTTTGAAGTAAAACTTCTTTACGCACGCTTGACTTGGGGGGTAAGCTAATGAATGCGTTACGAAAAAATGTACGTACGTTTGTTGCCATGGAAACCGTTGTTATTGTCTGGCAAATGATATGCATATAAATCATATTTTTTCCTTAAGTGATATTCTATAAATATATGATGCCCGCTGGGGGCATTCATTTGTGTGATGAGCATGAATGTTTGTACTCAAGTCATGGGTGTTTATATTTATAATATGTATGCATTTAAAGTTATATATGTGTAGTGTATCAACTATCTGGTATCCATAACTCAAGCCTCGTAGCTTACCATGGAACTAGATGGTTCTGTGTTTTAATGTTTTAACATATTTAATGATTGCAATAATTGCCTAATATGCGTTATATAATTATTTTTATTAAAATTTGTCATTTCTTTTACAAACAGAGAGTTGTGACATACGGGATGAAATATTAAGCTATTTTTGTTCTGTTACGCCAAAAAAGTATAACTTCTTACGTTCGTACATTAGTACACACACAAACACGTTTTTTTAGTATCTCACCTATCCTAATTATTTAAAACATAAATTGAATTGCATAAAGAGTACCGATAACCTACAGAAGTTTTACTTCTTGCGCGTGTACACATTCATACACGCATTTTTTTATTTTTTTGAAATCATACTTCTTTTTGCATGTTTGGAAAAAATTATAGGAATAACATTTTTACGATGCGTGCGCACACCGACAACCAAAAAGCGTCATGATGAAGTTAGCTGCTTTCCTTTTACAAACAGAGAGTTGTGCCATACAGGATGAAGTCTTTAGCTATTTTTGTTCTGTTACCCTAAAGAAGTATAACTTCTTATGTACGTACATAAGTTTATAGTTTTATAAGAGCAAACGTTTATTACGTAATTCGCTGAGAATGTAATAAACGCTTACACTGTCAATTTATATAATGTCATATATTTTATCGCTTCTTTTGCTCTGAAATATATTTGATTGAATGTTGATGACCATTGAAATCTATATATATAATAAAATTCTGAGCCGAATCTGTACATTAAATATTTTTTGGAAAATCTTATTGAAATAGACATTATTATCGATCCAGAGGGGCCGAATCTATAGTTTTTAGATTTTTTTGTCTGTCTGTCTGTTACCGCATCACAAAAAAATCACTGGAGGGATTTGGATAAAATTTGGTATGATGATAGCTGGTTATCCGGGTCAACATATAGGATACTTTTTATTGCGGGAAAATATCTCATCTCTGAGAAATTGATACTAAACGTTAAAACGTAAGCAGGGACGAACCCAAACGAAGCGAGGGTTAGTAGCTAGTCTATACTAATATTATAAAGAGGTAAAGTTTGTGATCTTGTGAGTTTGTGACGTTGTAGGGGGTAATCTCTGGATCTACTGAACCGATATTCAAAATTCTTTTACCAATAGAAAGCCACGTTCTTTCTGAGTGTCATAGGCTATATATTAACCCGAAAAATGAAAAGGCTTTTTCGTGGTAGTCGGATTTGCAAAGTAAGTCTGAGAAAAAACGGTCGATCGAAAACGTTTCTTACGAACGCTGCCTTAACGATGAGAGATATATGATTATGTTCTAGAGAAAGGTTGTAGAGCTTAATAATACCTACAAAAAAGTCAGCGACAGCATATGTCTAACTTTTATATTTAAGTCACAAAAAGTAGTTTTTTATATTAAAAAAATCATTTAAATCGGTAGGTCATGTTTATTGGTCATATTATCAACAATTATGAATTCTTATCAAAATAAGTAAATTTATCGTCTAAAATGTTTAAAATAAAAGACTTTTCCCTTTTACTGCATATAATTTGGACAAATGGTTAAAGAGATAATACAACATATTCGTATGTATGGACGAACCCGAGCGAGCTGTTTATCTGTTTTTCTCTTTGTACGGGCTAATCTCCGGATCTATTGGACCTATTTAAATGAAATTTTTCATGGTGGTACCTTATATCCCCGGGCAACATCTTAGATACTTTTCATCCCGGAAAATTAAAGAGTTCCCGTGGGATAGTTAAAAAAACTATAACAACTTATACATCTTAGTACACAAAAACTACTGATTGGATTTTAATGAAACTTTACAATAATATAGTTCATACATGACAAAAACAAATCAGCTACTTTTCATCCCTGAAAATTAAAGAGTTTCCGTGGGATAGTCAAAAAACTATAGTAAATTATACAGCTTAGTACACAAAAACCACTGATTGGATTTTGATGAAACTTTACAATAATATAGTTCATACATCAGAATAACAAATAGGTAACTTTTTATCCCGGAAAAATGTACTTTTCCCGTGGGGTAGATGTTTTTGTTTATTTGTAACGTATTATGTACACAACATAGACCCCAAAACAATAGTTATTAAAAAAAATGCCTGTTTGTCTGTTTGCCTGTATGTCTGTTTGTCTGTTTTTGTGTGCACGTTTCACGCAAAAAGTAATGCACCAATTTCAACGAAATTTGGTGAAGTGGTAACTTATTACTCGAGTCAGCATTTAGGGTACCTTTTGTATGTATGTATGTATGTATGTATGTATGTATGTATGTATGTTTGTTTGTTTGTTGTATTCAGCCCTTTTTAACACACGCACGGGCCTCTCCTCAGTACGTGTTGGATCAGGCCATAGTCCACCACGCTGGCCAATATTAGCGGTGCGAGACCCGGGATTTGAACTTGCTTCACTCGGTTTCCCAAGCGAGCGCGTTACCACTCTGATACCACTGCCTAGATACCTTTTACTTCAAGAAAATCTTTCTTTCCCACGGGAAAATACAATTACTGGTTTTATCGAGTACTTCCTAGAAACCTTCCGCTGGCTAAGCTTTAAGACATACATACATTGAAACAATATACTAATAAATTGTAGGGCTTGAAAAGTCCTACAGAAAAGTTCTGAATAGAATATATCTATCTCCTAAGTTACACTCGCAATATTTATTCTTATCTCTACCTATAATAAAACTTAGTCAAATCGATGTGCGCGTTTCACGCAAAAAGTACTCAACCAATTTTAACTTCATTTTGTATAGTGATAAAACTTAGTGCTTGGGTCAACATTTAGAATACTTTTTACGACAGGCAAATTATTCATTCCCACGGGAAAATACAATTACTGGTTCTATCGAATTGTCCTTAGAAATTTATATGGTTAACGTTGGCTCAACCTTAAGAGATAGATCAAAACATTGTACAAGAAAATTGTAAGTCTTAAAAAGGTCTATAGAAAAGTTCTACATAGTATATGTCTATCTCCTAAGGTACACTCGCTATAACTATTTTCATTATTATATATTTCTGTTTTATTATACGTTATTTATTCTATCTGAATATTGGTACATATATGAATAATAAAACTGTAGAGGTCGAATGTCTGTACATAGATGGTAGAAAAAATTGCTAAAAAACGAGTCAGTTCTCTTCTTACATCCCGTAAGGAGAGAAATAGAACAAATCCAGATTTTTTTCAATTTTTTTGTGTCTCTGTCTGTTTGTCTGTTCGTACGGGATAATCATCGATACTATTAAACCTATTTAAATGAAATTTAATACTTTTCATTCCGGAAAATTAAAGAGTTCCCGTGGGATAGTTAAATAATTATAGTAACTTTTAACAGCTCAGTACACAACAACTTTGCACCTAATTTAGTAAAATTTGGCATGCTGATACCTTATATTGCAGGTCAAACAACAGGTTACTTATTTTTATCCCGGAAAAATGAACGGTTCCCGTGGGATAGACCTGTTTGTGCTTTTCTAGAGGTGAACCCGAGCGAAGCGAGGGTGAGCCGCTAGTACTATATAAAACTGATCTTACCCGTGGCACCACCCGCCCGGTAGTTACGTCGATAAATAATATGTTATATGTTGTACAATTAACAAGAATAAGAATATGTTATTAAACCAAATGATTTTTTTAAATACATTGCCTAAAGAATGAAAAAATAACAAACAGACGTATTCACTCATTCTATTACACATTTTTTCACTTACGTTTAAATTTTATATGTATATATTATATTTCAAAAACGTAGACCATCTCTCTGTATTTGTATAATTAATTTTATCATGACCGTTATAACGATTTAAGTTAAAGAACGTTTAACGATAACTATAATAAAACTGATAGGTCGAAAGTTGAGGCAAATTACATCAGGTAAAGATTATTGATGAGTTTTTAAATCAAATAAAAACCATTTTTAATCAAACTAATATAATATTTCCACCTGTCTCTGATGGTTTCTAACTTAACCACTCACCGCGCGACGCTTACTTGTTTTTTGTTACTGTAAGGTAGTATGAAATAATAGGTTTATATTGTATATTGTTCTTGGTGGGTAAATATAAGTTTTTTTAAATAAAGTCAGTCGATAGCCAATGCTCGTGTTGTTATTACACTGGCGACGAGGCGGGTTAAAAAAAAAAAAAAAAAGTCTTTTAAGTGTTTCGGTTGTGCTCAGTGTTAAATAATAAATCATGCCTATCGGAAAATTAGAACAATTCGAATTAGATTCAAAAGAGTGGCCAGCGTATATACGACGCGTTAAACAATACATGTTATTAAACGAAGTGAAAGAGGAGTTAAAAGTATCACTGTTAATAACGGTAGTCGGGAAGGCGACTTATTCGCTTATGTGTGATTTGTGTTCTCCGAGTCACCCGGAAACAAAGTCATTCGACGAATTAGTTAAACTTGTGAGTGAACATCTGGAGCCACAGCGATCCGAGATCGCCGAGCGCCACGTATTTCGTCTCCGGCGACAGCGCACCGGCGAACCGTTGTCAGAATACCTACAGTGCTTAAAACACTTAGCGACCACTTGTAATTTTGGAACTACATTGGAGGAAAATTTACGTGACCAATTTGTTTCCGGCCTGGCTAGTGACGCGATGAGGTCGCGTATTTTTGCCGAGCGAAATATTAAATACCGAGAAGCAGTCGAGTTGGCTATGGCTCTAGAGGCTGCTGAGAGGCACGCGGAGGTGAGCGGGTCGAGAACGTCGACAGGGACCTCGGGTGCGGGCAGCGACGCGGCGGGCGAGGGCCTGCATGCAGCGAGCGCGCGGCGCGCGCGGCCCGGCGGCGGCGGCGGCGGCGCGCCGGCGCAAGCGCCGAGGGCTGCGCCGCGCAGCGTCGACGCGCAGCTGCGGTGTTGGCGGTGCGGGCGCGGACATCGCGCGGATAGGTGCCGGTTTGCGCAGTATAATTGTGACGAGTGTAATCAGCGGGGCCATTTAAAGGTTATGTGTAAAGAGGTGCGTAATCGATCGTACGGGCGACATAAATATGTGAGTGAGACCGACAAATCGGAGGACGAGTTTTTCAACATTCAGTTGGCGGCTAAAGGTAATAAACCATATTTAGTTATTGTGAAGATGGACGGACGACCGATCGAATGTGAAATAGACACAGGTAGTCGTATCTCCGCTATGAGTGAACAGTTTTATCAACAAAATTTCACACACAAACATATTGTTTCGGATAACTTATTATTAAAATGTTATTCCGGCTCACGAATTGAATCGCTCGGATATATATCGGTTGACGTGTCTCTCGGTAACGAGAGGGCCAATAACTTATCTTTATATATTATAAAGAACGGCGGCAGGCCGTTACTAGGTCGGGAGTGGAGGATACGCGCTCTAAAAATTAAACAAATTAGTTTTAATGAAATAACGGACGATCAGTTCGTGAGCTGCCTTAGGGAGGAGTTTCCCGAAGTGTTTAGTGAACAGCTAGGTACTTGTAAAAAAACCATCCAATTACAGCTGACCGATAGGGAGCCGGTATATGTACGCGCGAGGCCCGTGCCGCTCGCGCTGAAGGCGCGTGTTGAGCGTGAGCTAGAGCGGTTGGAGGCGGAGGGTACCATATACCGGGTGGATCATTCTGAGTATGGGACTCCTATAGTTCCTGTGATCAAAGAGAACGGTGACATACGGATCTGTGGGGACTATAAAATAACTATAAATCCTAAGTTAAAACGTGATTACTACCCGTTGCCTCGTATTGAGGAGTTGTTCGCGGTCCTGAGCGGGGGGGAGGAGTACTCAAAAATAGACTTGAGGCAGGCTTACCAACAAGTGATTTTAAGTGAAGAGTCCCAACCCTATACGGCAATTACAACACACGTAGGGACCTTTGTATACCGTCGCACGCCCTTTGGACTGTCTTGTATCCCAGAAAAATTCCAAAAATTAATGGAAGAGACATTGCGAGGCATTCCAGGGTGCGTGGTCTATTTGGATGACATATGTTGCACGGGAGGGTCCAGGACTCTCCACTTAAAAAATTTACGAGCTGTACTTGGACGGTTACGTGACATGGGGTTTACAATTAAATTAGATAAATGTTTATTCTTACAAAAATATGTTAAATATCTTGGGTTTGTTATTGATAAATTAGGTTTACATCCGGATAAAAAAAAATTACAAGCAATAACAAATGCACCACGACCAGATAATGTAACGCAATTAAAAAGTTTTCTTGGGTTAATTAATTATTACGGAAAATTTATTCCAAATTTGAGTATTGTGTTACATTCTTTACACAATTTATTAAAAAAAGGGGTCATTTGGTTATGGACGGAAGAGTGCGAAGAGGCTTTTTGTGAAGCGAAGCGCATATTGTTAAGCGATCGAGTACTAGCGCACTACGAGGAAGGACGCGAACTCGTGTTAGCGGTGGATAGCAGCGCGTACGGTCTGGGCGCAGTGTTAGCGCACCGGTACGACGACGGCAGCGAGCGGCCCGTCAGCTGTGTCTCGCGGACGTTAAATGTGGCTGAAAAAAATTATAGTCAGCTAGATAAGGAAGCTTTGGCTATATATTTTGGTATAACGAAACACCATCAATTTTTATTTGGCAGGCGTTTTGTACTGCGCACAGACCACCAACCATTAACTCATATTTTTGGAGCTAAAGGGGGGATTCCACAAACAGCAGCAAGCCGCCTGCAGCGGTGGGCGGCACATCTCGCAGCGTACGATTTTTCCGTGGAGTTTGTGCGATCAAGTCAAAACGGCCCAGCTGACGCGCTGTCTCGCTTACCACTGCTACGCGAGTGTGACCCAAGTGACCCAGTGAGTTATGTTAAGCTGCTCGAGGAATGTACGCCGGTTAACTTTAAAGACATTAGTAAAAAAACAAAAAAAGATAACATTTTAAGCAAAATATGTGGTTATGTAATGTTTGGTTGGCCAGCGAGAGCGAGCTGTGATGAAGAAAAACCGTATTATAACCGTAGACAGGACATAATATTAGAGTTAGGGTGCTTAATTTATAAATATAGAATAATTATTCCCACGGTCTTACGTAAACAAGTACTTGATGAGTTACACGTAGGTCATCTAGGTAGCAATAAAATGAAAAACTTATCACGCAGTTACGTGTATTGGCCGGGTATAGATAAAGACATTGAAGATGTCAGTCGCGCGTGTGACGCATGCAACTCTGTTCGCGACGCCCCTCCGCGCGCCCCGCTACACCCCTGGGAGTTTCCGGCGTCTCCGTGGACGCGGTTACATGCCGACTTTGCAGATTGTGACGGCAAGCGATTTTTAATTATTATAGACGCGTATTCTAAGTGGATTGAGGTCATACAAATGAATCGTACGGACGCTGTTTCCACTATTGAGGCGTTTAGATCGATTTTTGCCAGATTCGGACTTCCTTCACAGCTCGTTACCGATAATGGCCCTCCATTCTCATCCCAAATGTTCAAAGAATATTGTTATAAAAATGGTATTAAGCATTCGACATCTGCACCGTATAGACCGCAGGCGAATGGCGCTGCTGAAAACGCGGTTAAAACAATTAAAAAAGTAATTAAAAGAGCGGTACATTTAGGGGAGAATATATCGCAAGCATTAAGTAAGTTTTTATTTCAATATCGTAATTGTGAACACACTACTACGGCAGTGTCGCCAGCGGTCGCGTTACTTGGGAGACGGCTGCGGGGTCGACTCGACGCGTTACGACCAGACGTGGGGGCAGTGGTGCTGGAAGCACAAAGCAAACAGGTCGACAGGGCAGGAGGTACTAATCGCGAGCTGCAGCTCGGTGATACAGTATTGACTAGGGATTATACCACTAAAGGGGAAAAATGGTCAGAGGGGACGGTCACCAAGAAAACCGGGCCCGTGTCATTCAAGGTTGATGTAGGGGGAGGAGTAGAGTGGAGACGTCACCAAGACCAAATGATACAGTTAGGTAATAGAAAAGAAAAAAATCGATATTCATTGGCGCGAACATCAGCGACAGCTAGTGCGGACGCGAATGAGGAACAGACGCCTGGGGTTGATGACGATGCAGATGATCAATGTAGTGAAGCGCCCGAGACGGGTGCTAACGCGGGGCGGGCACTACGCTCCCCGGGTCTTCCAGGACCGGCGGGCGAGCCCGCGACGCCTCCACCCCCACCGGACGCTTCTGCCAGAGCTATACGTGCTTATAAAAGAGCTATAATACAGAAGGACAAAAAAACCTAAATAAACTAATAAAGGAGTTTAATGTAGTTATTATTAGCAGCAAAGCAACGCTTAAATTGTGTTTATTTTTACAAATATCTTTTGTTTATATTGTTATTTATGATTTCTATAAGTATCTTTAGTTTTTCTATAAAATCTAGGTAATTAGAGGGGGAAAGATGTAAGGTAGTATGAAATAATAGGTTTATATTGTATATTGTTCTTGGTGGGTAAATATAAGTTTTTTTAAATAAAGTCAGTCGATAGCCAATGCTCGTGTTGTTATTACAGTTACCTAAAACTTTTTCACCGCTAATTGCAAGTGCATCAAACTCATTACTTTAGTTAAATGAATCATATTAGTGACATTACAATAATATAAAAGCTAAATATCTCAAAACGTTGTATTTACATGTAATCTGTACAAGAAGCCACGAAATAAAAGAATTGAATTACATGTTATCATTAACATGTTATGCATAAATATTCCTTAATTATTTTCATTGTTTAATACTCATGATTTTTATTTTTTTAAATGATACCTAGAATAAAAAGGTTTTTAACCGGTATTCTCCATTCTAGTCGCTAATTTGTTTATCTAAGAATGTTGTTTACATCAATGTCTGAAGTCAAATATCATAATTAACTGGTCTATTGTTTATTGGTTTATGACACATTCTTTTTTAGACGTTCGCGGTTATAAGATGTGTGTCTCTCCAGTTTGTTCAGATGGCTTATTTTAGAGAAGATTGTTTTAACTTTGAGAGAAAATATTTTGTGTACGCTTTAGGAGTTTCTGTATCGTTTTTTGTTATCACGTACTGTAATCTGTTGGTACCGTTCCTGGTAGTTTACTATGGTGAGTGTCAAAAAAATTGCCTAGTTATTACCTTAGCGATTCGTTCACCTAAAATATAATTGATTATCAAAAGATTATCGCACGTTTTGCTTTTGCATTGTTAAGTCTACGTTAATTTATCAAGGTCGTATTTAGCTGTTTTACAATTACAATACGAGTTGGATCAGGCAATATTCAACCACGTTCGTCAAGAGCGGGTTGGCGCACTCCATTTGTCTTTCGAAAACTTGCCCACAGGTAATACCATTCCCCGATTACTTAATATAGCCAAAAGCTTTTTTTTAATTAAAAAAAAAAACTTTTAATGTATTTTACTGTTTCGTTAATTAAGCGTCAATATCGTTAATGCTGATTTTTAAGTCAACTCGACCTCGATAATATTTTTACCCTCACAGGTGACGAATTTCGAATAATCTGATTGATAACACGTATTGTTTATTTTTTTATTTTGAATACTTAGTTTTAACAATAAAAATAGCGAATTTTCTTACCAACTTTACCACCCATTTTTACCCTCTTATCACAATCACAAAAATGTTATAACACGTGCCTATTTAATTGAATATCATTAATTTTTATATCATTAATTAATAGGAGATGAAAGTTTCATAGTAACTTTCATCTCCTATTTTATGCCCTTAAAGATTGAATTTTCATAAAAAAGTGATATTGTGAACTTTTTTCTCTAACCAAGTGCTCATATATTAATTTTTACATTCTTAATAACAAAAATGACGAAGTTTTATGCAAATTTATCCTCTTTTTTTTAACGTTGGGAAATGCATTTACGCACGAGGTGTGGGACTCACCGGCAAAGCCAGTACTTACCACTAAAACCCAACAAAACCTTCCCCCGTCTTAATGGGGCGTCGCAGGATCGCTTACGCATTCAACTACGACTCGACAACGACCATGAGGTTGCTCCAAAGTCCACTCTGCTATCAGAGTAGTACCAGGAGCAACCCGCATGGTACATCGCCCTCCGAAGAGGGCCACCTCCCACCGTCCACCGAAGTGGGCCACCTCCCTGTGCGTTTCTTGGCTTCGCGCCCGGCTGTATTGCCGGGCACTACTGAGTCCCCCACAACGACAAGGTGAACGCACGTTGGGGGGGAAATTTATATCCCCTTTTTTAACCCATTAGGGGATTAATTTTCAAAAACTTTTTCCTTTTTAGTGCACACTTATGTCATTTAAAGAACATTTGTGCACATAGTTCTAGACTCAGCGGTGTGCGTTGATTGATCAGTCAGTGAATCGTCAGCCAGTCAGTTTTGTTACTTTATATATATATATATATATATATATATATATATATATATATATATAGTTATTTGTATGATTCAAAGCTTAAGATTTCCCATTGCCAACAGCGTGCCTCCGCGCCGAGGGTCCGCCCGCGCCGCCCGCGCGCGCCGCCCGGCGCTCGCCGCGCCGCCTGCCGCCCGACCGCCCCGACGACGCGCCGCACATCGCGCCGCTGCCCCTGCCACTGGCGTTGCCCCCTGAACATTTGGATATTAAACGGTGAGTAACCACTGATTATGTAAATGGAGAGAAAAAAAAGCTATGAAAGCTTTATTATAATTTATGACCCACTGTATATAGTACGTTTCGGTTAGAAAGTTGCTTCTGTTTCTATCGCGTGACTTGTTTGCCTTTACTGAAATAGCACATGACATTGGGGGAATATCATATCTGTAATGTGTATCTGTGGCAGGCCGTAACTATACTGAATGTGCCACCAAAAGTCAATGTACTTGTAGATTCACACCTTACAGATTTTTTTTAACGTTGGGAAATACACGAGGTGTGGGACTCACGCGCAAAGCTACTCACTAAAACCCAACAGAACCTCCCCTGTCTTAATGGGGCGTCGCCAAATAAAACGACAGTTTTGTTAATATAATAACTTATCCTACATTTGTAATGAATATGAAATCTATATTTATGTTATTAGCGTCTAAACATTATTATTTTACAAAAATAAATCTAAGTAAAAAAACTCCAACACAATACGAAAGGAACCTTTCGTATTGTGTCATAGTTTTCTCAAATAGTAAATACTTTCTCCTCTACCTTTACTTTTTGTCATATCAAATTCCGAGAAATAAAAGTAAGTTGAAAATTAAAGAATAATTAAATAGGCCAAAGAATATGTTTTCTATTGACTGTAAATTAAAAATATGAATAAAATCAACAGGGCGGTGTCGGAAGTGTCAGTTGGTGGGGGTGTCGAGGCGCTCCGGCGACGCAACTCGGACCCCGCGCCGGACCCGCGCGCGCCCGCGCCCGACTACATCGGCCATACTGGGAACGGGTTGTTCGGGATCGCAGGACACAGGTAATGGTGAAGTTTTTATGTTTTTAAATAGCTTTAAGAGTAACACATAAATTTATTATAAAATACATATAATATGATAGATGAATGATAATAATCAAAGCTGTGTTTGTTGGCATTTATATTTTTTGTTATATTTTCACATTTTACATTCACTCCATTTCAGGTTTCGCAAAGGTACGAGATTCGCAAAAGGCGACAAATGCGTGTACTGCCACCAAGCCATCGACGCGTTCGTCACGCAGGGCCAGCGGTGTATCGACTGCAAACAGCTTTACCATACAAAATGTATACAGAATAAGGGCGTGATCACGATGCCCTGTCCCAGCCCCGTCACCATCGCGGCGAGAGGGAGACATAAAAACAGAAAACGTATAATGCTAAACAAGGATTCCCCATACAGTCTCACTACAGATCATTCCAAAGGACCTGTTAGTTCTAATTTCAGTTTGACAGGAACGTCCGAGTTTATGGACAGGACGGACAAAATCATATCAGACGCCACTGAGCTACAAGCGATGCAGAACTTCATCACGAAAAAGATTTATCTCATGGAGTCTTCGGAGAATTCAAAACAATCGGAAGTAAGTAAATTATTTTTTTAAATTACATATACATATTTTATTATGTCCTAGTCTTTTGAAAAATTACATATCACCTGTGTCTCTCGAGCCAAATCGATTATTGTTTGAACAAAAAAATCTATACATATAATAAAACTGTAGAGGTCGAATGTATGTACTAAAAAAAATGCTAAAAACCAAGTCAGGGGAATGTAAGAAGAGAAATAGTTTCAATTTTTTTGTTTCTCTGTCTGTTTGTCTGTTTGACGGGCTAATCTCCGAAACTGTTGGACCGATTTAAATGAAATTTTGCATGGTGGTACCTTATATCCCAGTTCAACATTTTAGATTGTCCCGGAAAATTAAAGAGTGAGTAAGAGAAAATTCCCGTGGCATAATTAAAAAACTATAGTAACTTATACAGATTTAGTACACAACAACTTAAGCACCTAATTCAGTAAAATCTGATGTGCTGATATCTTATATTGCCGGTCAAACAATAGGTTACTTTTTATCCCGGAAAAATGGACGGTTCTCGTGGGATAGATCTGTTTGTATTATATTTTTCATATTAACAAATAAATTTTGACAGGTGGACAGGGTATTCAAACATGCACTAAAAGAGTTCAAAGACAACCTCGTAGCGACGTACAGTGTAGTGGAGACCCGCGGCTCAGCCCTCAAGTACAAGGACCTTATAGGCAACTTCCTTCACGTGATGGAGACGGTATGTGCGCGAGAAGGCTCGACCCTTTCCATTACGATGGGGGTTAATGCCTTCAGAGGGTTCATGGACGAGTTCATGAGTCAGCATGAAACTGATAAAGCCAGGACGAAACGAAAAAAAGATAAGAAGAGAAAAGTGAGTATCGTATGCACATTAACATAATGCCTAGCACTTCAATATTTTTCTATTTTTTATATATTGGTTTTGTGGTTTATTATTAAAGGGTAAATAGTTGCTAAAATTATAATAATATATGTGATTATTTTGTGTATATTAAATACATACTTATATATTTTATTATTATTTTTATATAATATACTAAAATTTATTATATTTAATTTATTGTATTCCTTCTGTACTCTATGTTTTAACTAATTAAACAATAACATAGTAAATTAGTGCATGCAAGACTTATTCGTTTGGTCAGTTGTCACTCCGCTTCCAGGTGGACGACCCGATCCAGTACAAAGGGCACACGTTCATACTGTCCATGATCAATATACCCACCGAGTGCGAGATATGCAAGACCTTCTTCATGTGGCCCATAGAGCGCTCGCTCATATGCCAGACATGCAAGCTCGCCTCGCACAAGAAGTGCTACATGAAGGTAATGCTGTTATTATTGAATTATCAATTATAGTTATATAATATTCATTTTAATCAAGATTAAGGATTATTATTGACAATTATTAATCAAATTGATTAGTTTCATATATTTTTTAATGAATATGTAGTTAACTACCTTTGCTTTGGCGCGTTCTTAGATGCATCTCATTAGCCTATATTATGTTACTTTAGGTCATAGTTTATCTATGTACTTTTCATCCAAATCTCTAGCCGTTCATAATGGAGTAACAAATATACAAACACATATAACAAATAATAATTTATAAATAATTTTAACGAAGGTATCGACGCAATGCCGAGCGGAGTCGGGTGCGCCGTCGGCCGCCATAGTGGGCGCGGTGGACGCGGGCGGCCGCGAGCAGTTTGGCGTGCTCAAGCGGGGCAAGGTATGCATTTGTACTATGAATAAATCGTACAAATAATGTTCTCAGATATGGCATCGTTTTTATTATTCTCTGTCTCAGCATTTAGACGTTTATATTCACACTAGCCAGTATATACTATATTATTTATGCCTTTATATTTTTTTATTATATTTTTTTATTTTTTTATTTATATTTTTTTAATTACGCAATATAATAAAAATGAAATACATCGTTATATCTTTAGTAGAGAAACGAGTAAGTACACTCGCTTCTCTCGGGTGATCAGCTAGGTGTGAAACATCAGCCTTTGTATTACTCCAGATCATAGTTGAAATAAAACTCCAAAAATTTCGAAAAAATATTTTATTTAAAGGTATTTAAATAGTGTTTTTCACGTTTTTCAATTATAGAAAGAATTTGATAAACCTATACAATATAATATGTATTACATTTCAGGTGTTCGGTGTTCCAATAAGTGAGCTGCCCACTGGAGAGGGTAACATACCTTTTGTGGTGGACAGGCTCATTACTACTATAGAAATGACTGGGTTGTACGTTGAAGGGTTATACAGGAAGAGTGGACTTAGTTCTAAGGTGTGTTTACTTTGTATTATTGTGAAATATGTTGTTTTTATAGTATACTAGCGGACCCGACAGACGTTGTCCTGTCTACACGTCTTTAATTTGAAAATTTCAAACTTTTTTTAATAATTTTTTTGATGAAAATTATTATTCAAATTGTGAATCTAAACCATTCCCAGATCCCCTTGAACACACACAAAAAATTTCATCAAAATCGGTCCAGTTGTTTGAGAGAAGTTCAGTGACATACACACTCACAGAAGAATTATATATATAAAGATAAAAAAATAGAAATGTAAGTGTTATGAGACTTGAGAAAAAGACTTAAAAATATATATATATAATTTCCAAATCTGCTCAGCTACTATTAAATAAAATCTCGTGAATTAAGTAAATCTGTAGATAACCGTTAATTCTATTTCACTTCAGTTCTATGCGCTCTTATTGCTGAATCACAAACATATTTATAAACATTTGGTAAAGATATGCAACTAACGTACAAATACAAAATATGTAAAAAAAAGTATATACTTACATTATCTCATAAGTCATAACTGTTCTCTTTTTAAAATCGGTTAATGAGTGATAAGTAACATCCATACTAATCCGGCGTCAGGTGCGCGAGCTGCGGCGGCTGCTGGACGAGCGGCCCGACGAGGGCATCGACCGCCTGGACACGTACGCGGTGCACGTGCGCGCCTCCGTGCTCAAGATGTTCTTCCGCGAGCTGCCCGAGCCGCTGCTCACCTTCGACCTGTACGACGACTTCATACTCGCCGCTGAGATTACTGACCCCCAGGTACTTGTCTACTTGGCTTTGCTCTGTAGTCTGTAGTCGTCTGTATGGTTAGTTGAGAAAGCATTAATATTAGCAAATTAAAATATATACGTTTTCTGCCGCGGCAGCCGATCTCACTGAGACTAGCCAACTGTGCAGATATTATAGTGTACAAGTATGCGCGGAAAACACAAGTGCAGTCTCTATTCCTGTTGCTATCATACTCCGGTGGGAAGACAATTCTACACTCACAACGAGATCATACGCAGGACCGACGGGTTTAAGTCCTCTTCAAGGCACGGTGTGAAACACCGCCAACTTTCCAGATTTTGCCTGTTACTGAAAATTTGTTAACACAAAAATTCAATAATTAAACTTGACCCAAGCGTGGACTCGAATCTAGGTCTTCAGGATTTGCAGCCATACTTTCTACTTTCTAGACACTAGGCCACCGAGACAGTTAAATTAAAATATAACCAAACTAGTGTTATCAATAAACATTTTTGAACATGAATTACAACCACGGGCCGAACACGTAGGATCAATGATTAGGCCAACACGACAATGCAAATGCTATATAAGTCTTTAAGTTTTCATGATCAATGACAATATTTTTTTGATATACAACAGGATATTTAGCATTTTATTTTAATAGTTAATATCCAATTTAATAATATAAAATACGTTTTACCTGAGAGCTATGAAACTCTTCAAGAGTCGTGTCCCTTTAAGGGACTTTTAGGGAAAATTACCCTTTAAGGGGAAGGGATCCTTTGAGGGAAATTAAAGGCCGGCAACGCATTTGCAATTCCTCTTATGTTGCACATGTTTTTGAGGGACAATAACCACTTACCATCAGGTGAATCGTTTGCTCATTGGCCCTTTTTACTATAAAAAAAAAATCAATGTTTTAATTTATTATTAATAATAAACATTTACTTTCAGGAACGAGTATCTAGTATTTTCACAATTTTGAAAAAATTACCTAAACCGAATTATGATTTGGTGGAAAGACTGATATTTCATCTGGCAAGAGTAGCGTTAGGAGAAAATCATAACAGGTAAATATTGACAAGTTATCGATACCATAAGGTTATTTCTGACGATTTTTGGAGATTGTTGATTTTAAAATATCAAAAACAAACAGTGGTGTAATTCCCATTAACAAAATAAAATGTATTGATCGAATATCAGTGGCAAAAAAAAGATGGTGTATATTCCGATTTATGTATTTTATGATTCTCAGATTATGTTGTAACGTAACATTAAAATATTTTATCGTAAAACTGTGTATATATACATTTTTTGACAACCTCTAGTCTAATAGTGAGCAACTTAAACTTAAGCCGCGTATCCAACCAACCTTTGGGACAAATATAGTGGCAATAAAAATATTTATCGCTGTCTACTTTAGGTTCTCGTGCCACTGATGAAATGTAAGATTTAATCAAATTCCTTTATCGTTTGTCGTGTTTTGTGAGGTCAGCGTTACAGCAGGATGAATGTTATTTATTATTTTGCTTGAATGGCACCGTCAAAAACTTTTGAATCAATGTTGATGACATATTTAATGATTTCATCTATGTGTTTTGAGCAAAATGTTATCAAAGTGCATCTGTGCATATTTAGTTACCACCCAAACATCGATCAAAAAAGTACTAGATACATATAGATATATAGATGAGCGACAAAAAATGTCCTCATCCAATTAGCGCGCTTTTAATGTAATTTTTTTGTGAAAACAATTTTAAAACATTGCATTTAAGGCTCAATTTAACATGTTGTATTTTTATTTCAACTAGTATAAATAACTAAATACACTTAGTGACAGTTTTAAGAGAACTTGCGTTGGATTGTGTATGTAGTACTTTTTTGATCCATGCACAGGATAACATAGTGGAAGGCCGTTGAGCTTAGCATTACTTGCTTCCTATATCTCATTGTTAGCTTATAATAGCTATAGATAGCGATATATGTTTTTGCAAAAAGATATATCGGGCTCTAATGATCAAAAAATTCTTAATACCAGTGCTTATTATAGTCTTGCGTTTAAACTTTGCGTCGATTTGTCATCGACCTCACTACGAAACTTATCACGGCGTAAACATCCATTCAGTCGCCCATTGATTTTTACAGAAATGCTGTGCAAAAATACAGTTTACCAAAAAATATAAATTTTCATGGCAAATGGTTTCCAATTTTAAGCTATACAGTACTATCTTGTGACTAGTTACCGTATACTCGTCGACATTATAGCCGTTTCCCAACTGTCATACAAAGGTAAGTATGATAGTTGGTATAGCGTTATCTGGAAGCCTTCTTTAGACGACTGTATTGATTAGTATACTGAGCACTTCTAAACCAAAACTTGATGGTCGCCATAACCGAAAATTGATGAGAGAGAAAATATTACATTTGCTTATTATTCCAGAATGGGCCCGAACGCGCTCGCGATAGTGTTCGCGCCGTGCATCCTGCGCACGCACAAGGTGCAGCCGGCGCAGGACTCGCTGCACGACATCGCGCGCCAGACCGCCTGCCTCGAGGCCATACTTATGGATAAGATGAGCAACGTGAGTGTTGTCTGATGTATATATAGTTCGTTATTATTGCTGCGGGAGTTTGTATGTCTATGTATTTGTTACTCCCAGGCGTCTTATTTTTTCTGACACCTCCAACAAATATCGTTATATTTTAGCCAATGTATACAAAAACTTAACAAATTATATACTAAAACCTTCCCTTTGAATCACTCTATCTATTAAAAAAAACCGCATCAAAATCCGTTGCGTAGATTTAAAGATTTAAGCATACATAGGGATATAGGGACAGAGAAAGCGACTTTGTTTTATACTATGTAGTGATAAGTGTTATGCTGTACCAACAGACGCGCGGCACGCTGGCCGACATCGCGACGCTGGAGCGCGCGTCCGAGACCGCGTCCAAGCGCCTGTCCAACATCCGCGCGCGCGCGCTCGCGCCGCGCTCCGAGGAGCAGATACTGGAGGGGCACATACACGAGATAGAGAAGGAGAAGGCCAACCTCACGCTGCACTTGCCTTCGCTTATGAGGTAACCATTATTGTGTTTATTCAGCACCTTTTTTTTAAACGTCCCACTGCTGGGCACGGGCTTCCCTACAGTACGAAGGAATCGGGCCATAGTCCATCACGCTGGCCAACAGCGGGTTGGCGGACTTCACATATTTTTTGAAAACTTGCTAAGTTCTCTCAGATATGCAGGTTTGCTCACGATGTTTTTTTTCGCCGTTAAGACGGGTAGTAATCATGTTGGAAATGATTCGCACATGAAAATATCAGAGGTGCGAGACTCGGGATTTGAACTCGCTTCACTCGGTTTCTTAAGTGTGTTACCACTGGGCTACCATTGCCTTGTATCATCATTAAATCATTATTGTAGTTTTTTTTTTTTGAAGACGCCTTTGACGAATTGCGATGTATGGACTAATGTGAAGGAATCATATGAGTCTTAATTCGAGGGCTGTACTAGTAGCCACTGGAGAGTTCCACTATCCACCTCTTTGCTTCACCAACGAATCAGCTCCAAGATACTTTATAGTCTTCTCATTTGAACTACATACACTTATTGACTGAAAGAAATGTTTAGTCAATAATAAGAAAGTTTTTAGTATTGATTTGGGATATTTATGAATAAAAAAGTTTGTCTAATATAATTAAGAAAGTTTGTTTGTTTGTTCTTTATTTTCACGTAACAATGGGTTGACGACTAAAGGTAGACGCGAGATGTGACATAGGCTACCTTTTATCGCGTCACATTCAAACAGTAGAGACTTATAGTCCTATTATATATTAGTTCCAACATAAAGCTCCCCCTACAACATATTTAAACATTCAGGGCGACATCAGACGACGATTTGCTATCCACCACAGACCACGACGGCGAGTTCGGCAGCACAGATGACCTGAGCGCCGGCGCCCTGCGCTCCCAGCGCCTGCTGCACCGCCAGCTGTCCTCGGACGACCCCATCATGGTGTAACTCTACCCTCGAACGCTCACCTCGGAACATGTATGAATGTATGGATATGAGTTATATAGTTTACAACATCATGGTGTAACCTATATATCCTATATATAGCTCTCCTCTAAACTGTTTTCGTTACAGCATAGTGCGGGTGACATTAGAAAAAACGTTCCTTTTCACTAATGAATGCTCCAATAATTTACATGGTTTTACAACTTAACTTATATATTATGAGCGTAAGGAAATAAGTCATTGATAAATGTAGTAAATCAAAGATATTTATCTACAATATGTATCTATTTTATAATATATTCAAAATATGTATAAAAAAACCATGCGTTTAGCAAAACGCACATGCATAGCAATGCACGTAACGTCTTAGTGATGGGAGATTATAGCTACGATGAAAAGTCGATATTCATTATATATAGTTTTTTTTGTACGTTAAAAAAAATTTAAATTCTTATTTAACAACAAAAAACAAATAACGTACCAATGTTCTACTTCACATAAAGGATCTCGAAAGAGTTATCATTATTTTTCTATTCCTTTTAAAACATGAGTTTGGTATAAACGATAAAATTAAATATTTTTTCTTTGAGATTTTACAACTTCTTAATTCGAAGTAATAACTGACAGAAGTCACCCAAACCATGGTACAATGAAAATAGTATATGCTGTAATGCTCACCTCGTAATATATAGTGGATATGAGTTACTATAACTACATCCAAAATATACACAACCTATGATTGCTTTGATTTTCAGTGAATCAAGTGTTAAGGTTACGATTATATATTAAAAACAAAAAAAGTAATACTATAATTTTGTATGCAAAATTGTAGTTTTACTTTTTATGTTTTTAAGTATATATGTATGTATAATTACTTGGTGAACGAACAGTAAGCAGTACGACGTCTTATACACCGTATGTGTCTACGTATAAGTCTTATAATTGATTGAATGAGAATTTAAAATTAGGTGAAGGAATGCGTGAAAATTGTGTTAAAACTTACAATCTCGATTTTTTTCTCTCAAAATACAAATAATGTATTTTTAATACGTTGGTTATCCAACAAATTTAAAAATTTAAAGTTCTTAGAATACTTGATTGACATCTTTCTAAAGGTCTATAAAAAATATGGTGTCTATGTAGGTGGTGAACCACAATTCATTACATATTTATATTTTCTGAAAGCCTGTACTGATATTATTGGAGCTTTTTGAGATTTGTTCAAAATAACTTATATCTTGTGACCTGTTGTAGTCTCGAGGCTTATAGTGCCAATGTACATATTATGTAGCAAAAACTAGAGATGTTACGGTTTACGACGAAAATTTATTAAAATTATACATACTAGGTGAAATCATCAAGTGTTATTTCTGATTTGAATGTTATGACCAAGATCATAACCGTTCAGTTTAGAATCCCTTGAGTTATATTAAGACGTGAAAATAAATAAATTTCACCTACTTTTAGACTTTATATATATTTTACATACAAAAACTTATTCCAACGAGGACATGATTGATTATAAACAAGATTAAAATATGCAATAATATGTGTTAAACTGTAACATATAATTAACTTGCCTTTATATGTTGTGAATGTTAAAATGGTTTGTATTCGTTGCGATAACAAACTAGATTGTATATTAAGAAAATAATAAAAGTGATAAGTGATATAAAGTAAAATCTTCTCAAGTTTAATAACAGAGAGTATCGCTGCAAAAAATGTGTTAATGGTTTTTTGGCCTAAATTTTTTTTAAAAGTACTTCTTATATTATTTTTCTTTTTTTTTGTTATTTATATTGTTATTGTCACATATTGTAGTATCTTAATTAAAAACATCTCATCTTTAATATAAATTTGCCTAAAAGTAGATGTCATGTTATTATAATACTTACAAAAGTGCAAGGTTTAATGCAAATGTGAGAAATAGTAATTTACAATGGTAATTGTTTTCTTTAAGATTTGTATTAAAACTTTGGCTTTCATGAAAATATTCTTTAAAATAACATAGAATGGTGGATTTTTGTCTTATAAAATAATTACTATTTCTTTTACGCATAGCTTTGTAGCTTAAATTTCTTATTAAGAAGAGTTCCAGAAATTATTTTTTTGTGTTTTTGCTTTAATTCAATTTGTATTTTTAACGGCTAAGGTTTTCAAAGTTTTGCACTTATTTTATCAAAGCAAACCGTAAATCTTTAGATAAAAATGTAACTTTTAACATCACATAAATTTACAAGACATATTCTTGTTGTTCAGTGATGCCATATTTAAAAAAAACTATTGAATTAGGGTCATACATTGTTAAAATAAAAAAAAATAAAAACATTTTAAATATGACAGTGATAAAAATAAACTATATCTTTATAAACTTCCTTAAGATAAAAACAAATGTATTAAGTTTAAAAAAGTAACAGGCAAAAAAGAAACATATGCTGTACAAATATTAAAATTAATTATAAGATTTTAAATAAGAGCTTAGTGAAAAGATTTTTATTTAGATCAAGAAATTTTAACAATTATTGTAAGGCGGGAAAATCTGATGAAAGTTTTAATTATGGATATTTAATATTTCTTAAAAAAAGAATGATATTGTGATAAATAAAAATAGCAATACCAGCTTCTAACATTGATTTAATCTCAACAGCGGCGGCCATAACTTACGTTACAACCGAGATTTTAAAGTTGTGATTATTTTACCACAGCAATGAATGTTATGAGATTAAATAAAAACACTATTTTTACAAACAACAATAAATATTTCGTAAAGCTTAGTGTATTTATATACAGTTCGTTTTTATGATTAAATGTTAGAAACATATAATTGTTTCACACGTGGTATGTTATATCTGTTAGTGTTATCTATTGTACCTTGCTTGTATTTTATTCATTACATAATCTAAAAGACTGTCTATTGTTAAGCTATTGAATTTATTGTTAAGTCACAAACGTTTTATCTGGTTTTTATTAGTTATACTATCTATTCAGACAACGAATGCCTGTTGATTTGTTTGTATTAAAAATTATACTAAGTTAAGTGAAGGCTTGATAATTGCAACTTGCCAACTATTTATTTCGTTTGAATCTCAGTGGTCCGGTCTCCGGTCTCCGGTCGGATACGCAAACGTAAATGATAACTAATGCTACTTATTGTATAATCACGTGCTCAGGTGCCGATCAAATTGTTTATTGTGTATTCAATCAAAATCTTTTATTAGGGGTTGTGTCGCAGTAATCTGGTGTACTTTCTGTGCCTTCTACTAATTTGCTTTTAGCAAGCAGCGGTTCATGTCTAAGTGTTTAGATATTGTTGTCTTTACTAAATGTTAACTATCTTATATGTATATTACAGATTTTTAGAGTAAAGTATAAAGTATTCATTAGCCACATACTGCTAAAATCTCATAAAAAAAAAACAATATTTTATATAGAATATACCTTTGAAATGTTTTTACTCTGAATCCATATTATAATACGTATTGCTTATTACTAGTGTATGTCGTAGGTTTTTGATAAATGTGCGTCGTGGCTTCGTTTTAGAATAAGAAATTACAAGTCCATGTAGATAAAACTAAATTTCCTTGTAAAGTTTATGTAAATAATTCTTAGTCTAACAATTTAGTTACTACTATATTATACATATACAAATGAATCATTTAAGTTTATTAAAGTTTAGGATATATGTCTTATTTTATCATTCATGGTGTTTGAATTTCGACCTGGTGCCTGAATACTTGGTTTAGCCAGTTTTAGCTTTGAAATTGTCATTTTGTAGATGATTGTTCTAAACATATAAGTTAATAAAATTGATTTAAAATTCGATTTTTATTTGTGTCAAATTACAAATACGACTTTCTTACAGTAATTTTTTTTGGTATGATATTAATTTGATATTTAATTTTTTTTTATATTTTTAACAAAAAAGTAGCCATGTTGTATTATAAATTCCAAATTAGCATACTTGTTTATTTCTAAGGACCAATGCTGTTTACTTATACATATATAATTTTTCTGCAATGACTGCTAAATTCTCTTCCATTATTATCCTATTCAAATAAATGACTTGTAATATATACTGATATTTATAATTAATATTTTGTTTTAAGGGTCCTATAATGTGTCAATATAATGATTTTAATGGAATGTAACCAAATTATTAAAATACCAATTATGATAAAAAATAAACAATTGCTGTGGATAATGTTGCCTTTTTATTGAACTTAAGTTTCCATGGGCTCTGTATGTGGCAGTTGCCATGGTAGTTGTCCTAGAGGGCATAAAGACCAATCAAAGTTATTTGAAGCAACTTGCCAAATTCCAAATCTTTCTTTACATTCTTCATTGGCATTATTCTTACTAGCATCTATAGTATCACTGTCAGAGGATGAAATGGGATCTATAGACTTCAGATCATCAACTGTGTATATCCTTGATGAAGTAACTGGAAATTTTTCTGGACATGCCACAACCTTTGCAAGATTACATATTTTCTCTATAACTATTCCAGGTAAACGTGGTCTCACTAAGTGTAGTAGATCCTTGATGAAGTATGTTAGATTGCTATTATATGCTGATATTATTGGTTGAATAAAGGTAATGTTTGTCATGTCTTTAGGTACAGTCTTACGTAAATCCAAAAATAATGAATTTTCTTTTTCATTTGGATACCAATGAAAGTATAAAGATTTAATTTTGTTTTTATTTTTTAATATAACATCCTTAGTTTCTGTCCTGAAATCAAAAATAAGTGTTATAAAATATTACTCTGACTGAGATTTGAATGTTGTATTTTAATATTAAATGATGATAAGTTTTTAATTGTTAAACAACAATTTTAGATTAATATTCTGACCAAAAGCCTATTGCAGTGTATTTTAGACCTTTGGCCAAAGACAAAAAACGTTTAAAACCTCTTTTAAACCACCCATCTTTAAAATCTCTTAATTTGGATTTATGATTTATTTTCTTACAACATAGGAAAGACTTAATAAGTCATTTTAAGTATATTATAATAACTACTATCCCCAATGTTGTTAGATAGAATTTCCTTAAGAGTATCTTTTTTTGTTATATGTTATATTTTGCCTTTTACCAAAACAAAAACAATAATAAAAAAAGTTGAAATAATAATTCATTAATTTCTGAATGATTACATCCTTTTCAAAAGCAAATCAAATCATTGGAAATAAATTCTTCAATGACTTACTTTTTTAGTCTTTCCATAAATTGTTGATTTCTTCGCCAAGCTTGCAAAATTGTTGATACCCATCTTGCTGCAAGCTTTCTTTTTCTATTACAATTTTTTTCATCTTGAGTAAATTTAATTAATTCCAAAACGAAATCTTGAAGTAGTTCATTTGTATGAAGAAATTCCAATAATCTTTCAAAACATTGTACATATTGTTTACTTAAAGATTTAGTAAATTCAAAGTTGTAATAGTCGAATAAATGATGTACTTCTAAAGATAAAAATGGTGAATCTTCATATATTAATACTTTATTCACACATTGGGAAACTATCTCAGTGTTGAACAATCTTTTAGCCTTAATATTCATTGCATCAATAAGTGTTTGTAGAGTTACTGATTCTAGATTACTGAAATCGACACAGTTTCCCAATAAATCTTTTGAATCATTTACTAAAGAGTCTCTCATTGTTATATCTTTAATATCAGTAATTTTGTTTATTTTACAACGAGCATGGGAACAAATACTTAGCGAAAGACAAAAATTTATAATTGCTTCTATTTTGTTTTCCAATTCCCCATCTTGTATTTTTTCTATAGTAAAGTTCTCTATACATTGTTTATGTTTATCCCAATAATTTTTTTGTAGCCATTCTAAGCTAATTAAACATGCATCTCTTAATTGTTCAATAGCTGGGAGTTTTTCACTATGAGCTGTATCATGACGTAGTTCTATGATCCAATCTGGTATTCCAATATTCTTAGCAGCACGAAAAAAATTGAGGCCTTTCGAAGTTTCAGAGTCAACCATATGATTTACAAAGCGCATTAGACTAGAGGAATATGCTAAGCGCATTATGTAATCACTGCATTTTTGATTACATTTATTTTCATCTTGTAAATGTACTTCTAGTAATGTGAGAGTCGATTCAATAGCGGAAGGTAAAGTCGGACATCTAGCTTTCCAAATCAAAAGATGGTCCAGACCTTTTTGTTTAGTTGCTAGTGAACTGTTTGGCCCATACAGTACATTATAAACCTCATACCACTCTTCAATATTATACCAAGGAACTATTTGAAATGGCATAAGCATATTAAAAACGAATAAAATACAATGTAACCTTAAAAAAATTAAATTCGACGTGAAACTTGAAAGTGAAGTTCAAATTGACAAATGACGTCTGTCAATATTTTTAATTTAATAACGACTTGGCAAGAGCAGTAAATTGTACTGCCGTATTAAAAAGCGAACCTGGCGGATTCAAATTTCAAAGTAATTATTATGGTTATACCACATATTTTTCAATTTAATGTGTCATGTTCATTCGTTATAAATATATATTAGTAGGTATATGAAATGATAAGCGCGTGCGTTTGCAACCAGACGGTGCCGTTTTTATAAAGATGAATCTTTAGATGTACATGTGATTTAACATATTACTTGTCCATATCTTCAATTATACTAAACACGTTTCAGGCAAAATGCATTTTGGGAATTGTTTATTTGCTCGAAATGCAAAACAAAGTGAAATGGAATCTCTCTTAAATAACTCCTATACTTTTATAATATAATATTGTTCCAAACTGATCTCTCTATTATTTCGAAATATCTTAAATTACCTCTGCTAATGTTTCATAAATTTTTAAAAATACACCATCCATACTAATATTATAAATGTGAAAGTGTGTTTGTTTGTCTTTCTTTCACGTTGAACCGGCTCGGCGGATTGACGATATTTTTTGTGTGAAGATAGTTGGAGGGCTGGAGAGTGATATATACTTTATAAGGCGGAAGATTATCTCTTTCCCATGGGAAAACAAGTTATAATACAATCCAAAAAAATATTTATGATCAGAATTACATGAAACTTGACATAAATTCTCTTCAATACAATTAAATTCGCGTTTTAGGATTTATCGAAATTCATCCCCTAAGGACGTAGAATAGCGGATGAAAGTTTGTATGAAACATATATTATTTTAGTTTCTTTGTAGTATTAGCACGAGCGAAGCCGTGGGTTCTGCTAGTAATTATATAATTAAAAATACGCTTTAGCGTTCTTTATTAATGATATTAAAATAAACTGCCATATCCATTCTTCAATTACTATATAAAATAAAAAGATAAAATTAGTGGAACCTGTTTAATTATACTGATATTTAAGCCTTTTTGATATTATTATATCGTACACGATTGTACCTTTTATTATTATTTCGATTTATATTGATATAATATGTTAAATGTTTTAAACTAAAACGTTTTTTGTACTTGCCGTAGTTAAATTTAATATAACGACTTAATAAAGAGGGAATCGAAAATTGTAGAAGTAACATTCGTGTCATCCTTTGTTGAGTCACTGTCATCTATCTACCCCAGAAAGGCAATTGTATTAAAATAAAAGATTTACTGTATACCTACCTATGACTCGTCTCAGCTTAGAGGATTTAAAAAATCAATGAAATGAAAAGAACTTGAAGAGAGTAATTTTTTATTAAAAAATTGATACCACAAAAATGATAAAGCAAACATAGTATCGACAGTTAAAATATAACAAAATTTGTTTTATTTACTGAACACATATATAAATATGTTAAGTTAAGAAATAAAAACGCTGTCAATTTCTAAAACACTGATTGGGCAGTTATTAATGTAATGAAATATTATTGAATAAAAAAACTACATACAATTTACAGATAAAGTATATAAAATCAATTTTATTTTGTGTATATTTTAACTGTGCACTACATTGACAACTTTAAATGCACATTTCACTAAGGTCTCTGATACAGACGACAATTAAAAAGCATATAAAAAACATTTGTAATTGTATATTTTAAACTTTCGCAATTTAAGTTGTTCATATTGATTAAAACGAGCTTGAGGGTTTGCTCATCAAGTGCAACCTCATCGGAATCTCGAGCGTAATCATTATAAGGTACAGAATGAGATACTTATCTTATTCTCATTTCAATCAGTATGAATTTATTTCGTACGTGAAGTAACAAACCAAATAAACACATTCATAACCAAATAATTGAAAGGAACCAATTTTAAGTTTATGTCGGAACAAGTGAGAGGTCACTATCAGTAACAATTACATATACAATCTCCCGATATCGTTTAACGACACGTAGACGTTAACTAAAAGAACCTAATCGATGGGCCATCCTCGTGGTAAACGGAACTACGTCGCCTACACATACAAAGGAACATCAGATAACTACGCTTTTCCAATATAAAAGAGTAATCTTAGTACATACCATAATAAATATCTATCAATATATACTCTCGATCAACAAATATAATTTAATATAGGCAATAATATAATACGAATTTTTAAATCTATCAACGTTATCACAATACGAGTTTCGACGACATTATGCCGTCTAATAAAAAATTACGGGTCGTTTGTAACCACTTTTTTTATTTACAAACATTACTCTCGATACTGCTGCTACTACTGTACACACTCGTCTTTAGACGGAGTCCGACACGGCACGGGCACGTCCGCACTCGGCCACGGGGGCTCATAAGTCCACCGAGTCGAGGTCCTGCTTGGGCGCGCGCGGCGAGGGCGGCGAGGGTGGCGAGGGCGGCGGGGAGGCGGAGGGCGCGGCGGAGTGCGGCGAGAGCGGCGGAGAGGCGGCCCGCGGGTGGAACTTGCCGGGCAGCGAGGCGAGCGCGGCGGAGTGCGGCGAGGGCGGCGGGGAGGAGGTCCGCGGGTGGAACTTGCCGGGCAGCGAGGCGAGCGCGGAGAGCGCGGCGTCGGCGTGCGGGATGCGGCGCATGATCTTGCCGGAGGTGATGAGGCGGCCGAAGCCCTCCTGGTGCGCGAAGGCGTAGCCGGAGCGCACGGAGCGGCGCGCGCGGCGCGCGGACGGCGTGCGCGGCGCGTCCACGCCGGCCGAGCGCTGGCGCCAGCGCGTGCGCGCGCGCAGGCGCTCCGCCAGCGTGGGCCGCCGCCGCGAGCACGCCAGCCGCCACGCCACCACCGGCACCATCAGGATTATCATCTGGAGTTACAGTTTTTGCCACGTAAATAACAATGGTTCCAACATTTCTGTATGAAGGTTAGCGTTAGCATTTTAGTTTTGTTTCAAAGTAACGGCCCACGATAAAACTTGCATGAATGGCTCGAATTAAATTTAAACAAAGAAATAATTTATCAATCACATCCAATTTACGACATATTTTGAAATAAAAATCCCTTACAGGGAACCATGTCTTTATTACGACTAATCCATGCTTTTAGTTAATTTTTATTTATTGTCAATTTTTTTTATATAGCAATCGTTGCCTTCGTATATCTTGGAAATGTAATGACGCTAGAAGGCTCTTTTTCTTTTTACACTGATAGTCGTGACTGATAGAGTGACTGGTGAAAAGAAAACCAGCTTCAGACTGTCCATTATGTTGTTGATACTTTTATATTATGTATCATATGGAAGATAGAGGTAAGGTAGAGGAGAACCATCTCTGTGTATGAAAAAGTGTCCGTTGAAAAATGTCAAATAAGGGTGGCGTCACGACCGTGACTCACGATAGAAAGTGGGAAAATTTTGAAGAGCACCAAAGGTATTACTAAAAGTTGACAAATAATAAATCATTCTGTACGTTTATATCAACACAGTTTTTAGGTTATATTTACTAAATTATTTTGGGCTACGTAAATAGTTTCAATAACTACTCGGGTAACCCAAAATATTAAATTTTTATTTATGCTTTTTTATGCTAATTTCACAATATTCCTTTTTGCTTTGGTAGCGCTATTTTGGAGGGTTTTGGAATTGTTATTTGCTGCTTACATTTGGACACTTTTTCAACATGTTCCCCATAATATAATCCGTATATACCTACAAATAAAAAAAATAACAAGAACGGCGGAATGTGGTAATACCGCCAAGGATATCCCCTTTATAAATTAATAAATAAATGATAAATTCTACCAGTTGCGACCAACGTTTTGAACAGGTCGTATCGGTAGACATCAATATGTTAAACTAAGCTCATATTTAAATATATAATAAAAATTAAATCAATATAGGTATATGATGTTAATATAATGCAATATATCATATCTCACAGTAAGTACAGCAGTGAACCAGAAGGTGGCCTGCGTGAGCGCGACGGTGAGCGAGCCCACGTAGGGGCCGCCGATCACGTAGTTGTAGAAGTAGTCCAGCACGAAGAAGGACACCAGCGAGCCCCAGATCGTGACATGGTTGAATACCGTCCAGTACGTCGTATCGAGTGCAATCTGAAACAGAAATATTATAATTCTATTTAGATTTGAATTGTACACAGTATTTGAAAAAAAATATTTATTACCCATGCATTTTTTTCTTGCCATAATGCCATAATAATATATTTTATCTTGCCATAATGCCGAAAATTTTAATGTTGATTACTTACGGTATTGAATAATATTTGGTATTTGAAGGGATCATTTAATATTATAGGATATTAACCTGTGTAGTATTGTCGATGATCAGTATAGTGGCCACGACACTTCCTAACAACATGTGATCTGACAATATCTTGCCAGCGGGCGCCAAGCCGTCCTTATAAGTACCTGTAATATTATCGCGAACATGTAAAATATATTTAAATGAATTTTTAAAATATGATGTAATAATTTATTAATTATTAAAAATAAAGAAACATTACGTTTATTACTTGTTGCAAGACATAGATTTTGAAATCTCGTGATAAGCAAGTCTTAAAACAAGTCCGTGAAAGGATAAAGAATGGACATCATATCGTAACATTATTATAATATCCCTAACCTTCATTCGATCCGAAGACCAAAACTCATTCATCACTGTTGGCCTTTTTGGATATATATATATTTTTATGGGCATACTCTTGACCTTCATGTTAGCATGAAGGCATAGATAAGGTCTACGAACAAGCGAGTGTGCCCAGGAGAAGCCTGTTAACACGCACCTTAAATAGTTCAGGTTATACGCACTCGGAAAACCGACGCAGGCAGGGCATTCCACTTCTTGGCTGTGCGCATTATAGAAGATGAAGAATAGCGCCTAGTGCGAGTGAGTGGTCGGAATGTCAACCAAGAAAGGATGGTATCCTGCAGTACGTAATTACCATAATATAACTTTTTATTAATATATTATATACATATCAGCACTCAATCACCATAGGGAATGAGGAACAGCACGAGCGATGTGAAGCACCCGTGCAGCGTGGACTTGATGAACTCCTTCTTGTTGAAGAGCTGGCTGGTGTGCCCCGGCGCGTACAGCTTGGGGAACTGCAGCGACGTGGCGTCCGACACGTCCTGCTCGAACACGCCCAGCGCCAGCACCGGCAGCGACGTGTAGAACAGGTTGTACACCGATATGAACATCTCATCGAACACCGTCTGTGGGTTTGTGGCGTTTATGATTAAACTAGGTACGTTTTAACAGTTAGTGTGGAATATATAGATTATATTTATATTATGTATAGCCAGACTCAATAAAAGGGCTATCCAATGTAAAAAGTATTTTTCAAATCGGATTAGTGGTTCCCGAGATTAACGCGTTCAAACTAACTAACAAACAAACAAACTGTCTCTTTATAATATTAGTATTTGTGAAAAAAAAAACAATCGATGCAAATCTACTTTTCAAGAAGGACAAACAAACGATAATACTCTCGTATTTAAGCATAATGCCACATGTACTTATGTCAAATGTCTGTTTTTCCACTACGAATTAAAGTTTCAGAACTGATAATTCCAAAGAACGAAATATATTAATCAAATAGTTAAGACTAACTTTACATACTCGTGTATACAAACAAATGAGCATCATATAATAATCCATCCAACGCCCGAGAAGTATAAAAATTAAGATTAGATTTCGAAAAGCGGACAAACAGAAGTACGAAAATATTGTAACATATCACACCGACTTGCGCGCTGAATCCACAGAAGAACGCAAACCAGATGTGGCACACGGTAAAGGTGAAGTTCTTATAGAAAGATTATGAAGATTTCGTAACATATCACACTGACCTGCGCACTGAATCCACAGAAGAACGCGAACCAGAAGTGGCACACGGTAAAGGCGAAGTTCTTGTAGAAGAAATATCTGAGGAACTTGCACATGCGGTAGTAGGACCAGCGGCCGTGCACCAGCAGCAGGCGCTGCAGGAAGCGGAACTGCGCGATGGAGTAGTCCGACGCCAGCACCGCCTGCATGCCCTCCTGCCCCGATATGCCCACGCCGATGTGCGCGGCTGCGACAGCAAACACCACACACGGCATATTACTACACACCATATTTCATATTTATTGACAATCCTTGCATTCGACCATATTTCCGTTAAAATTAAAGGAGTTCGTCTCTTGTATAAATTTTTTGTCAATTTATAAAGCAATTTAGGAGTATTGTTATGAAGTTTCTAGCCCATGTAGCGCCCGTGTTCAATCTATACTCTGGCGCCCTCTAGCAGGCGCTCGTTCAAAATGCAATACCTAAAGTTATATTTTCACCGGTGAACGGAGATTTGGGTGCACATGGTAACAAGAATAAAAAAACACAACTTTGTAGTTATTTCAAAAATATATATAATTTAAAAATAATAATTTCATTAACATTACAGGACTCTCATAGAACACAAATATATTTACAAAAAAGTTCTTCTCGTGTTTTGGATTAGCAAAATCTTTAACGATGTGACTGACATCAATTTTGATTTCATGTCCAATATTCATTAACGATAAAATATTTGTCAATATTCTTTGCAACAATGTTGATCCGAGATATTTTTAAAGTATTTTTAGTTTAGAAAATGATCTTTTCCTATGCACTACAGTGACTGTCAATGTGAGGTAAATTCTAAGTGCTGTAGACAGATTTGGACACAATGAAATTAATGTATTCGTAAACAAATAATTTAAAATATCCAACGGCGTAGCGGAATCATCAATAGAAAAAGTCATTTATAATTTTACATCCCCATGTTTAGAACAAAAAAATTACTTGGCAAATTCGAGTCACGACTTTGTACTGTAACTAGCACAAAGTACTGTTAAGGAAACGTAATAATTTGGGTCGCATCGAACCTTGTTATATCTAAGACTGTCATGAAATAATAGAACATCTATACATATAATAAAATTCAAACTAAGTCGAATCTGTACATTAAATAGTTTTTGGAAAATCTAATTGGAATAGACATTATTATCGATACAAAGTCCGAATCTATAGTTTTTACAATTTTTGTCTGTCTGTTACCGTATCACGAGAAAACCACTGGACAGATTTTGATGAAATGTGGTATGACGATAGCTGGTTATCCGGGTCAACATATAGGATACTTTTCACCGCGGGAAAATATCTCATTTCTGAGAATAAATACAAAAACTGCATTGTAACAGTATACTAATATGTAAAACCTAAGAATTTGGTTATTGGTCATCTGAACGCGGGCGGAGCCGCGGGCAATGCTAGTAAAAAATATATAATAATACCTTTAATCATAGAAACATCGTTGGCACCATCTCCTATCGCGAGCGTGACAGCTTTCCTGCTTTTCTTGATGAGTTCCACGACCATTGCCTTTTGCAATGGTGTCACTCTGCAGCATATTACTGACCGACATTGAAGAACCACGTCCAAAAACCTTAAAAACATAATATTGTTGCTGAATCGTATTAAAAATTAATCATCTGAGTATCGGAGAGTAATGAGTATCGACCGTTTCAGTTGTTAGGCCTCGGAAGCTTTCGATGGTTCCAATATGAAGCAAAAGTGTACTGTTACAGCTATATTCCTGGCTATTCTGTTTGAGACAACCCTATTATTCTAACAAGAAGATACTATATAAAAAGACTTTTAAGTCTAAGCACTGAGTGAGTGATAACTATTGGATATTAACCTCCTGTTTTTTTTTTCTTTAAATCCAATACAAACTTTTATTCTTTAAATTCAAAGGGACGCATGCTTTACGTGCTGTCTCCACAGATAGTCTAACACCTCCATATTCCCAACATCTCCCTACTACAGAGAATTTCCTTACATAACATCCCAATGACTCTACCCAGTCCTACCCGAGACTGGAACCCAGGACCTATAGATGATGATCTGCAGCCATACAGTCACCACAAGCACCAACAGTCAAACATTGCGTATACTAACTTCTCCTCCAGCTGCGGATGCAGGCAGTGCACGAGCGAGTGCCCGTTGACGACGATGGCGAACCCGTTGGTGTCGTCGTTGCCGTGCTCGTGCGCGTCCGCGGCGCACGGCCCGCCGCCGGACGCGTACTCGTTGCTGGAATTCACTTGCACGTGTAGCGGCATTTATGACACATATATACGTACATATATTGTAACCATTTAATAGAATATTTTGTCTAATTTCCTTGTTTGTTGAGTTCGTTTTATTAAATAACTAGCGACTCAATCTCGCTTCGCTCAGGTCCGTCCGTTAGGTACGTTTTGACGCCTAGTATGGAATACTTTTTTTTTCCTATTTCTTTTTTTGTCGTGAATTTTTCCGACGTTTTAGTAGTCATTTTGCTATTTAGGGTGAAGACAAATCCAACAAAATAAAAGATCATAAAAATCGGTTCAGCAGTTCTCGAATTATAAGTGTTGTAACGAACCCGACTTTAGTTTTGTATATATGGATAGAAATATGTACCAGATAAACCAGAAAAGTAATAATTCATTTCTATGTGTTCTGGATTTGACTTAATGACAATGTATACATTTTTGTTATTGAATTCTTAATTATTAAAACTTTAATTCTTTAGAGAACTCGAACGTCATCATATAGTGTTATTGCAAAATGAGTTGCTAAGTTTTATTTAGTCTTACTATTATGAAGGTACTAAAGAAACGCATTCGTCATTGGTTTTTTCTTCTTCAAATAATACTAAAATAGATAACTCTATTAAAAAAAATTGCACCAACTCCAAAATAAACATTTTAGAAAACTCTCACACACACACAAATATTGCAAATTAGCAGTAGCGAGCTCACAAAGGGTAAAATAGTAAAGCGCTACATAAAATGTAACATGTAACTCATTTTAGAGATTAAATATTGAAAATATCACCTTTTGTGAGCGCAATGTTAGTTACTACACTACGAGAAGTATTAATCGAAGTTGTGTCATTTGAAATTTCAAGTGTGATAAGTGTACTGTTGTCGATGGTGTTAGTTACTGAAGAAACATTAGCAAGGGATATTCGTTCAAACGTAATACAAAATGTAAGAAAAATATAAATCAGTGCTGTAGATTGTATTATAAAATATTTTAGATAAAACTTATTAATTTGAAAAAGAAGAACTTGGTATTTTTATTATAATGAGCTGTTTTTTTTTTTACTTTGTTGGTCAAATTGTGTTTGTCAAAGTAATGAGACAGTCTCAAAAAATTGAAATGGGCAATATTATTACAATAATATTTAATATAATAAACTATCCGAGATGGGAGAGTCCAGCTATTAATATATGGGGAATTTTACAAAATATAGCAAGTATTGAACTTTTTAAAATATGTATATAAAATCACTTGAATACAAAATCAGTATCAAAACATGATAATATTAACATAATTGAAAGTCATTTTCAATTTTATTTAGAGGCCATGTCTAGCACTGTCAAAATTTATAAAAAAGACATTACTTATCTAACTGTTAAAGATCAATAAATATGTACTCACCTTAATGACCTTAATGAAATAAAAAATTAAGTAAAACTAAAAGTTATTATGTTTCAAGTATAAATAAGATACAGGCAACATCACAAAACCAGGAGCGCGAAAATTCAGGACGAGGCATTCAGAGTGTTTCTGTAAAATGAGACATTCTGCAAAAATTAAATTATTTGGTCACACTAGCCACAACACAACCAACACTACACGAGGAGTACAGGCAAGAACAGAGAGAACCGCTACCACCATGTTTCCATTTGTCAGTGAGTACTACAAAATATAGTTATAATTTAATAATAAAGTTCTTAATAGTATGAAATATCAAAACGTATTTGAACGGAACAATGGGAAAACATTTAATGATATAACACGAAGACTTTAAATACATTAACCATGATGAAGTTTAGTGTAGAGTAAAAAGCTTAATAAATAATGACCACAAATAAAATATAAAACATGTAATACCGGTCAGCTTTAAGAAAATCAAATAACAGGAAAACGATCATTGTAAGAAAATATCTCTCAAAAGCTTGGAAAAAAGAATAAGGTGTTGCGATCCTTACCTTGTCTTAATCTTTATGTCAATTTTATTATTTTCTTTTATATTTAAAAACAGCTAACTTTACCCAATGTTTGAATGTGGAAGGGACGCTGACACGTGGATGTAGCCGACGGTGAGCGCGGCGGAGTGGAATCTTTTAAACTGTTTTTTATGCTGTTTTTGAAGTAAGACTTCTTTATGCACGCTTTTACTTCGGGAGTAGGCTGGTGAATGCGTTACGAAAAAAAATTACGTACGTTTGTTGCCATGGTAATCGTTGTTATTGTCTGACAAATGATATAGGTACATATAATATTATATTCTTTCCTTAAATGATATCATATAAACAAATGATCGAAATATGCCTAATATGCGTTATATTTGGTATCTCACCTATCCCAATTATTTAAAACACAAATTGAGTTTCATAAAGAGTACCGGTAACCTACAGAAGTGTTACTTCTTGCGCGTGTACACATTCATACACGCACTGTTTAATTATTATTTTTCACTTGGAAGTATAAAAATTATACTAATAGACGTGACAGGTATGAGGTAGTGTAGTATCATACGAGCGTAGTTCTCCCATTGTCCCACTACGTCCCGAGAGAGCACCGACTGACGCATGGCGGGCGGCGGCGGGGGCGGGGGCGGGGGCGGAGAGTGCGCGGTGCGAGGCGTGAGAAGTAGTGTAGGCGTAGGTCTCTACCTGTCGCGTGTAACGCTATGTTCCCACCTAAATGTGACGACGGAGACGGCGGGCGCGTTCAGCTTCACGTTGGCGGCGCGGCCCGGCGACGCGCCCGGCGCCGACCCGCCGTTGGCCGTCTCCGTGCTCGACTTCTTTGCGTCTGATGTGCCTGGTATATATAGGAATATTGAGATTTCGGTGTCATTAAATTATATATACTAATAACATTTATTATAATAGCAATAATCGACTTATTCGATACCATAATTAAATTGTATTAAATTTAATAATCAAATTTCAAACTGTTCGATGTTCACTGAACACATTTAAGATATTCATATCGAATTAAGATTTTTTTCCTACAAAGTCTTTAATTATTGATTAGAAATTTTATCAAATTTACGCAACAGTATCGTAATATTTTAAATGTTATATTATTACGACATTATTGTCGAATTATTTTTACCGCATGAACTGATATACGGTAAATAAAGTATAGGGTCATGTAGCAATTCCCAATGCTATTCTTTATCTGTACGAGTAATTTTAGTAAGCAAATAATAATAAATATGTGTGTATAAGTGTTACCATGCGGCAAAAATGTATTGACGACGCGTATGGAGTCGCGGCACTTGGCGAGCTGGCGCTCCACGTCGTCGTGCGACACGCCGTCCACCACGAACACCTCCGCCATGTCGTCCGTCAGCAGCTGGCACGAGTAGCCGATGTTTATTGCTGTCTCTGTTACACATACATACACAGAATATACTTATCTCGTTAATTTAGCATTGAATTAAATAGATTTATTTTTAAATAGACTTAAGAGGTTTTGATTAGAAGGATTATTGTGTATTAAATTAAGATTTGGTCACTGAATTCATATCACACGTTTTTGAGTTGACCAAATACATATCACAAGCTGTTTAGAAAACATACACACAAGTTAGATTTAACCAAATTAAAAAATTCAAAATTTTAATAGATAAACAATCTGTGACATATTTTTACGTATTCTATCAAGTACAAACGCTCTAGCTAGGTTGTCTGAATGCAGTGATAGGATCACCAGGTAATGGCTAATCCTAACACTCTACCGTCTTTATAATTTCGTCTGTTCCCTATTGCTGTTTTTTTGCATAATTTATGTAGTGTAACTATTTATTTTTTATGTAATGTTTGTATATTATATTTTAATACCTTGTTTATCTCCCGTTAAAACCCATATTTTGATGCCAGCCATACTTAAATTTGCTATTGTTTCCGGAACTCCATCCTGTAATTTGTCTTCAATAGCTGTTACACCTGCAAAAATGAAAATATTGAGTATTTAACTTCATTGTATTAAGCCCTTCTTAACGTCCCACTGCTGGGCACGGGCCTCCCTTCAATACGAGGGGGATCAGGCTATAGTCCACCACGCTGGACAAGTGCGGGTTGGCGGACTTCACATGTCTTTCGAAAACTTGCTAGGTTCTCTCAGACATGCAGGTTTCCTCACGATGTTTCCCTTCACCGTAAGGCAAGTGGTAATCATGTTGAAAATGATTCGCACATGAAAATATCAGAGGTGCGAGACCCCGGATTTGAACCCGCTTCACTCGGTTACCCATGCGAGCGCGTCACCACTGCCTTATACTTTAACTTCATAGATATATATTATTTGGTGTTAGAAGTGTGTTAGTTTGTCTATGTACAAAACTTCCATCATCAATCAACAAATGATCAATAAGAATCAACAAAGAAATGAATATAAACATAACATATATCCATCTTAATTTTCCAATCACTGACAGTATCAGGTTACCTGCTACAACTACCCTGTAATATGCATTAACAATTACAAATATTAAAAAATAAAGAACAATATTATAACATTGCCGTTATTTGGAAAACATATTTGAGTTTTAAATATCGATGTATAAAACACGATAAACACTAAACAGTCGCTTGTGCCAATTAGCTAAGCACTTATACCATTCCTTCTTTCGTCTTTATATAGCTCTCACTCAATTAAATCAAAAATTATCTTAATTACTATTATTATGTATTGTATTATATAGATATGTATTTGTGTAAGTATCAGTATGTATGTATGTATATACATTATAATGTATGGTATACTAAGTAGTGTATATTATATGGTATTATATACAATATTTTTAATTAGCTATTTATTTTTGAGTATCTATGTATTATTTATATAACTACGACTGCACGAATTTAGCCTGCTAAACACTATTTCTCACTACCATAGGTTGATTTTTGAAGAGGTTGTTGTTGGTTGAAGAGATCTTTTCTAGAGATAAGTCCACCTTTATAAACAATAACTATATTTAAATTACTGTATTGATTTGTAAGTGCAATAAAGAATAGTATATAATGGAGTAGTACAACGAACTCACCCATAAGTATAAGATCGGTCTCGATCTCCTCGTATATGGCGTCGAGGCGCTCGTCGCGGTCGCGCAGCGCGAGCGCGGCGGCCTGGTGGCGGCGCTTCCACTCCGCGAAGCCGCGCTCCTCCAGCGGCCGCCACGCCAGCGCCAGCGTGCGCAGACCCTCGCCCGCGAATTTCTTGTGGGGCGACAGAGATCTTATTTAACTGGTGTCTTACATTTAGAGTTAAATCACGAGTTATGTTAACCCCGGCCACATTCACATCTTTTTTTATTTAACACCTCCAGGTAAATTTCTAAGAAATTAATTAAAATTCATAAAATCCATAATTATAAAAGATTTAAATCATAAAGAAGCATCTGAATTGATTTAAACCGTACTTTTTAAAAGTCTATTACTATATTTTATTCTGGGAAAGAAAAAATAATTTTACTTTAAATGAAAAAGACGTACGACATTTTTACCCCGTCCTGGGGAAGTTGTATCGATACATTAAAGAAACCGCGTGCACAACTCGAGTGACTCCTCAATCTATTAAGCATGAAATTGCATTATACAATAAAATACTCAACTTATAAAGTACTCACATTTAAATGCTCCTGCGTTTTTGATCTAACTTCCTCTTGATGACTACGTTTTAATCTGTCGTATATAACATTATCAGCACCTTTAGTATATAACCTAATTTCGCCATCCTTCTTCAATATCACGGACATTCTTTTCCTAACATTATTAAAATCTAATATACATAACAACTCGTACACCTGAAAAAGGAGTATTAATATTATTTTATTTATAACTATAATATAATAGGATTGAAACAATCGAAGATAAAAATGTAATTATTACCTCTATTTTACCCATAACTTCTATAGTAATAGTATTAGGGGAACGCTCTCTGAACACAAAACCAAAGTTTCTCGCCGCCGACACTAGCGCCGACTCGTCAGGCGATTGTGCCTAATGATAAATTAAAAATACATTCGATATTTAAAAAATAAAAACAACAACATCTTAAGAAAATAATATATTGCATAAATATAAATTGTAAGTACATAAAAGATATTAAAGATATTAATATAGATTAATTTTAAAAACGTCAAAAAAAATAGCTTTGTTAGAAATTCTATTTATAATGTGCTTTAAAATTTTAAGAATGACTTCGCTGATTATATCTATACATATAATAAAATTGTAACTAAGTCGAATCTGTACATTAAATATTTTTTGGAAAATCTAATTGAAATAGATATTATTATCGATACAGAGTCCGAATCTATAGTTTTTAGAATTTTTGTCTGTCTGTTACCGCATCACGAAAAAACCACTGGACAGATTTTCACGAAATTTGGTATGATGATAGCTGGTTATCCGGGTCAACATATAGGATACTTTTTACCACGAGAAAATATCTCGTTTCTGAGAAAAAGTACAAAAACTGCACTGTAAGAGTATACTAATATGTAAAACCTAAGAATTTGGTTTTTGGTCATCTGAACGCAGGCGGAGCCGCGGGCAATGCTAGTTATTAATAAATTAATACAAAGAAATATTTCGAGATCATAAGCACGGTGATATAGGCTATACACTAAATTGATCTATTAACATTAGGTAATATTACATTTAGAGGAACCTATTCCAAATATGCACAATTAATCATAGACCTTGTTATTCAGTTATTCTTACTCTTGTTAAATTCTCAACATGTATTTGAACATATTTTTTAAATATAAAAAGCCCAGCTTTTATACAATTTTAATATGTATTATTGAAAAAAATATATTATTAGAGTACTAAATATACATGGAGGAGGATTTAGTTATCTTTTTCTGCTAGAATGTAAAACCTTATTGTTTAAAGTCACTATATTATTTACTTTAGTTTTTATTGTTTTTAAAGTCATTTTAAATTTAGAGCAGAGACTACGTATCGAGCGGGGTCGATTACCGTTTCAAGTTAATAAAATTGTGATTTCCCTGATTAAATTATAATTGAGCAAAGAGAATTCTTCATTAATTTGAATCCTGAGAACGCCCACAGGATTAGTAACCACTAAAGATGATGTTCGTAGTATATGGACAACACGATATACATATATAAACAAATCACCTGGTACTCTAGCCGGCCATTCTTCTGTTCGGGCATGACGGTATGACAGAGCGCCAGCAGGCGGAAGAAGTCGAACACGTGTCGGTCTCCCTGACGCACCGCCTTCAGCAGCTTCGAGTCGAAGAACTTGAACTCCGGCTCGTATTCTGGGTTATCGGAGAAGTCCAGCGGCTCTGTGCTCTGTATCATATATACATTTAATATTATAACATTTGCTTATAAATAAATAAAATAAACGAAAATAAAAAAAATTGTTTTAGTAATTATCTGTTTAATCAATTATATTATATTTAGTGAAACTTTTTTTTAGTAACTATATATATTTATTGTAGTTTGACATTTAAGGCAAAATGACTTTTTTTAAGATTGAAAAGGGATAAATCAAATTAATACACAAAAAATCTTAATTTTCCTTATAACAAAAAGGAATAACAATAAACTTATAAACTATAGCTAGCAGACACACTAGTTCTACACCCACTAAAGATTAGTTATCTATGCAATAAACATGCGACACACAACATGCGAACCACTCAACACCAAGCAACTCGGTGATATGTGTTAATGAGTTAATTACATATATAAGTAAATAGATAAATAGATTTACATATACATACGGGATTTACAAAGCGTGAGATATTGTTGTATTTTACATATTAATATAAATTAGTTATATGTTATAGTTAATTATTATTTATACGTTAATATGTAGTTAAGAGTTTCTACAATCATTATATTATCTACTATTAAACAGTGGTAAAAATAATAAGACAGGTGTTATATCTTCCTTACAATTCAATTATTATAATTAGTGTTGAAAACGTTATATCTAGATATATTATTTACGATAGATATCAATTTTATAATATATCAATAAATATAGTTTAACCTTGACAAGTAAATGATTCCAATATTTTTAGCGCTAGCAAAAGTTCCAATTATAGAAGAGACCAAGCAAAATATATAATTCTTACCTTGAATTATGCGATAATCTCAAATATTAAATTAATTTAAAAATAACATCATTTAAATATTCTTATTTATAATTTAGTGTTGAGAAACAAAAATCCTCCGAAATAGAACTAAGAAAATAAGTAAGATAGACGGAACGTACTGCACGATAAAAACTAAAAAATCAACTTAGTATTATTTTTATACTAATTAAAAACGCTACGACCAAAGGGAAATGGTAATCATAAACAACCAGTAATGTGCGCGCTCCGTCTATACCATACTTTAAGCACAGCTTGCTATAGACGGCTCCGTTAGACTGTATGGATTATTATAGCTCATTCGCGTTAAGAAATAGCGAGTCATCGGTGTTCACCATCCTAGCCGCGCTCCCCGACCAATTAGGTTGCATAAAATTATAAAGTCATATTTCAGAATGACCAGTCGAAGGCAGATTTAAATATATTAATTATTAATGACTTTATTTTAGTCAAAGTCAAAATAAAGTCATTATCATTATATGATGACTTTATTTTGATTTAAGGTAATTAAGTTGATTTTTTACCCATTAAACTTAATCTTTTGAAATATTGAATTCATATTTTTACTCCCACTCTGTATACACCTTTACCAGCCGTTGCACTTGATGACTCGATATGTTCTTAACACGAATGGACTATAGTGTGTGCCCTACTGCACAGTGAGGTGTCGCATAAGTCAAGGCGCTCCATGCGTGTATCGGTGTAACCGTGTCGTACGTGCGCGTGCGCGGGCGCGGCGCCGGGCGTGCTGCGGCCCGCCTCGTGCTCGCGCTCGAGCAGGCGCGCGCGCGCCCCGCCGGCGCCCAGCGCCGTCACGCGCACCGCCGCCCCCGCGCCGCCCGCGCCCGCCCGCCGCCGGCCGCGCTGCGCGACACACGCGTCACACACTGCCCTATCACTCTAGTGTTGCCAGGTACCTCACAAGGTACTTACTGAAGTAAAACTTATTGAAGTAAAACTTCTTTACGCACGCTTGACTTGGGGAGTAAGGTGATAACTGCGTTACGAAAAGTGTACATCGGGCGAGGCGAACGTTTGTTGCCATGGTGACCGTTATGGTCTGACTAATGATATATAATATAATATTTTTCTTTCTTAAATGATATTCTATAAATTTATGATTGTAATATGAGTTATTTTTTAGTATCTCACCTATCCTAATTATTTAAAACAAATTGAATTTCATAAAGAGTACCAATAACCTACAGAAGTTTTACTTCTTGCGCGTGTACACATTCATACACGAACTCTTTAATTTTTTTTTGTTTTATCTATGTGACACTTTATATAATATGAAGCACTCATGTAGATTTGTATATAGAGCACTTGTTACTTTTTTAGTGGATAATATTGTTTTAGTAAACCTGGCAACACTAACGAACCCTAATTTGGATCTACTATTTGTGTGTTTGTGTATCACACGTTTCACGTATCTAATCTAATAGATTTTTTGTCATGTACTCTGTGATTTTTATCATTACACAATATTCCATGAAAAATTGTACAATTAATGTATTATATTGTCATATAAATGTGAATATGAGTGTGAGTATTTAATCTTTCTTGTAAGTGTCAATTCACATCACACATGCAAGCTATTGAGAAATGTTTTAAAACTTAGATACAATAAAGGTTAACATCGAATTGAACCAACATATTTTTTAAATTAAAAAAATTATATATATTACATATGACACAATCAATAACAAGTCACAACACTATGAGACAAAAACATATCACAATATGATAAATAATCGCATTAGAATATGAACAATGAACACAAACAAACATAGTTGTCAGTTTTCACACTATGATGGATTAAAGATGTAGTAGATAAAAAATTCATAGTCACTCGAAAACTTGCTCGTGTTGAAAAAAAGTCAAAAACATGCTTATAAACTATCACATTCGTGCTATATCATGTATAATAAACAACTCGCATGTTCAAAAAAATTAATATAGTGCTGATCATCTTATAGAACAGCCTACATGCAAATGCTGTGATTTCTAGAAAAACTCAGTGCTTATCTACTTTCAGAAATCAAATAATAATATAATTAAAATAATAATATCTTACGTCTGTGAGTTCGATGGTTTCGCCGGTATTTTCGTCCACAACATCGCCGTAACTCACTCCCGCTATCGAGCACTTATTAAAAGTCATTATATTTTGTGTCAGAGTGCCAGTTTTGTCGGAGAATACGTATTGAATCTGACCTGAAAAATATTATTCGTTTGTACTCAAAATCTATACAGATAAACAAAATTGAAGTGTTTGTTTGTAATGTCAAAATAATAGCTTTTTACTAAATGCATATGAAATTTATACACGGTATCTATAAGAAACACACAATTTATAAAAATTTTGTCTGTCTGTTCCTTCGGGCTAATCTCCGAATCAGCTGGGCCGATTTTGACGGGACTTTCACTGGCAGCTAGTTAATGTTATAACGAGTAACTTAGGCTACTTTTATTTCAGTAAAAGAATTAGGGTTCCAATCAAAAAAACTAAAATGTATTTAGGGACGAACTCGAGCGAAGCCAGGGTGAGTCACTAGTACTGATATAAACTTAGTCAATGACAATATTTTGTAGAGAAATTAACACATACCTAACTCTTCGTTTAACGTCGTCGTACGCGACTTAGCCGCTGTCCCGGTCTTTTCATAATACATTTTTTCATCCCAATTAATCAAGAAACTCTGTGCAAATCTTATTACCTATAATGAAAACCAACATTATAATCATAATTAAGTGATATTTACATATCCCATGCCTTAACCTCTTAAGAATCAAATAAAATAATTTTAAAAAGGTTTCTTTTAGAGATAAGTATATAGAAATGACAAACTAGGTTCTGTCAACACTTGTTTGCATTGATTCATAATGTTGACAATAGAAATACGCGTTTTAGGCGATGACTACACATTAGATACGTGGGTTAAAAGTCAATATGCTAGTTTTTCTGTGGTTTCCCAGTTTTGTTTTTGAGAACTACGTCCAAACTAGAGGTTAATCTCTGATATAGGTATGGGTATTACCAATAAGCGATTTCTTTTTTTTTTTTTAAATATACTTATTTATTTTTATATGTGCATATATTGAGCCGACAAAAATACACCATAGAAAAGTTATTGAAATATTTTAGCTTTGCAGCGAAACAAATTATACTTTCGCATTATATTTCTGTTCCTTTTATGTACAATATAAAAAAAAAACCTTTTCTATACTAATATAATATTATAAAGAGGTAAAGTTTGTTAGTTTGTGAAGTTGTAGGGGGTAATCATTGAATCTACTGAATCGATTTAGGTGAAATTTGGTGAGAAGATAGTTTGAGACCCTGAAAAGGACATAGGATACTTTTTATTCCGGAAATCATCCATTAAGGGGGAAAATTGGGGATGAAAGTTTGTATGGCGAATCAAGCTAGGGACGAACCCGAGCGAAGTATAGGTGAGTCGCTAGTATTATATAATATGAGAAGCAAATCCCTACATTACAAAATATTATATATAGGTATACTGTTTACATATAACATACCTCCACAGATACGTATAATGATATGGGAACGACGGTGTTCATAACGATCGCGTAAGAGAAGAACACGAGTAGCGCGATGACGGTGGCGCCGGGCCCGGGCTCGGACGGCACCAGGCTGTCCCACGGCAGGTACACCTGGAAGTTCTTGCCCACGAACCACTCCCACACGCCGCATGCTATCGTGCAGAATACGCACATCGACAGCAGAAACAGCACGATCTAAAAAAAAAATGACGTAATATACGTTAGCAATTGTCACACTGATACCATAAATGCGTAAGTTTAAACTGAGTGAGATTCAACGACTTTATGTAAAATTCTGAATTCTTTTTGTCGATGTAATTTCCATGCAAATAGAAATACAATAAGACCCGTTAAAGCTTCCCATTTGAACGTTTTCACTTAATGTGCAATAATGAAGGCATACATAAATATAAAACTCGAAAACGTGTTGATTTGTTCTCTTTTTTCCCAAATATATATATATATTTAATATTATCTATTCAAATTTTTGACCCCGTAACCGTTTCAGTAGTATTATATTATACAACCTTATATATTTAGCACGTATATACTATAGCAATGTAAATAATAAATTTGAATGATTACAGATTACAGAAAAATTCCTAGATGAATACGAATTCAATATACAATTTTGACCTCGTTACAGTTTTATTACGTGTGTATAACAAACTCAAGAACTATAATAGGAATTACTATTTATGCAAAATGCCGTTAACGTATTACGTAAGCATACTACCGAGGTTTTGGGTGGAACTTGTTTATTTTTTTTCTTACATTTACCGACAAAGGTCGTAAATAAGATAAAAATTGTAATTTTCTTGGTTAACTGTTGTCTTATATTTATACTGTTCTCATTCGAAGGCAGGAAGGCGCGTGCTAAAAACAATTTGTTTGTCCACTTAAGACCTTCCTGTGTATTTATAACTTATAGTGTCGTCCATCAGACTATTGACAGTTTGCTTACATTAAACACATCGTACACGCTATATCTCTTTCTACAGAGAGAGGGATGTAGTCACTATCAATAAATGTAAGAATGTTTATGTAACATATATGATTTAAGAAAATTGAATTATTAATATTAATTATTACCCCTATTATAAGGAAGTTGAGTAGTCTATCTATGCTGGTGCGCTTGAATTTGGTCTTTCCAGAGTTTTGCATTAGCTTTGTATCTTTCCCAGCGAACACTACCACGCCGTAGCACCACGGCGTATTACGTAAAATACACCCGCGTAGAAGTATTTTATCGTTGTCCAGCGCAAAATGTTGATCGCGCCAACTCAATGTGCCTGGAAATAAATAATGTTATTTACATAGTGTTAAAGGTTTTCGATTCCATTGTAAATTTAATTTAATCGTTTGGTAAAAATGAAGTCACTACGAACAAACGAGTCGTATCTGTTACATTAAATATTTTTTTTGGAAAATTGGAGTCGCCAGTTACGTAATATAATATCCCTAAAATGATTTTGTTATATACTAGTACCTACTAAATAATACAACATTACCATAGTACCTACTAAATAATACAACATGTCGTATTTATCTGTAGGTAGGCTATATATGTAGGTAGGTCGGTAGAAAATTGTAAAAGCTTGCTACGTTGGACATTGTTGCAACGTAGAATATCAATGAAAGTAATACTCGTTGGTACGAGTATCATCTAATAAAGGAGCTACCGACTCGTTTAGAGTTTGAAGGAGTGATAACGATGTAATGTACCACGAGAATTCTGACTAACTACTTGAATGAAATTTGATATTATGTGGCCTTTATAAGGACGATAATAATGTTACGAGCTTAGATTTTGGGATCGGAAATTGAACCTGCAGTTTAGACGGTTTATTACATTTGTGAGCACGAGTCATTTTATGGTGGTTCATGTACACTCGCGATACGCACACGGTAAGGGGTTTTTTTTTTTTTTTTATCTCTATTTTTATTTAGGGACTTTTATCCTTTTCGGACATGTCAGTCCCATCATATCTTAACCTAAGTACAGCATCACATATATATTATGGAAAAAGGGAAATAGGGTAAGGGGTTAATTTTACCATGACTCGCCGCACCAAGCACTTTAGGTACTCTACCAATAGTACTAATTGTAGTAGATCATTATCATTCCATTTCACTTTCCTTCACTATTCACTTTATTGTATTTTTTGTGAATCTTTACTTAGCTTCAAGCTTGAAGAAATCTAACTTTCCAATAGTAATAAAGTCGAAAAGTTTAAAAAAATATTCAAGTTTTTCTGGAAAGTGTTCTGTCTCTTTTAAACTCGATAATTTACCAGCAACTGGTATGTCGTGCAAGATATGTACTTACTTATTTTGACCATTATTGTCAAGCATTGTTTCGGTGTGCTATATTTTAAAAGACATTCTACGCTCAAAGCAACTTTTCGTCATTATAACATATTAGATACAGTCTATAGATCCAATAAGAAATAAAATACAAAGAATTTCTAAATAATATAAATATCTTCATATCAATCAAAAATTCAAAACATATTTTGACCTAAATACATAAAGCGTGCCTAAATATAAAAAACGTGCTTATTCACCACTTAACTTAAGTCGATTTTCTTTGTGTAAATGTCAACGACCGTTTACATTATTACTGTAACTCGATAAACCCACCCACTGTTGCTGTTTTAAATCATATTTCATGTAATTTTTTAAGGTTGGAATAATTTAGTTTGGATATAATCTACTTAGTTAATCATAATTTCTAGCTTTCTTTTGTATAAACCAGTTTGTCCTAAACACCAACTGACTTGATCTATTTAATAAAATAATCTATGTCACCTGTGATCAAAACTAAGAAATCGGGCAAGTGCGATTCTGACTCGAATATATATATGTATATATATATATACATATATACATATGTATATATATATACGTATATATATCCTCGGCATAAATATATTTGTATTTCAAACTTAATTTTGCTTGTGAAATGGAAGATATTTTCAAGATATTTTGGAATAAACTATCTCGATTTTTTTCATAATTTTCCTCATACTTTAATATAGGTACATTTTATTTATTTATCTTTATTTGACTGTAGAAATGTCTAAAGGTTCACATGAGTCAAATGACAGTATGGCTGTAACATACGGACAGACGTACATGACGAAATAATAATTTCTGCTATGTGTTGACTTTTGTCTACTGAACGTTAAATAAAACGAAAATCTTATAACATAATATTTAAATCTCTCAAGTATCTAGAATAAAAAGGGATATCTATATGTTTACGATGTTCATGCATAAAATTGTAATATAATAATATCTATATATGCATATTTATAAATATAATAATTTGCAATAATGAGAAAAATATATAAAATTTGTTTGTCGATGTACACTTTACAGTCTTAACAAACAATAACATCAACTTGAGCATGTATATTAAAATTGATACATACAAAATAATAGGACAATCAAGTATAGAACAATCAAGGTGCCAATAACAATAGTGACTGAGTATTTCACGTAAACGATATTTTAACTTCCAAGCTTTTTTTGTATTAATATTCTTTTGTTTTTACTTTAAACAAAAGAAAAATGGTTCTGTTTCACAAGGTAGAAAGTTTATTTTGTGTTTAAATTATTTAATGTTAGACACACGTATTTAAGAGGATTGTGAACCTGTAAATTTTCATACAAAAAGCGATAACGTTTTTCCCCCCTTAAACATAGTCTAATTTTCATAATTTTTGGAAATGTTGTAGATATAATCAAAATCTAGGTCCGTACGTTTTTATTTTTTTTAAATATTGTGTACGACAGAAGTTATTAGCATCTAAATATCTATATTTTTGACCTAAAAACTTCCTCCAGCGTTTTTATTTGTTTAAATTAAACTAAACTGAATTACAAAAAAAGGAAAACGTACAGACCTAGATTAAGGTGTACTGAATCTAATGAGACCAAAATCGTCTCATTTCGTTAATGTTTAGGGGGGTGAAAACGTTATCGCCCGAAACAATATTTCAAAAAGGAAATGTAGGTAATTGAGTCTAAGACTTGCAACTCTCTCTATCGCACCATACGGGTCGGGGGCAGGGGCATATTTTAGACTGTAGTGATGTTGAAGGTGCTATCGATATTATTATCTCCTAGGGAGGAGAAGGTAATATCGATATATCGATCGATACTGAAAGGATTCAATCCAAAGTTTAGAATTTTATTATACTCGTATGTATAGATTGTAACTAAGCCGTATCTGTACATTAAATATTTTTTGGAAAATATTATTGAAATAAACATTATTATCGATACAGAGGCCGAATCTATAGTTTTTTGAATTTTTGTCTGTCTGTCTGTATGTCTGTCTGTCTGTTACCACGTCACAGAAAAACCACTGGAGGGATTTTGATGAAATTTGGTATGGTGGTAGCTGGTTATCCGGATCAACATATTATAGCATTACCGCGGGAAAATATCTCATTTCTGAGAAAAAATACAAAACTGAAAATATATATAAATATATATATATATACAGGGTCATTTTTAATTTACTGAAGACCTTTTGGGAATATACTATTTACATCATAACAACAACCTCTGTAACAAGAAAAAAAAATATTTCTTAAATTTTCATTTTCATACAAAAATAAAAATATTTTCTATATCATCATCATCATTATATCTGGCCAAGTTTGAATGAGTAAGGACCACTTCCTACACCCCTCCACCCCACGCCCTCCACCCCACGCCCACCACCGGTCACGCGCTTTCTTTTGCTAATTGCTGGACTATTACCGTTTAGAAGGAGCAATAAAAATACTTTTATTTTTGTAAAATTTATATTTTTAATTTTATATTCGTTATAATTTTATGAAAATTATTACGAATAGTATGTGTATAATTATATATATATACACATACTATTCGTTATAATTTTTTCGAAATTATCGATATTTTATTAGTTTTTGGAGTTAATTTTATTGATTTTTCTGAAAAAAATGATTTTAGGGCAATTACAGAAAGAAATGAAAATCATTCGTAATCTAATCTTGTTTATTCATTAGTTAAAAATATATTTAAAAAAATTAAGTTGATATATTTTATAAAATTTAGTCATAGATATGTTAAAAAATCGTAAATCATCATCATTCATGATCAGGTCATTTTATGAATTTCTATTCCTTATATACCTGCTAACATTATAAAATCATAAAACTTCAGGTTTTCAATAAAATAATTATTTTAACAATAAAAGGATTCCGATGGGTCTATTAGTACATAAACAACAAAAAATTCTATAACTTTCAACTTTTGGAACGAGATTTTTGTAATTGATCTAAAGCACCTATTTATTTTTTTATGATTTTTTGAAGTCATCAATCTAAACAAGTCAAATTTTAAATGATATTCGCCACAGAATTGTAATTTAGAGTTATTTCAGTTTATGAATAAAGGTGCGATGTAACTTGTAGGGAATGTATATTGTACGCAAACCGTTAAAATAATAAATATTAGATAAACTTTGAAATTGCTCTTGCGCCGAGTCGCGCCGCCCCCGCCCCCGCCCCCCGCAAGCGCCCGCGCGTCACCGGCTGCTGCTATCATAGTGTGTGTGAGAATTTGCGTATGTTGTATTTGTGTTGTTCACTGCCGGGGGGATGCAAAGCGGTATGAAACAGATAGCATTTTTAAAAATACCTACTCTCGCCGCGTATCGGCACTTCACAATCCTCTTAACACGTGTGTTATTTTGTGTTGCACGGCGTAATGCAACACGAGAAAAAATCTTATATTTTATAAGTAAACAAACATATTTAAGCATAGTGCGGCAACTCTCGTGGATAGTTCAAAAAGCAATCATTTTGCCGCCAATTACGCCTAATTTTGTAGCAAAATCATCGTTTAGTTACGAAACCGCAGATCGCAGCGCGGTATGCTGCAACGTGAATGTTAGTTACAATATATTTTACAGTCGCGAAGACTATTTAATATTATGTAGTAGTGGTGTTAGAATGGTTATATTTATATGAATAAATCATGTGCATAAATAGTACCTACACACGTATGACGCCAAACCATAACGGATATTGACGCAATAGCGCATGATGGCCTTAACTAGAACACACAGAGACACTTTTGAATTTAAAAATAATATCAATTGGTCGACTTAGTCTAACTGCTAACATTATTGTCATACATTGAAATGATGCATAATATCTACTGCCTCGGTAGTGTAGTGGCTAGCATGTACGGCTGCACACTCGAAAGTCCTGAGTTAGAGTCCCGGCCAAGTTTAGTTTTTGAGTCTTTCTGTATAGTAAGCCTCAGTAACAGCCCGGAGTTGGGAAGTTGGCGGTGTTTCACCCCCGTGCCTCGGAGAGCACGTAAAGCCGTCTGTCCTGCGCCTTAACTCTCACTGGTCGTGTCGAGCTGTCTTCCACCGGAATATGAGAGTGATAGGAATAGAGAGTGCGCCTGTGCACTATAATATCTCCTGCGCAGTTGGCTAATCTCAATGAGATTGGCCGCCGTGACCGAATTCGGTCAGGAGGACATTATCATTATATTATTATTACATAATATCTAAACATACATATGCCATGTGTGATTCGATTAGAATCATGATTAAGGCTAATTTACTGGGCTTATAAAATACTAATATATTGAGAAAAGTTAACTTAACACTTACGTTAGCTTGATCTGAGTAGTATCTGTGTCAATTTATAATTATAAATACCTTCAAACTTATTAAGTAGATTGTTGGGCGTTTCACAGACGATTTCGCCGTCAAACGCGCCCAGTTGTGCGTCGTCTTGGCCCATTGCGGCCGTCTCAAGAAGGCACTGGCGACATTTTAAATTCGTCTCCCTGTATTAACAAAAAATCGTGTAAATTTTAAAAATTTAATCCTGCATGAATATGTTATATATTAAATATTTGGACATCTTCGATACATATTAATTTAACATACAAATCTGTTTTACGCGAGAACGACATGAACGTTTAAAATTACGACATTTTTATCTATACATATATAATAAAATTGTAACTAAGTCGAATCTGTACATTAAATATTTTTTTGGAAAATCTAATTGAATTAGACCTTATTGTCGATACAGAGTCCGAATATATAGTTTTTAGAATTTTTGTCTGTTTGTCTGTCTGTCTGTCTGTTACCGCATCACGAGAAAACTACTGGACAGATTTTGATGAAATTTTGGATGATGATAGCTGGTTATCCGGGTCAACATATAGGATAATTTTACCGCGGGAAAATATCTCATTTTTGAGAAAAAAATACAAAAACTGCATTGTAAGAGTATACCTACTAATATGTAAAACCTAAGAATTTGGTTTTTGGTCATCTGAACACGGGCGGAGCCGCGGGCAATGCTAGTGGATAATAAATACCTATGTAGTTTAAATTAAAAGCAATATCTGTATCAATCGGTCGAGTAAATGCAATTTATTTCTACGTAGTACCTATATTTCATATATAACAAGGGTCATGTTATGTGGTTGTGGCCTAAATACAATAAAATATGCGAGCGAAGCCGTAGACAGTATAATTTTATAGCTAAGAGAAATATCAACAGCAATGCATCGAATTGAACTATCAACAGCTAATTTTTGTCGTTATGTTGAAATACATAATTTAAAACTTATTTTTCCTTATTATTTATCATTTAAATATATAAACCAAAAATAAGGAATTTGCTTCTATATAAAAAACTACATTAATTGAACTTGAACTAATAATTTGATACTAATATCTTACGTGAACCACTTTACGTATCGTGATAAAAAGTATCCTATGTTGTATGTATGTCTTAAGCTCATAACCTATTTCTATACAAAAATATTTAATTATCGTAACAACAAACCGACAAATTATCAATAAATCTACTTTCGCATATATAATATCTGTAAGGTCTAAGCACAAATTGAGAATGAGAAGCAGAAGTAATTATATCGAATAATGAATATAACAAAATATATTACCCATCCAGTTCAGCAGTCTCTATATAGCAGAGTCCATTAGGTTCGGAACTGCTCAGCAGCAATATGTCAGCCGCCACGAACTGGTCGTTCTCCAGCCGGATGACGTCTCCCACCTGAACAGACGCCCACTTCTCCTCCACAAGCCTGCCATTACGGAGTGTCTTCGCCCGTCTGTGGTTAACTTGAGAGTCGTTTTGATGACGTTGCTGTAATTAACACGGCTCGTTAGCTTAAAAATGGCAGCAACAGTGTAAAATATACTCTGTTGTCTGTACGTATATAATATCTGAAAAAAAACGCGAGTACAAAAAAATAAAACATACTAAATCTTCGTTCGCGAGTACATATACTTTTTTCCTTTACCTCTCTTTTTATATATTTTAAATTTTTTATAGCTATGTTTACAGCACATACACAATTGCAAACCTATTAGTTCAGAGAGAGAAATATACAAATATTATTTTACGTACGACAAATAAAAAAAAAATGTAACTTTAAATTTAATATTATAATTTTTTACCATGAATATTACGATTCACAATAGATAGAAACAGTAAATATAATTTGCAATAAGGAATGATAATAATAATCATTAGATATGCTTCGTGTATTCCTTGATTCAGAATAAAAGCCAGTTGAATTAGTAACAAAAATGCAGTTTCAATTCTGAAAACTGTTAAGGAACATATTACTCATACTTCGGATCTAGTACTATAGTTCATATCTATATACGAGTGTATCATATAATCTGTGTTAAATGGTTAATCAAGAGATAATACATGCTCAATAAAGAGACCTGTTCAATCTTATTCCAGGGGTTATATACGAGAATTTCGAAACAAATAAAAGAGAAAAATCTAAATCATACATGTTTGTTCAGAAAAATTTGCAATTGCGCATATACCTACGAATAAATAAATAAATAAATAATAAATACGTTGGGCCATTTACACACAACACTATCTAGTTCCATGGTAAGCTACGAGGCTTGTGTTATGGATACCAGATAGTTGATACACTAAACATATATATAACTTTAAATACATATTATGAATATATGAATCACGCATATCCGTTATGTATATGTGTAATTTAAATCGACCTCAAACATTGATTATAGAATATAAGAGCATTATTTATGGTGTTTTAAAATGATAACAAAATTTAATATTCGGAGGTATTATGATTTTTCTATAGACGATTTATATTCCCATATAATTAATTCATTAATTTATTCATATGCTAAGAATGTTTTAATGGACAAGGTGACGAACAAACTTTCATTAATGATTCAGAATAATGACAGCCTGTCCCGCAAATCTTTATATATATAATTCTTCTGTGAGTGTGTATGTCACTGAACTTCTCTCAAACGACTGGACCGATTTTGATGAAATTTTTTGTGTGTGTTCAAGGGGATCTGGGAATGGTTTAGATTCACAATTTGAATAATAATTTTCATCAAAAAAATTATTAAAAAAAGTTTGAAATTTTCAAATTAAAGACGTGTAGACAGGACAACGTTTTTCTATAGACGATTTATATTCCCATATGATTAATTCAATAATTTATTCATATACTAAGAATGTTTTAATGGACAAGGTGAAAAGCAAACTCTCATTAATGATTCAGAATAATGACAGTCTGTCCCGCAAATGAACCTATAAAACATGCTATTAGAATGTATTCCAAGGTTTTCGTAAGTTCTAAATCAATAAGTTATGTATGTTTGTTCGGTTCAAGTGATTCATGCAATATGTTCGGTAAGCGGCTGTTCATTTTTAGGGTTCCGTACGTCAAAAGGTAAAAAAAGGAACTCTTATAAGTACACTCTCTTGTCCGTCTGTTTGTCCGTGTGTCACCACCGATTTTCTTAGGAACGGGTGGACTTAACAAGTTGAAATTTATACCAAATACTGAGGTCTATAGTCCCTATTAGGTGTATAAAAATCAAGGTTCTGAGTCAGCACGATAAAAAGATATGGGCAAATTTAGATTTTTGCGAAAACTTGTAAGTACCAAAATTTACCTTAATTTACCTTTATTTACCGGAAGTACCCTATAGGTTTTGGGTCGAAAGTCTATAATAAGGTAGTTCCCGTTGACCTAGAATCACGAAATTTGGCAAAAAGCAAGGTCTTACAGCACAAGTAAAGGGAAAATTCCAAAAAATAAAAAAGTACAAAATTAAAGGTAAACAGATTTCCTACAAATTTATAGGGAACCCCTCGGTGGGCGAGTCCGACTCGCACTTGTCCGGATTTTTTTTGTAATTGCTAGCTGTAACGGATTTACATATAAGTCTACTCTATCTTCCAAACTTTTAATTAACGCATTAAAAAAAAAGCGTGTAATAATCAAATTTTATTTTTATCTCGTGGGACCCTATAAATCCTTTCAGCAATTTCACCTACAAAAGTTTCATCTAAGGATATTGAAAAATTACCCTAAAAGTAGATTCATTATTTTAAATAACACAAAAAAAAACGTTTTCTTTGATAGCCTACCTAAAATCAAATAATAAAAGGCATAGTTTGGAATAACATCGCACTAGCGTTATATTCAATAGGCACCATAAGTGTATCCCTATTAATGTAATCGTTAGAATTTCATTAGTTGTTCGGATAACAAAATGATATAAATCTATAATATTCTTTATGTGCCTAATTCCATATACTTTTCCTTAATTTTTATCATATGTACTAACTTATGATACTAATAAATAAGTATGTATGGACATTAACACACAGCACCATCTAGTTCCATGCTAAGCTACGAGACTTGTGTTATGGATACCAGATAGTCGATACACTACACATATATAACAAATACATACATATTACAAATATAAACACCCATGACTGGAGTACAAACATTCGTGCTCATCACACAAATGAATGCTCCCAGCGGGACTCGAACCCGCGACCGCTGGCACCAGGAAGTAGGGTCACTACAGACTGAGCCAAACGTGTCGTCAATGATAGAAATTATAATGATAGAAATTAAGGAAAAAAATATGGGATTAGATAAACATAATAATTATCTTTCATGCGGTTAGATCGAATTTAGATTATTCTTAAAAATATTTAACTTACAAAATCATCGTAAGCGTCCTTTACGGCAGTGAGGGCGAGCACTCCTATTAGTGGTATAGCTGTAGTGATAGGCGTCAACGACGAGATCGCTGGGATCAGCTGCAAAACCAGCAGGCACAAGAAGTAGAAGTTCGCCAATCGTTGAAACTGCTCCAGTAAATTCAATGGCAGGAACGTGATAATCGAATACTTAGACGTCTTGATGTAGTTGTTCTAAAACAAATTAAACACAATGATATTTATTGTATCCGTGATTAAAAACATACACTCTCTGCATATATAAAAATATGGTATATTCGATGAAGAACGTTCTATTGATTCTATTAAGATGTGTACATAAAAATGTTTAGAAAATTTAATGTAATACATTTATTATTTACGAAATTGTTGTTTTATATCTATACATATAATGAAATATTTTTTGGAAAATCTTATTGAAATAGACATTATTATCGATACAGAGGTCGAATCTATAGTTTTTAGAATTTTTGTCTGTCTGTCTGTCTGTTACCGTATCACAGAAAAACCACTGGAGCGATTTTGATGAAATTTGGTATGGTAATAGGGGTCAACATATAGGATACTTTTTTTCGCGGGAAAATATCTCATTTCTGAGAAAACATACAAAAACTACATTGTAAGAGTATACTAATATGTAAAACCTAAGAATTTGTTTTTGATCATCTGAACGCGAGCGGAGCCGCGGGCAATGCTAGTATATAGTATATATAAAAGAAAGTCGAGTTTATTACAACACATATAACTCGAGAACTGTTGGACCGATTTTTATGATCTTAGTTTTGTTTCATTTGTCTTCACCCCGAATAGCAGAATAACTACAATACATCGAAAAATATCACTAAAAAAATTATAAAAAAAAACCATTCCACACTAAGCATCAAAACGTACCTAGGGACGAACCTGAGCGAGGCGAGGGTGAGTCGCTAGTATATAGATAAAATCAACCAAATTTTTTTATGAAAAGTATATATTTAATTTGTCGAAATATCAGATACGTAAACTTTGGCCATTTCAATGGAAGTTCATTGATGTCTCTACTATAGAAACCTAAGGACGGCATTCAATGAATTCTTTAAAGGCCATTTTCATCGTTCCTTTCGGCTTCATCAAAGTTAAACATTTTGCACTGTAAAAAGTAATCTAAATTAGGAAAAAGAAAATTGTAGTGAGAAGCTGTAATGAATACTTTCGGTACAACTTCAACATACACTCACAAGCAGTTTCCATTGACTCAATTTTTGGGACCTGGATTGGATGTTAATGAAGTTAGTTAGTGTTATTCAACAGATTTATTTACAGATAGACATTCAGTACAGACAGCAGTACCCATTTTTTTATCTTTCCAAGTTGACGTAAATGAATCAGTATGGTTTGGTTTCCTATGTTGAAAAGTGCTGGTAGCTCTTGAACTTCAAACTGCTTTAAACTCATTGTTATTATTTTGGCTTCCGTCTCCAGTCGGCCACAGGGCTCATTGTTAAAATCAATTTTTTAACAGTTTATATTTCGTCGTATTCGAAAATCACGTATGATTCTTTATGGTCAGAGAAGCAGCGATATTAAAACAATTAAACAAAAATCAAACAAGAAGGAACTTGAAAAACAGTTTTTTTTAAAAGAAATGTCGTGATTATATTATTAAATTATTTTAAATTTGAAATACCACTTTAAATTTAAGATAGCGAACTTGCTAGTATTAATATCGCAAACTTTATAAATAAAGACTCTATAAACATCAATCCACAAGTGTTAAGTCTGAACGATTATAATATCATCTTATAACTTATTCTTTTTAAGTTGCGAAAAGATAGAAAGTAGGGGAATTTAAATAAAATTTTACTTACGGCGTAACGGAATTGCGCGTTGTACTCCCTGTTGTTGGCTCTAATTCTCCGTTCATTGTCTGAAACAAAAAAATCTTTTAATTGCAAATAAACAAAAAAATATAACATATAAAAATATCTACTGAAATCATGTAATCAGCCCTTTTTTAATCCCTTCAATACGAGAGGGATCAAGCCATAGTCCACCACGCTGGGCAAGTGCGGGTTGGCGGACTTCACATATCTTTCGAAAACTTGCTAAGTTCCTTCAGACATGCAGGTTTCCTCACGATGTTTTCCTTCACCGTAAGGCAAGTGGTAATCATGCTAGAAATGATTCGCACATGAAAATATCAGAGGTGCGAGACCCGGGATTTGAACCCGCATCACTCGGTTTCCCAAGCGAGCGCGTTACCACTGGGCTACCACTGCCTTTCTGAAATCATAATTTACCATAAAAAATAACTATGATTAATTATTATAATCATTACTGATTAATTATCGATTACAAAATATGCATTTATTTGTTTAGACACCTCATAAAATTATAACGGTATCAGAAATAACTGGCACATATTTCTGTTAATATTTGAACACGCGAAAACGAGCTTAAATGGTTTATAGCGAGAATAATTTGTTATAGGTATAGGCGAAGTTTTAGAATTTGTGCTTAACTGGCACGCTTTGAAGCCATTAACAAGAAAATTGAATTGAGGTATAGGTTTATTAGTCAAACTTAAAGACACTCCGTTCTATCCTACAAACAAACTAAATAGATGTACACATGCGGGCGAAACCGCTGGCAATGTCCAGTATATAAATATAATCCAGTATATTGAATTTTGTTGTAGGGTAATGCAGCGGAAATAAAAATCTATATTGGTTCTCCAAAAAAAGTGGTATTCGGGTAATTTATAACATCGGAGCTCGAGATATCCTACGAGATTTTTTTTTCAGAAAATTTTTGTACTTACGGTTGCATCGCAATATATATTTTGTAATATTATGTTTGTCCGACAAAACATTAATTGCTATTTAAGACACAGTAACAGACACGAAATAAACGCTAGAAATAAGTATAAACTGATAACGCCTAGTTATCGCCTTCAAAAAGTGAATAGATCGTTTATGGGACAAGGTCTACGCATGTGTAATAGAATTCTACAATCGATTTTGAGCTTGTCATTTAAACTATTTAAATCTAAAATTAAAAATATATTAGTGAATAAAGTTTATTATACCTTCACAAAATACTTCGTAGATCTGTGGAATTAATGGCAAGTTGGGTTTCACGTAGGATAAGTAGATAAATAATGTATTGTAAACAATTATTATTTTAAGAGAGCAACTGTTGAGTTTCTCGCCGGCTCTTCTTAGCAGAACTGCCTTCCGAGCCGATGCAAAGCAAATCTAATATATTTCGATACGTAAAATACATATTTACTTATTAGATATTTATATCTTAAAATATTGTAGGTTGACACCGATTTCGAAGATATCTGATTAGGTATCTATTCTAAATGAAAACCTCCGTTTAGTTATTGTTTACATTTTAGTGCCTGGAAGTCGGTCTTTTTAAAAAAAAACAGTTTTCATTTTTCCATTTTTAGTGTAGACGTAATAAGCAGGTAATTTGTAAGAAGAAAGTCTTTTAATAACAATTTCAATTAAGCAATTTATTTAAAAAAAAAATTATTGTTGTATTTTTAAAAACCGGTTCAGGCGTCTTCGAGTAATCGGTGAACATACATAAAAAAAAAGATTCCGACGAATTGAAAACCTCCTCCTTTTTGGAAGTCGGTTAAAAATAGGTCAAAAACCGTTGGGTTACGAGGAGTTATAGATTAATATGTGAAATAGAAATTGTAGAGAGTACATAGGTATATTAAACAATCATTTTAAATGAGGCAGTATAATTGTCAAAAAGTTCGCACTTTGATACTGTAGATTTGTTTTATATTATTGCCCATAAACCAGTGACAGTTTATCAAGAGTTCACTGCGAATTCGAAGATAAATGAATACTATCTAAAAAGAGAAATTAATAAGTATTACAATGAAAGTATAGTGATTGTAGTAGAGGCGAAATTAAGTGCTCGAGAATTTAAGGTAAGTATTCTGTTATAAACGACTCCTATATTGGTGATTTTAATGAAGAAGTGAACCATTGTGTGACCAGCTCTCATTACCGATCTAGCAACCTAAACTAATAAAAGTATTACTTACACTACAGTAAATAGTATTGTAATCTATACAAATAATAAAATTGTAACTAAGTCGAATCTGTACATTAAATATTTTTTGGAAATTCTTATTGAAATAAACATTATTAATTATTATCGATACAGAGGCCGAATCTATAGTTTTAAGATTTTTTGTCTGTCTGTCTGTCTCCGGGTGAACATATGGGATACTCTTTACCGCGGGAAAGTATCTCATTTCTGAGAAAAAATACAAAAACTGCAATGTAAGAGTATACTAATATGTAAAACCTAAGAAATTGGTTTTTGGTCATCTGAACGCGAGCGGAGCCGCGAGCAATGCTAGTAATTTCTAAAACAGAAACTAATTAAAATAATAAGTAAACCCCAGAGGAAAATACCATATAAGGATAACATAGAAAAAAGCTAATCCCAGCTGAATTTTGTTTACAGATAAAATATAATTTGAATAGCACGATTCTCATTAAAATACAATACATTCAATGGACGCGTGCTCGCAACGTAAACGTATTTACATGGCTTCCCTACTTGACTGCAACCAACTCTTAACATGTAATTTTTTCTACTTTGTTGAACTCGATTGAAAAGTGTAAAATAACTGCAGTTATTAAAAGAAACTTAGTGAACTCTACACTTTTTACCCGACTGCGCCAGAAGAAAGGTTACGTTTTTCAAATGTATGTATGTACCTATAGGTATTTCTTTGGCACGCTCTGTAGCTACTGTTAGGTTGCAAAATATATAGGTACTCTTAATACAGCAAAATAAAATAATGCCGTTTTTTTATTTTATTAAGTGTAAAGTGTATTTTGCTATAATATTTTACATACCTAAAAAAATATGTTTTTTTTTAAATGTATCTAAAATATTATACCCCTATTAGGAAAAAAAATATCTTCACGTTTACATTTCTTAGTTTTTGTGCATATAAAAATTTTATATCAATGTGTTTTGGTGATTTTTTTGGAACAGCTTACCTCTGCTAAAATTTCATCCTTCGCTACCCCCATGTAAACAAATGTCAGTTGCGAGTTGGTACTCGCACCAAGGATCCCCAAACAGTGAATTTCAAGATTTGGCTTTCAAAATTCTTTTTGTTTTTTTAAGTATTTTAAGAATTAAACGTGCACGCATTTTTATAGTTTAATAAGTGTACATTTTAACAATATAGGAATTATTATTGTTATTTATTTGCAACTTTCATAAAAACTTTTACTAACGTTTTTTTATGTTTGAATAACGTATTTGACAATGTTCTTTTTTTTTCTAGTTTGGTGTCTAAAATTAGAATATTATTTACGCTATACGTCCGCTGTTGTGTTAACTAGTTGTATAGAAGCAAATTTAAACTCATTGTGTAGTACATTCAGAATTAATTATAACGAACTGATAGACAGGCAGACGAATGATCCTATAAAGGTCCCATTTTTTTATTAGTTTTTTTTTTATTTTGAAATATTGAAACGAACCGAAAAACTTATATATATATATATATGTAAAGTTTTCTACATGCTATTTGTTTGTTATAAATTGTCTATAGCCAACAATTACCGTTTAGCATGCTCCATGGTATGTACCTATTACATAACGTGCATTTTCTGTGAATGATTCATAAAATAAAAAGTATTTCTTAGTCGATAGCAATAAGAATATTTTTTTTTGTATTTAGTTCATCCGTCTCTTACAGATTTTATAATTTTGCAAGCTATACTGCGAGATGCAAAGAGTCCCAAAAAGCTATGTAGTTAAATGCTGTGAAGTCCAAAGCGGTAATTTTAATCATTGTTAATCAATGTCGTATAAACAAGTAATAAATAACTTAGTAGACGCCTATTTACAAGTGAGGTACACATACATACATACATATATTATAACAACAAAATCCACTGTATTAAATTATAAAATGGATCAAGCCGAGACGTGCTTAACCATTTAATACTGAGATTAAAAATATATTCATAGCGTTTCTCAAGGCTTTATATTAATAATATAATGAATAGAAGATGAAAATTGTAAGACGAGCCATCTGACACTTAAGTAATTTTTTGTGTATAATTGTAATACTATATAATTTAATTTAGAGGTAATAATTCTAAACTACAAATTAAAGACTTTGATTTTGTTTTTTTTTTTGCAAAAACATTGCTACTGGATATGTAATAAAAAAGTTTACTACGAATGCCTTTAAAAATAACATTTATTGTAATATTTTAAAAAAAATATTGAATTATGAATATAATAAGACTGACTGACTGACTAACTGACTTTTAAGGAACTTTTGAAATTATACCAGTGATATAAACTGAATTAAGTTATTATTATTAATTTAAGTACTTGTGTAATATTTATTTCAAAGAAAACAAGCAAGAGCCACATATATTTTGCCACACAATATACAATATTAAATATATACATAATATATTAAACATGTAACACAGTAACTACTCGATCTCCATGTTATTTCCGTTTAAACTTAGGTAAGACAATAAATGCACTGTGCATTCAATATGATATACCATGTTTATTTCTCAAATATAATCTGCTCTTATTTTTATTTATCTATATATTATATATATATATATATATATATATATATATATGTGTATTTATAATTAAGTTATATTTCCCCTGCCGCTACTTTACCATAGATATGAATATTTTTTTCCATTAGAACTTACACTTCTGCAATCGAAAAACAAAAGGAAGGAATTAAGTGTGTTTACTATTGTACTTATTAGTTGGCGGCTATAAAAGCGTCTAGGCAGGCGGGCGCCACAAAGGCGCCGATCGATCTGCTCTCGAGTTTATGGCTAATAACGCTTTCAGGGGCATGTCATTTTCCTACAAATTTCAATACACAGTCATTGTAAATGTTTAAGTATTTTTTCATTGTAAGCTTTCAATATCTTTTAATGTTAACTATGGTACTCGTTAAAAATAACAAATATTTTTATACTCCCACTGCAGCTGGGCACAAGCTTCATCTCAGTGCGAGGTCGTTTGTCCACTACGTTGGCTAAATCCGGTTTGCGCGAACTTCAGATCGTCTTTTGACAACTAGTTAAGTTCTTTCAGTCATGCAGGTATCCTTAACGAAGTTTTGCTTAACCGTAAGGCAAATGGTAATCACGTTTAAAAAGATTCACACATAAATTATCTAATTGTCATAAATCCAGTGTCAATTTTCATGCTTAAACGATTTTAGACATGTACTAGCGGACCCGACAGACGTTGTCCTGTCTACACGTGTTTAATTTGAAAATTTCAAACTTTTTTTAATAATTTTTTTGATGAAAATTATTATTCAAATTGTGAATTTAAACCATTCCCAGATCCCCTTGAACACACACAAAAAATTTCATCAAAATCGGTCCAGTCGTTTGAGAGAAGTTCAGTGACATACACACTCACAGAAGAATTATATATATAAAGATTAAATCGACAAAAGATAACAAAAAAGATATCAATGAGCAGGATTTATGGTGAGTACTAGTTGTGCTTGAAGGATATATAACGGTTAGACGTTTACTAATGTTATAGTTCGTTATAGCACATCTAACACCTTATCAGTTATCACTATTCCTACCTTGTTCCAAAAAAATATATGCATCATCAGTAAAGTTTGTGACAATCAACAAAATGTCACGATTATACAATATATAATGCACACACAGTAAAAATAACTAATCCTCACGTAATACTTCCTTAGATTTACGCGAATATTTGACATTTTAAATAAAACTATCTTTTCGGATTTTGTCGCGGATTTATTTGCATTTTTGTTTCCCGACGTTTCGAATGCTTTACAGCATCCATGGTCACGGGAGAGACTGAGGTGTTACATGTCTTGAATGTATAGTTGTTACAGACATATGTAATGTAATTGGTGCATTTTTCATTTTGTTAATTGTGGGTAGGCTGTCTGTAACAACTATACATTCAAGACATGTAACACCTCAGTCTCTCCCGTGACCATGAATGCTGTAAAGCATTCGAAACGTCGGGAAACAAAAATGCAAAAAAAATGCAAATAAATCCGCGACAAAATCCGAAAAGATAGTTTTATTTAAAATATTTAAAATAATCCTCACGTATCAAAGTATGTCACTCGCAGTTTTTTCTAGCGTTTAAATATCAAAAGATCAAAGAAAGTAATTTACGTTTAGAACTTCTAATACAAATAAAACATACTTCATGTTATAGGTAGATACTAGCGGACCCGACAGACGTTGTCCTGTCTACACGTCTTTAATTTAAAATTTCAAACTTTTTTTAATAATTTTTTTGATGAAAATTATTATTCAAATTGTGAATCTAAACCATTCCCAGATCCCCTTGAACACACACAAAAAATTTCATCAAAATCGGTCCAGTCGTTTGAGAGAAGTTCAGTGACATACACACTCACAGAAGAATTATATATATAAAGATAAAATTTGTTTTTTATGTCGACTACGTACCTACTTAGTAAGATCTGTAAAAATATTCGTGAAAATCGGTCGTAATAAATTAAGCTGGTACAGAATAACGTCTCGCAAATTGAATATGATAATAAACGCCAATTGTTGTTAAATTTAGCACCGCGCCGTGCAAAATGATTGGTTGAGCAAGTTCTACGAAACTCCCACGCTAATGTTTCATTCATTCAGTAGGTTATAGTATAAAAAAACGTAACACGAATCCTATAAACTCTATACATATATCTTGTTCGAATTCAGGATACAATTTCAAGTAAATAATATAATATGCATTACAAAGATCAAAAATAAATTAAAAACTACAAAAAAAAAACACACTTTAATGATGAACCGAAGTAAAAAGTTAAAAATATTTTTTTGTATAAGAATTAAGTCAGTTAAAGAGAAAATTAATATTACGATTATGAAAAAAACGTGGGGTACTTTGTTTTTTTTATACTAACTCTACTTTTAGAAATCGTACCAATGCAATATTTATAGCAACTAATATCGAGTATCGATTTGATCTATCTGTCTGTAATTTGGTAGTCAGTGTGAAGACTTTTAAAAGAAGTTTTAAAGAAAAACAACAGAAGAAGAAGAGTTTTAAAGAACACGGATTTATTTTATAATGACAAAGAAATTGAAGCTAAATTAGTTAGGAAAATCGTGTAATCGTGTGAAAATCTAAGTTTTACATGAGCAAGGGAAGTCACAATAGGAGACTGCGAATTTGGTAAAATATTAGCAGTGCGTAGCGCGATTCACCACCAGACATTTTACGGAGACCGGTACTCACGCTAAAAAATCGCGAACGGCCAGAACCTGCTGCGCCTTTGCCTAGAAAGTGGATAAGTGCTCAAGCTGCTAGAGTAAAGCTCCTAAAAAGCGTATTTATAAGGCTGTAAAGCCAAGGAGTCATGGCCTTTCAAAAATAATAAGATAAAACGACTTAAATAGGTTCTGTAATACTAACTTACACGGAGGAGGATTATGAACAATAAAAGTATACTAATGTGCTAGAACTGAGGCTGCTCTTGTGTCTTCACTAAACCGTATTTTTTTTTACGACACTTATTTAGTTGGAATCAACACGACAAAGTTCCTTAGCTAAAGTAAACTACTTGGTACTGGTTTACTGACGCAACACAAAGTCGACTACTAGGATTAGCCTGCGCAGTCCCTAGATCAGAACCAAATTGAGCGCCTTTGGAGAAATCTGAAGAATAAGAGTAAATATTTTGAAAGTATTTCAGGCAAAAGTAGACTTATCATCAAATATCAGTCGCATTGACGCCATGAAACCAAATACAGTTTTTAGTGATGTTAATTAGCTAATTGCAAACACTGATTAGCTAATGAGGGATTAAATAAATTTGGTGAAATGAGCTGGTAACGTGAAAGAAAAATTGGTGCGTCTTTTGGGGAGTCTTGACGTGTTTCCATTCCATACAAATTCGCGTTACCGTTACACGCTAACTACTCGATAGTTTCGTGTATGTATGTCGGTTTAACTGTAGTTTAATTAAAGCAAAAGTTATTATTTAACATATCATCAACCAAATGGTTTGCTAACTTATGATTAGACTGACATGTATATCATATTTTATGTGTTCGTATATGGTTTCGTAGTATTGAAAGTGACAAGTGACTGGTATATCATAGGTACTGGTATATCGTTCCCATGTGGCATTAACTAGTTGTACCTATAAAGTCATTTTTAGAGGCGTCCTGAGCAAAATGATAGCGAAACACTTGTTAAATCAAAAAAGTTATTTTTCTATTTTGTTTGTGAGGGTCAAAATCATCGGTAGTCCAAAAGATATGGATTTTACATTCTAGAGACAATTAATCATAAAATTATACTTATACAGCAGCAGCAAAAGACACGCAGAGCAATCAAAGCTTAGTTATGACAAATTAACTTAGATTTATGAAACTTTAGATTTTATGTACGTTTGTTTGTTACTCCTTCACTCTCAAACGGAAGGACTGAATTTGGATGAAGTTTATATAGAGTAAGTCTATGACCTGGACTCCTGGAGTAACACTTATGCCCGATTTCACCAACAACCCATAAGCTACCACCTGCGTATGGGATCCCTAGTTTAAAATTCCCCTAAACTAGCCCCTAAATTAAATTTCGTTTTACCATCGTCTTTAAGCCCATATTTCGAGTACCTAAATTTAGGGGGCCTTTTAACATTTAGGTGACCCCTCACTGTCGGTGAAACAGAAACTGTTCCCTAACCCCCTAACCATGCTTAGGGGATCCCTTAAACTTGGGTGACGTTGGTGAAATCGGGCATTAGACTACTGTTAGTAATAAAATATGCCAAAAGGTGGCGCTGTCTGTATATTATCTGTATATTTGCAAAAGACGCATACGAGCGAAGCGAGTATAAGACGCTAGTAAATAATATAATTATATAATGATCGTCTTAGTTATCAAACTATACAATACTATCTTTATGCTTTATATACTAAGGAATAAAAGTCGTACCCGGATTGCTGCACATATGTATAATAATTGCTAGGTACTTTGAGGGCTTCTCTATGGGATGATACCACCGTTAATCGTTAATGTTGGTGTAACCGGCTATACTAGTATTTACTTCGTAAGCTGTTGTAGTAGTAATATGTAGGTACATACATTATGCATTTCAATGAGAATAATGATTTATTTGTAAGTTTTTGTATATGGACTCTATAAAAAGTACCAGTAGCTACTTTACACACTGATAACTATGATTATAGTAATTTTGATTAAGAATAGCAAAATATTGACAGATAATCAATAACAAGTAAGCACGCTAGGTCATAATACGCGAAAAGCTACGGCGCCGCCGCCTCGGCCGTTGACCGTGCGGTAGCGCGCCGACTCCGACCTTGCTCATTGTGCAATCTTTTTAGGAAATGTTTTTTTATACTACAAAAGATCGCCATCACCTAGTAAAATATTGCCCTAATCATTTCTCTAAAGAACAGTATTCATAATTGATATTTTTTTTTATTTTTAAGGTTGCATGGCTTTTACATATGTATGTACATGTGTATGCATATTGCACACGTACATAACATAACTAGCTGAAGTTAAGTAAAACTTTATTGGCAATGTCACATGACAAATACGGACCACAAGATACAAAGGTGCGGAAGCGATGATTATGCCTGGTGCGGCGGCGCGGCGCGGCAGGCTGGTCTCGTATCAACTTGCCGAGCAGTTCGAGGAGTGAGAGGCGCAGTGGGCGCGGCGGCACACGAGCCTCGCCTTCCGCGCCCAGCACCTCCAGCTCGACCGCCTCCGAGCGCGCGCACATCCGCGCCGCTACCGCCGCGCCATGTCGCGCGCCGCTCCGCGCGGCCACCCCGCCGGCTCAGACCGAGCGAGATACACCGACGCGCCACGCGACTCGTCACGAGTTTTCACACGCGCGTCTCAACTCGCAGCGGAACCGATACTCCTGTGCGGTCTACACTAGCGCCCTCACAGCGGCGCGCGCATTATATGCTCGTAGACGGTGTTGCCCTAAGCGATTCAATGTTAACAGCTAAAGAAATGTACATATTTTAACGTTGGACAGTGGATTCTGGATACTACTAGTATAGTTAGATTATAGATATTAAGCTTCTAAGTTCTTTATAATGTTTTGTCCTACAGGATTATGTACATATTTTTTTTAATATGATAAGATCCCTTGTAAATCATACTATCTAGTTCGCACAAATATTGTTTAAACGAAAGTAATGTTGTTTATAAAGAAATTATAAAATCTTTTTTTAGTATTTTTATTAAATCGAGTAATGTTTTATGTTACCTTATCAATCCCAACTACCCTAGGCCTCGACGCAAAAAATTGTTGGATCGATTTCAATGCGATTTTTCTATTCGAAGAATCGTTCCATCGTTAGTTAATTTTAGCGATCGCAATATTAAGTTTTCTAATTCCCAATAATGTTCATGCATGTACTCTTATGTGCGGCTAGTTATGACTTTATTTTTTGATCTCTTCTTTAAATGTTAAATTCTAGATAATCGTAAACCTAACTCAAACTTTTTTATAAACCATGGTGCAGGTAGGTCAAAACATTTAGAATATGGTTTTGAAAACGCTGCAGTAGTTCGATATTAGAGTGATTTCGCAGAGCTCTATTGCATATTCCGATATGTAAAAGCTTTATCACATATTAAGAAATCAAGATTTTATTTTTAAGGGTTATGTAAGGCCTCCTTTATATACTGTTAGCAAAAACATTTTTAAAAATTTTCGAATAATTTTGTTTTTCTGTAGGTTCTATATGTTTTCAGATCAGTTTTTCCGTAACCATGATTGCTGGAAAGCATTCAAAACATGGGAAACCAAAAATCAAAATAAATCGGTGAAAAATGATAGTTTTATTTATAAAGGTGCGTTAATAATTGAATATAAGTTGTGTATATTTAGTTGATCATTATTTATCACATATTAAGAAATCAGGATTATTTATAAAATAATAATAATAATTTTTTTAATTCGCTGAAATACGAAGCCAATTAACAAGTAAGACATTAAGAAGAAGGCAATAGATAGTTGTTCGTTCTATGCGCGGAATAAGATGCGGCATTTTTAATTTCATTTTGAGGTTCACATTTAACATTACCTTTAAAGCAGAGTGTATCCTTTCTGTCCCTACCCTCTATCTATGTATACAAATAAATAAAATTGAAGTATCTGTTTGTAATCAGATCCAAATAACAGCTTGTGATAAATGTATAATATGAAAGTATATACGGTACCCACTTATAAAAACCGGCCAAGTGCGTGTCGGGCTACGCGCAATGTAGGGTTCCGTAGTTGCCCATCACAATAACGCGGACTAAGAAGAGGGCTTTTTTTGTTTATACTATGAACATTTAACGTTAGCGGGTTCCTTGTTGACTACGAAACCTTAAAAAAAGGTTTTGTAATTTTTGTCTGTTTGCTCCCACTAATATCCAAAAGGGCTGGACCGATTTTGACGGGACTTTCAAAAGCTGATAGCTGATGTTACAAGGAGTGACTTAGGTTACATTTATTTTAGAAAAAAAATAGGGTTTCGCGTTAAAAATTAAAACCAATGAAATTGTGAACAAAGCGAGGGTAAGTCGCTAGTACATTATAAGGTATCTACATACTAGTTAAATTTGTTATTTATGATATTTATTATGACAATAAAAATAGACAATTTGCGAATCGAATTTGTGAATATCGATACCGTACCAACACTAAAATATTATGTTCGTGCTACGTAATAACCAATCTATACATATAATAAAATTCTGAGTCGAATTTGTACATTAAATAATTTTGGAAAATCTTATTGAAATAGTCATTATTATCGATACAGAGGCCGAACCTAGTTTTTAGAAATTTTGTTTGTCTGTCTAGGAATGATCACGAGAAAACCATTGGACAGATTGATGAAATTTGGTATGATGGTAGCTGGTTACCCGGGTCAACATATATTATACTTTTTACTGCGAGAAAATATCTAATCACTGAAAAATCTATACTAACCATTAAAAACGTATATACGCTTGTAACCAATAAATTAGGACCTTATGAATGACAGTTGAAATCCCTACTATGATCACAGCAAGTGCGTGAATTACTTGGTTTTGAGATTTCATTGTTTTATAAATTTATTTTATTACTAGAAAGTTTTATAGTCTATAAACTTTAATATAACCTTAAATAAATTCGGAGAACTTCGAATCTGACTTGCGCACTGTGGGTTCCGAATTCCGTAGCATCAAAAACATTTACTTAGATAAAATATTTTTCGATGTTCATTCATGTATTCTTTGTTGATAGTAATATAAATAAGTTTGTAGTTCATAGTTTTACTACATGAAAACATGCAAACAAGCAAAGCTTGGAAATCAAAATACCTCATGTTTATAACATTTACATAACTATCTACAAAATATTACATATCTACCTACCTAATTCTCTAAAAGTTATCCGGCAACTATTACAAAAATCACCCTTAGTTATATTTTTCGCATTGTCTAGCGTTTCACACGCCTTCCAAAGGGGGTCAAACATTACACTCGATTCATGGTACGCAGCAAGTTTAGAAAAAAATGGCGGAATGTTAGCAATGCTGTAAAGGTAATACTAATAGTTTTCAAATAAAAAGGCCTTGATGCCGACAGAAATTGTCTACCTAATTATAAGGTTCCCATTTTTACCTTTCCGGTACGGAACTCGAATAAGTTTCCTAATTATTACAATTCAGTTTTTTCCTTCTTTAATAGGCGGGTTGTTGACTCCATATTTTTAACTTAATAGTTTTTAAGTTAGTTAATTTTTTTTTCATAAATCTACTTTAACGCCTGTCTGGTTATTATGTATTCACTAGCCCTCGGTGGGTATTTCATGTTTTAGATGATGATGATGATGTTCTTCTAGCCGATTCCGGCCACGGCGGCCAATCCCATTGAGACTAACCAACTGCGCAGGAGATATTATAGTGCACAAGTGTACGCGCAGACACAACGTGCACTCTCTATTCCTGTCACTTTCATACTCCGTCGGGACGACTACTCGACACGACCAGTGAGAGTTTCGGCGCAGGACCGACGACTTTACGTGCTCTCCGAGGCACGGGGGTGAAACACCGCCAACTTACCAACTCCGGGCTGTTACTGAGACTTACTATACAGAAAGACTCAATAACTAACCTAAGCCCGACCCGGGACTCGAACCCAGGACCTCCGAGTGTGCAGCAGTACATGCTAGCCACTACACCACCGAGGCAATTTTAGATGATATTATGCGGAAAACAATGTTAATGGGCCAAAAATCAACTTTTGGTTTAATTGATTTAAAAGACAGCTAGCGTAACTAACTGATACTACCAGATATGTAACCATGTAATGAATGACCCTGAAGGAATTTACTACAACATACTTATAATTATAACAACTTTGGTTAGCCTCGACCCAATAATTAAAATAGGTTCCAAAGCGGACTTACGTCCTTCGTCGCAAGTGTCTGTATACTATAGGATTTCTAATAAGTATAAGTTATTAAATAATACTGTATAAGTATATTATCAATTTTAGTACACAATTTAGTTCCTTTGGTAAGAATGTCAGCTTATAAGTAATATGACCATTCTTTTCTGATTGAGTTTTCTTTAAGTGAAAAATATGTTTTTTTTAGAACTTTACTAAACCTTGAGAAAGTATAAAACTATAATATCTCTTGCGCACATGGCTTGTCTCAGTAACATTGGCCGAAATTGATCAGGATGACATTATGTATTATTATACTATATTCTCTTTGTTTTTAAACTGAATAATTTAGGGCGGTAAAATTTCTCAATAAAGGTAAATAATAAATGAGGAAGGTTAGTGTATATAATTTGTACTAATGTTTTACAAATTGGATGAGCTACGAGTACGAAGGTGTTTGACAAAAAAAGTTGTCGTATGATTATATGACTGGCTGGACTAAAACCTTTAGATACATCACCGAAACAATGTGCTAGAAAATTGTAATAGTTTCTATAGAAAAATCTACGGTCACTAGGAAAATAGTAATTTTTACTATTTTTATTTTATTGAAACGTATTCGAGCGAAGAGAGGGTAAGTCGCTAGTCTCTTATAAAACAGTTAATTTTCATTCAAATCGGTTTGAGATGTTTGTGAAAGAGTACTGCAAATCAAAATATACCCGTAATAATGCTTCTTTGTTCATACATATTTGTTATAATTTGTGTTTTTTTGTTCACCTTTAACTGTGACCATGGGTCATGTGGTTTTGGACTTGATAAAAACTGAAAATATGCCAAAACGTTAAATTATAAATGACTACTTAGTAGGTACTTTAACATATATAGAATGTTTGGATTGATTCTGGCTGACAGCGTGATCGCTCAAGCGCGACCAAGAAAACACCAGAGGTGAGATAAAGTTTTAATTCAGTGTTAATGATTTTCAACCAATTGACTAACGATGAAAAAAAACATCGTAAAGAAACCTGCATACCTATTTGAATGAACCAAACTAGTTTTCGAAAGATATGTAAAATTCGCCAATCTATACTTGTCATGCGTGATGGACTATAACTTGATCTCGCTCATATTAGGATATGAGTGTGGCCAGCACCAAGCAGTGCAGTAGCTATGACCTCGAATGCTACTCTAAAATCTAAATAGTTTTTAACACTGCGCGCTCTCTGCCCTCTATTACGAAAACGGTTCAAGATATTAAAAAAATTAAACAAAAATTGTAGAGAATTTAGTCCTTTACAATATTTGTAATAAATACAAATAGCACAAAAACCATAGGAAACGAGATATTTGCAAAAAATGTGCAAAAAATCAATTTTTTACCTTTAAGAGGCCTATCACAAAAAATGGACTGAGTTCTAGATAGCATTGAGTTCGAGCGGCCGACGCATCGCTGTTTCTAGCATTTTCTGCAGTTGTAATTACTTCTATGTAAAGTTTTATAATAAATTATTTAAAAAAAAAAGTATATAATTACGTTTCTTCTGAACTGACGTATATTCTGGTATAAACTTTTACTTAATAATATT